ATGGTTAGTACCGTTCCGAAAAAGAAAAAAACAAAAAAAAAAATAAAATAAAAGCTTCCGAACTTACCTCAAAGAGCCAATTAGCCGTAAAGAACCGTTCTTATTAAAAACTTTATAATAATTAAAGTAATTTTTAGTGTAGTTACTAATGAGTTAAACTAACACTATTTCAGATTAATAAAATAGTAAAAAATAGTAGAAAACGATCGATATTTTTTTTAAAAAAAAATTTTTTATTTGCCTCAGATTAAAACCGAGGCACCTCAGATTATCAATGATCCACATCACTCACCTCACATGACGATTTCAATCTGAGGTGCGTGAGTTGCGATCTGAGGCAAGAATCGATCTGAGGCACAACATATATAAGTGCTAAAACACCGCTATAAATTTCTTATTAATTCTCCTAATAGGCACATATTCATCAGACTACACTTTAGTTATTTCAACTTCTCTATTGGTGGAACCTGCAAAATGTTTAAAATGTTCTATTGTTAATTTTTTAATTTTGTTCATATCTGTTACCATATGTTCTTCCTTATTATCATCTTTGATTATAAGCAAGACGATCTATGTGTATTTTTTTAATTTCTCTTTCAGTGATATTATCAATCATCCTCTGTTGATTGTTGGCTAAATCATCACAACGCACTTTTGATGGCTTCTTTAATTTTTTCTTTTAATTTAAATAACTCAGCTGATAACTTAATGCATATTAAGTCATATAATTGGTCTAATCCAGATACATAGGTGTCAAATGAAATTTTTTAATATCCCTACAATTGGTTATATAATATCCTGAAGACTGATTCCTGTGCTACTTACGTGAATGAAATATTTCCTTATGACATTTAAATGACATTTACTAAATTTTCATGCAAAAAAACTCTTTCCCCTTTTTTTTTATTTTTATTAGTTTTCTGCAGTAAATAGCATTAAGTTTCTTTTTTTTCAGTTTTCTACGAAAACTTCAAAGGGGAGGAGACCCTAGTGGGCGCCTCGGTCACAATACGAAGTTTTTTGTTCTTTTCAAACCTGAACTTATGGGCTTATGTCTACTTCGTCTCAACAAAAAGATACTGTATGTGCTCTTTTCCTAGAATAGATGATTACATTCCAGAATATACTCCTAATCCTGATGACTTTGTGTTCAACCATGATACTATAAACACCCCACTTATTGTCGAAGACAAGTTACCGACAACACACATTCCTTCTCGTTCTTTGAATAATAATTTTACTACTTCTTCGAATATTTTGAACTATTCTTTCTCCCACTGTGTACAAAAAATTTCACGTGACTCCAGTGTTGGCAAATTTTGAGGTCATTTCACTTTTTTGAAATGACCTTAGGTCATTTCGTATATGATCACGTGATATATTCATAGTAAAATCATGACGTAATCAGGTCATTTAAAGGTCATTTCAAGGTCATTTGCCAACACTGCGTGACTCCACATAAAAGAGCCAGTTATAACAGGATTTACAGTTTTCGGCGTTCAAAAAGTTATTTTTTTGAGGTAGTAGATCATTTACTAAACACCAATCAACTCGAGTTGAAGATCTATACAAATGACTATCATATATCATCTAACCCGATTCATCACGAATCCACGAGCAAATTACCAAACTACAGATTTGCACTTTTTTTCAACACAAAGAGTAATTCCCCGCCGAATACAAAATAAATTTTTTGAACTTATTCGCAAAAAATTATTGGGGCGTATAGATTTTATAAGATCACGTGCTCAAAAAAAGAATACTCGAAATCACATTACGAAAACTTTTTTTAACTTCTCGTATAAAAAATATAGATTTCACTTTGGTATTTTCATACCATGTAATCATTCTTATATCAAGGATCCATATACCAAACAAGTTGAAACTTGTTCCATTCCAGTTCCCTTCATTATGTCTTCTCACCGACGTGCCTGCATAAATCATCACAAACAATTGGATATATTTCATGGTCCGAGAGATAACAATATACCTCACTATAGTAAAGCTGTAAGCTTTAAAAATTTCCATGCTTGTCGCCTCTACAACAGATGGACCAAAGGTCATGTAAAAGAAATTTATTCAAATCGATTAGGAATTTCTTATAATACGAAATATTATACGTATCCAATTAATAACGTCGCCAAGAAAGGTCTTAAAAGCATTTACAACAAATTTTACTTTAACTTCCAAGATAGGAAAAGTAAATCTCCGAATGTCAGTAAAAGACAACATGCATGCTTTGAAGGCTTATGTAAGCGTGTCTTTAAACATTCTTGTATCAAAGAGGACAGGCCAGTTGAAGACATACTTCTGGCTGCAAGATGAAAATCCTTTCTGTTTCAAAAAGGACAAACCCTTCATAAATCTTTACTCCATGTTCGCTACAAAAAGAAATTTGTTGCTCCTGAAGACTGTTATTATAACTTTCCGATCCCACATCTTAGACATGATCTTGATGCTACAGTTCGTCAATCCGAAAAGGAATCAGTTGCTACTCCTCCTGTGCTATTGACCACCATTGACCTTTCTTCAGGGTCTTCCCAAGAAGACATTGAACCTATTCCTGCTCATCTTATTCTGTTAATTCCTGAGAAGCCTACTTATGAAGGCGGATACCTCAACCAACCCTCCAAAGGAAGAATCAAAAGGAAAAATCTCCAACCTCTTAAGAGGGGGTAGTGAATCTTAGTTACGTTATATGGAAGAATTATATAAAGAATATGAATCCTTTAACCGTGAAGAAATACGGAAACAGCAAGCTGCAATTACGTGGGAAACTGATCTCAAACGTGGCATTTACTATGAAGATACTTTTTCTGTAATTATGACATTTTCAGATGCTTATCATGCATATGAATCGAAAAAACGTGAAATATTGCTTAAGTCTTTGAAACCACCACCTATCGTTAATGAGACGAAGGAAAAGAAAAAGAAGAAGAAAAAATGTGAAACAAAGATCGTACCCGATGATCAAGTGGTCGAAGATTTGCGTTGGGAATACAGAAATTATGAGTCCGCTATGGTCGTTAGTATGGAAGAAGAGGGGCGATACAGGCCCTTTGCTAAAAATCCAGGTAGTAGACCGCTTAAATGATGTGCCAATGATAATGGCAATTTAGATTCGTATTATAGATCTCATATGGATAAGAAAGTTTGTTATTCAACCATTACGAAGAGTTCGGATGAGAATTTATCTAGTAGTGCTAATTAGCACATTTTTAGGATTCACTATTATTTTTTTATATATAACTATTATGTTTTATATTTTCTTTTTGTATACGCCATTCGGCATTGAAATTCATTTTAAATTTTTAGATTTTATTATATAGTATAGGTTTCTCATTTGTTATACGCTATTTAGCGTTAGTTTTCTCTTTTGTTCATTTATTTTTCTCTTAACAACTTAAAATAGTGTAAATCATTCCGCCTCTTACAGTATTGACAGGCGGCATCCATTCCATTGGTTGAAAGGATAATACGGATTAACGCGCGTTGGTTAATTGATTTTTATTTTGGCTACCTGTTCCTTTATCGGTCATGGTTTAGGTTCAGTCTATATATATAGAAGTTAGGGTCCGTTCTAGTGGTATAGCTAGTAATGGATGATAGATTAAATGTAGGATGAACACCTCTTCGGAGGTTATATGTACTCTTTGATACTCTTTCCAGCTTCACATAAAATAAATAAATAAATAAATTTTCATGCAAAGTTTTGGGGACACAATATGAAATGCAATACGATTAAGTACAGTGACTGCGGTTAATATAATAGAATGAAAACAAATGACTAATTTTTTTGTTAGTTTATATTTTATATCATTATTTCATTTTACCTGGTAACTTAACAATAAAAAAATTATAAAATAATTTAACATTTTTTTCATTGTTACTAAATTCTTGCATATTAAATTCAAAAATAAAAATAATAATGTATTCTAAAGATTTATTATTTGCTATGCTTTCTAAAAAGGAGGGTTTTTTTAACTTGTTTTAATTTTTGTAAAAGTTAACTTAGGAAGAAATTGGAATTTGATCACGCACTGGAAATTTTTCCATTCCTAATATAACGAACCTCATGATATACCTTGTGACTGATTTTCAGCCATAAATCAAAATTTTGATGAAAGTTGTAACACGAAATGATGTGCACTAGCGAAGTAGTTTTAATGTTAAATCTCATAGTTTCATTGATTATATTGATATATTAATAATTGTGCGTAGTTTGTACTTATGTTTTCCATCTATGCTAATTCATTACATTATAATGAATCCGCAAAAAATGTAATGTGAAATCGGTGAGTTAAATGTTTTATCTTTATTCTATCATAAGTAATACATAAAACCTTTGATCAATATTACATTCTATAATTAAATTATTAATTCAATCTACGAGATTTAAAGCTAAATAATATTTTTTCAGAAATTAGTAGACTTTTATAAGAAAGCCAGCAAAGATAATTGAATTTGTACGAACTGACCCAATGGATGGATTATAATTTTTTAGAAGATAAATATGTTATCCATGTTTACATAACTTTGTCTTTTTTAAATATACAGTCTGTATGTAAATTAATAAATGTTTGATAAAGAAAAAGTGACTTTTTATGCACACTATGCACACGTATATAACGATTGCAACAGCCAGCTGAAACTAAAATGCCAAATGTTAAAACTATTTCATCATTTAGTTCCAGTTAAACTGACCAAACTGAACATTACTTTGAATTATCTGATTTAATAAATTTAATGCATATAATGTATGTAAAATATTAAACTAATTAATATATTAATTAGAAAATGATATTATTTACCGATTTTCTTTTATTAAAAAATTCATATAATTTAAATTTTATTAATAACATGGAATTAACGCAAAAATCCTTTAAGATTATAAAATTTATTGTATATATATTGGATAATAATACAAAAATTTCATGCTAATATAAGTTATTTAAATTACAAACTAAAAACTTACATTTTAATGTCATAAATAATTCGATTAAAAAAGTAAATATATACACATATTTTTAAATACTTAATATCACGAAACCTTTTTTATAAAAAAAAATTGAAAAATGTTAAACAATTTATTTAAATAATTCATATATTAAAATATGCCTAATGTTTCATTTAAAACAAAAATAATTGCCTTTAAAACTAATCATTCTGATCACTTGATTCTTCGATCAATGAACAAAAATCAACACTCATATCGTCAGTAATTTTATATTTATTGATATCTGTTAAAAATTAAAAAATATTAATTAAAATATTATAATAAATTTAAAAAAAATATTGCTTAAGTTACAAAATTATTACCATCTTTAAGGAATTCCTCTACAAAAGGATTAAGTAATCGGGATGTATAAATAGCTTGTAGATGAGTAGTAAGATTGTTAATGAACAAATGCTGGTTCACTTTTCTATATTCTTCTGATATTTTGAATTGCCTTTCAATTTCATAATATTTCTGTTCCTTTTCAATTTTCATACAAATTTTAAAGCTTGATCCTGCTGGTGATTTTTTGTAAAATTCATCGTAAACTTCATCATATTTATACGAATAATAATATAATTTGAGCAATTCTTCTATTTCGGCTGCTTTTAGTCTATTGTCTGGATTTGAATCCAAACACTTTTTCATCAAATCAATATAACATTCAGGTGCTTCTGGCTCATTTAATTCAGGTCTGCCTCCTTTACATATATTCAATGCTAGATAGTGGTCATGCTTACTATTAGCAAAAGGTTGTTTCCCAGTTGCAACAAAATACATAATCATACCAAAACTATATATATCTGCTGCTTGAGTATATGGTTTTCCTTTTAATACTTCGGGTGCTACATAAGGCATAACTCCATAAATATTATTGTGATTATTAACATCATCAGCTCTTCCACACAATCCCATATCTGAAATATATGTATAATTTAAAGTTTTAGATTGAAATAATATATTTCCTGTATGAAAATCACGATGAACCATTTGATTTTGGTGAATTTCCTTGAGTCCTTTGATAATATTACATAGTATCTTCATTTTATTTAGCCAATTAAAATTGTTATTATTGTTATTTACCCAATAATTAAAATTTCCACCCTTTGCATAACCAAGAACCATAATATAATCTTTTGTATCTGGATTTTGAGATATTCCATATATTGGAAGAATATTCCCAAAGATATTCATTGAATATGCTTTAATCTATTTAAAAATATATTATTATGTATTATAAAAAAAAAGTATAAAAAGTATAAAATTAAGAAATTTCATACCTCATTTAAAAATTCATCAGTGATATTCTCTGAATTATATAAACATTTTAGTGCAACCTCTCTATTCTGGCCATATCTTGCATACCTTTTTTCAAGACAATTGTAACGTAACTGATCATTTACCCATACTGCTGAATATACTTTAGCAAAACCACCTATACCTACTTCTTTAATATAATTAAACTGATCATATGGTATCCATTCAAATATTAAACTGCCACAACGATCAATTTTTAATTGCATTTCTTGAATTAAATTATCAATTTTTTTATTTCCACTAGTCCAGTTTGTAAAATTTTCTTTAAAATAATTTATTTGACATGGTTTACACCATTTGTTAAGCAAATCTGTATATTTTTCATAACATCTTTCACAATATCCATCTGAAATGACCATAATATAATCTTTTGAATCCGGATTTTGAGTTATACCATATATATTAATATAATCATCTTTTCTTTCAATTGAATATGCTTTAGCCTAATAGATATAAAAAATTGTTACATTAAAAAAAAACTGAGACAATTAACTAACAAAAAAAAAATTTATACCTCATTTAGAAATCCACTAACGATATTTTGTGTGTTGTGTAAATACTTTAATATAATATTTTCATTCTTCTGATTTCTTCTGTATTTTGACAAATATTTATCATAATTTAATTGACCAGTCTTCCATATTGCTACAGAAAAATTACCTTTGCTTACTTCTTTTATTTGATTAAATTGATTGTATGTTATCCATTCAAATACTATATCATTACAAGAAGCAATTTTTAGCTGCATTATTTGAATCAAATAATCAATTATTTCAATTTTACTAGTTGTAGATGGTTTCAAATAGTTTATTTGACATGGCTTACACCATTTATTAAGAATATCTGTATATTTTTCACCACATTCTTCACAATAATATTCATTACAAAGAACCATAATATAATCTTTTGTATCTGGATCTTGAGATATTCCATATATTGGAAAACCATTATTACCACCTGGAGCATTAATTGAACATTCTTTAACCTATTAAGTGTAAAAAATTATTATATCAAAAATATATATTTTTTATTCTAGATAGAAATTTTCATACCTCATTTACTAGGAATTCATCGGTATTATCATTGTGCGAATCACATAAATATCTTAAAGCAACCCGTTTATTCTGCTGATCTCTTACATATCTCTCTTTATACAAATTATAATTTGACGGACCATCAACCCATAAAGCTATATACGCAATAAACCCTCCTTTGTTTATTTCTTTAATGATGTTAAGCAGATTGTATGGTATCCATTCAATTATAATATCTTTGTAAGAATAAATTTTTAATTGCATTTCTTGAATTAACTTGTCAATTTTTTTATTTCCACTAGTCCGATTCATAAAATCATTTTTTAAGTCAATTATTTGACACGGTCGACACCATTTATATAAATTTGTATATTTTTCATCACAATTTTCACAATATCTGTTTGAAAGAACTATAATGTAATTTTTTGTATTTGGATTTTTGGTTATTCCATATATACAATTATTATAATTAGAAATACTGACTGAATGTATTTTAACCTGTTAATAAAAAAAAAAATTATTATACTGACAATGCATCATAAATATTTAAGGAAATTTCATACCTTGTTTAAAAATTCATTATTAACATTTTGTAGATTAATCAAACATTTTAAAGTAACATGTTTATTTTGCTGGATTTTTGTATATTTATTTATATTATTATTATACTTTAATGGACCATCCTTCCATATTGCTTTATATATTGAAGCAAAACCTTCTTTGTCAATTTCTTTAATATCCTTAAATTGATTATAAGGTATCCATTCAAATATATTATCCCACGGGCTATTAATTTTTGATCTCATCTCTTGAATTAAATTATCAATCTTTTCATTTCCACTGGACCAATCTGCAAAATTATTATTTAAATCATTTATTTGACATGTTTTACACCACTTATAGCGTTCATTTTTATATTTTTTGCCACATTTTTCACAATAAAATCCATCCAAGATAACCATAACATAATCTTTTGTATTTGAACTTTGAGATATTCCATATATTTTCTTTTTATAATAACATTTTTCTATTTTATCCTATTAGGTATAAAAAAAAAATTCTTATATTATAAAGCATTTACATCATTTAAATAAACTAATAAAGAGACTCCATACCTTAAATAAAAATTCATTAATGGAATTGTTTGAATTAAACAAGTGTTTCAAAAAGACTTTTTTATTCTGATTTCTTATATATTCATTTTTATTGTTATTGTAACTTAATGGACCATCTTTCCATATTGCTAAATATAAATTGATTGTATGGTATCCATTCAAATACTATACCAATATCATAATCAATTTTTAATTGCATTTCTTTTATTAAATTGTCAATTTTTTCATTTCCGCTGTTCCAACTTATTAAATGTTTATTTAAAATATTTATTTGGCATGGCTTACACCATTTATTATATATATCTGTATATTGTTCACCACATTTTTCACATCGTTCGTGAGATGACATTTTTCAAAGTTTAATTTTACGAAAGCAGGAAAAAAAACGCCAAAATGTAAATCCTTTTTCAAAATCGATTTTGTATAACGGTGTACGTGTAGAAAAACATTTCTCGGTTTAAAAGTAACTTGTTGGTCGATCACGATTTTTATAAATGGAATATGAAGTTATAATGCCTTAATTTATAATGGTGTAGTTAGCCGAAAACCGGAGCCGAATTCCTGATTGCCGATCATCCGGACCCGGTTTAATCGCAGAAAATCCCTGGAATTCCACGACAATCTACGCCTGAGCAGGGTCCGGATCACGTTGCGGCTAATTATTTTTCGGCTAACTACACCATTATAAATTACGGCATCCGTAAATTACCTAGTGAATTTATTAATTATGAGGCGCAGTATTATATTTAGAATTAGTGTATAAATTTAAAATTGTATGACGCAACAAACGTCCGAGATGACGTTAAACTAGAGAACATGTGATTCGAGTGACGATCTATAATTAGATTTTGGAAAGGAAAAAATCGGAGCACTTATATTTTAGGAGAAGTTCCAAAAGAAGGAAAAATTCGAAAAATGTAAATTAGCATAAAATTTTGAAAAACTAAAATTTTGAGTTGAAAAGTGAAAAAAGGGTAAATTGTTTCTTGGAGAAAGTATTTTTGGATTATTATTAATAGGGTAAATTTTGAGTTTGTGAAAATCAGAATACGAAATTTGGGAAATTATTTTTTGATATATTTAGTTATATTAAGCTTGTTAAGCCTAAGGTGGCAACGTGATTCATCACGGGCTTTGGGCTACAACGTATAAGTGTCGCGACACGTGAGCCTTCTCATATTGAAATTCACTGAATTTTTTTTTTGTTTAAAAAAAAAAGTTTTATAACCAAAAGCATACTAATTATATAAACTAAAAGTTTTATGGATGATCTTATTTCAACAAACTATCTTTTTAAGCAAGGTGATAAAATAAAAAGATATTAAACTGTGGTTTATTCTGTATTCATATTTTAATTCAGACCGGTATTTTTACATATTTCATATAGTTCAAAATTATACCAAAATTCAGCAGAATTAGGTTAGGCGAATAATGCATGTTCTACTTTTACTTTATATTGAACTTATTGAACATTCTTAAGCAGATTTAAAAGAACAACATAATATTTGAATCATATATTTAGGCCGTTCTCAAGCAACTCCTTCAATTTGATCAAGTAGTGATGTTCATTGTGCTTAAGTATAACAATCAATAATGAGCATGCCTTTTTTTGCGTCAAAAATATCAAAGATATTTTACGCAATAATACAGTAAAAAAATATCAGTGTGTTACTGCATATTATTTATGTTATGCATTAGTATGACAATTAGACAAGTGTACTTAGAGGTTTCATAATTATTATTTATGAAGTTATGATAATTAGAATAATCTTGCGTAATATTATTACCTGAATTCATTGTTTTTTTCGAATTAATTTTTTGATTATACATTTGTGATTATTTTAGTGGTATTAGCGATGTACAACGATATAACGGTTTAACGTAAGAACGTTGTCTCAATAATCAATGATCATCATTTTGTTTCCTTGGTATTACTTATATCAAACGTCACTAGCATGGAGATAATCTCGTTTTACTTTATATAGATTTTGATCGTCGAACTAAGATGAATATGGAATCGGGGGGAAAAATCTGATACACAAGACTGCGCACAAGACTTCGCTGTTGCACAATTTATAACAGTTTTTTAGAATCTCATAGATATAAAGAAAAATATATAAATATATGGTTACTCTTTATTTTAAAAAAAATATATTTATTTAACTTTTCTTAATTTAAAAATTATTAGAAACATGAATTCACAAGATTATTCTAATTTACCAATGGATCAAAGTCATCAAACTGAAAATAACTTCGTAATAATACTAATACTATATTTGAGTTTTATCTTTTACCAAATGATACGCGTATTAATCACGTTACTTATACCGAATTAAATTCAATGGAGTTCGTGAATAATAGAATTGATTTATCTCAAATTCCTGGTCATCGGCTTCCTTATCATTATAATCATGTGCAACATTTAATTCGACAACAAATTTTTCAACAATCTGTTAGTTATTAAAGAATATTCTGATAATAGTGCTCACGATGTATCTTCAATTCCTTCTATTTAACAACCTGTTGATTACCAACAAAATACCATCCCACAACCAATATTTCGATACTATAAATATTCAACCCACCTTCCAAGAATACTCAGATAATAATGCTTGTGATGCATCTTTAATTCCTTTAAACAGTAGTGAAGATATCTCAGGTTATAATGGAGTTCAATTACATCAAAATAATCAAGGCTAATCCCGAATCATAAGATAAAGCTGTAGTATTTATTAAACTAGATATTATATTCTTTAAGAAATATTGGTATACTTATACGTTATAGTTTAACATCAATTTTTAAAGTATGTTTCACTAATTTTTTTTTTTAGTTTCGTAAGAAATTTTGATGGATATAAATATATTGTTATTTTTTACATCAGTTCTTTTATTTTATCGCATAGTTTTTAAGCAATGAATTTTTTATTATAATAATAATTTGATTAAAGGTTAAAATGCAATGCATATTTGTATCAAATTCTCTATTATTTATTTTAAAAGATTCTTGCATTAAAAGTAAATTTCTATATTGCATCTTTGTTATACTAAGAATAAAATAAATTGAAATAATGATTGAGCGCTTTTTATTAATTGAAGATCATTAAAGAAAAAAGATGGTTTTTAGCTTGCTTGTTTTTCATAAAATTAGGAAACCCTCTGAAACTCTGAAAATCTGATATTTTTTGACCAATCGAACCACTCATCAGTCATCAGTGATCAGTCGGCCTATCAATTGAGGTGTTTGAGCTTTATATGTGTCGTCAGAATTACTGAATCATTAATTCGGCATTTTGAATATTCATATATTATTCATAAATACATATTAATAATACCATAAATTGTAAATCTATAATGTTAATGTTGATTTTTTGATAAATATTCAAATGAATTTCTTTTTTTGTATCGCATAACTTTCTATTTATGGTATTTGAATTAAAGCATTACGGATTATTACGTATAAACTCCATATGCCGTAATTAATTCCGACAAGTATATTGAGCTTAGACGATGTTTGAAAGTCAACACTCAATAGGTTTGAAATTTACTTAGAAATTTAATTTATGGATATATTTGCCTGTCGACAAATTTAATGACGTAATCGGTTTTGAGAAAAATTTTTTTATATAAAATCACATGATTGTGTTATACAATCATAACTTATACTACCGATGAAATTTTATGTATTACCGAAAATTAAAAGGTTCGAAGGCAACTTTTGTAATATGTTATACAAGCTATATCATCCTTTTATATCTCTATAGATAAATATTTTGATGGATTTTACAAATAAAAATTTCATACAAAAACTTACTAGCAGTAAATATTTGTAATACAATTGGTTCTACATATTACGAAAAAATTTAATTTGAACTTTACTATATACATGTAATTAGTACACTTGTTATATTTAATTTCAAAAAAAGTTAGCAGTCTGCATTAAAAAAAGAAAGGATAGTATCCAACTTTCGATATATTTTCATCCCTCCAATAACTTACCGGATGATCATTAATCGTTCAAATTACGATATTGGACAACTTTGTCCAAGTTCAGCCACTCCCGATTCTCACCATTAACTAATCTTCCGGCACCGATTCCTCCCTATATTACTAATAAATGCTGTCCTAAAATAAGAATGTTTAGTAATATTATTAGTCATTCAAATACAAAGTAAAGTGATATGTAGTCATATGAAATATTACAAAATAGAAACACAATGGCTGTGTTATGTACCAAAATCATGAAAATCATACGAAAATTTTGTGTATTATCGCTGTGTTCAAAATACGTGAAATTGTACAAATAATTTAGTGAAACTTGCGATTATTGGTTTGAATATTTAAATTTTTAAATCCTAAAGTCAAAAAAAATTGCTTGTATCTACTATCTAGTGCTTCGATCCGGATGGGATTTTAACGGATCAATCCGCGGTTTACTACAGTTTGGAAACGGTTTATTTGAGTTGGAGCTATAAGTTTGGCCAAAATTAATAAAATTTGTAGAAGAATAATTTTTTAAATCTGACAAAAATTATAGTTTGACAAAAATAATAGAAAAATGTTGTGATGCTAATCAACGGATCAATCCGGATCGAAGCACTACTTGTATCTTATAAGTGTGTGAACTTTTATTTGTTGATCATCACGCACCTGATTCGAAAACAGCGATAAATAAAAAAAAATTGACAATTTTTCTAATTCAGTTGTTTATAAGATACTTATTTTTCGAGATTCAAATTTTGTGAAATTGATTGCAGGTCTAACTCTAAAAAGGTGTAAATGATCTGATTAACAGGTTAGACTAATCAATACGTGAGACAAACATTTTCTGAATAGCTATTCAATTAAAGAATTCTAACAATATTTGAACGTATAGGCATGAAAACTTGATTTCATAATATTTCTTTATAACTTCTCATTAAGAAACATTAAAGGAAATTAATTTATTAAATTAAATGCTTAATTTTTGTCTACTTTACTTACAGGATCTCACTCAATATTCATTATCTCGCTCATTTCTTACTTCGAATCGAATTATTAATAAGTATAAGCTACAGTAAGAATTTTTCCCGCGTTATATTATCTTTTTATCGTTCAGCCCAATAGGATTATGCAGATTTTCATAGACCAATATTTTTATTAGACATAACAATAATAAATGGTAATTGATAAAATGAGGTGGAGTAAAAAATGGTGTAAATAAAAATTTGTTAAAAATAGCATAAAATGAAATTTATAGATAGTTAAATATGAAGCTTATTTATGATGCTACGCCAGAATCACACTTTGGGGCTATATCGCTATATCGGGTTTCATTCCAATCATTCGGTTCTGTGACCGAAATAGCTACTCCCCCATCTATGTACTTACTAAATTTGATAAATCGTACTATACTGATTTTACTATATACCCTATCTATAAAAGCTAGATAAAAGTAAGTTTATTTCATCAGTTAACATGAGCAGAACAATAATATATTTATTAGATATTTATTAGATAGGAGCTATATCAGTCAATAAATCACTTGTGTCTCAATTATTGGATGAAAATGTGTCACATAGTGGACGTTTCCTCCAATAATTAAGATACATGTAATTAGTTAAATGTTATAACTACTTTCCTATCCAATAAATAACAAGTAAAGTACAAATAAATAAGTTTGTAGTGTCTTTTTATATGTTTAATGTTAAAAATTTAAAGTGATTGGTTAAAAATATTTTCTGTGATTTCCGTGAACAGTAAATTCTGGATGACGATTAGATATGATAGACAATTATTACATAAATATTTCATGTATTTAAAAATTTATAACACATTCTCAATAATATAATTTCAGTCGTCTATGGATAATTTTTTTTTCGAGATCCAGATATTCGAAGTTTAGTGTCATTAATCGACAGATCTGCCTCTAAAAAGAGTCGACAATGGGTCCCATCCACCAGATCGACAAAGGATCTAACGTATAGGGTTAGATCTTAGTCTATCGGGTAGATGGGTGCTATTTGATTATCAGGTTAGACTTAACCAATAACGTCAGTGAATGAATATTCAATACATGAAATAAACTAAATAATTATTCATTAAAGAATTCGAATTCTAACAATAATTGAACGTATGTGTATGAAATTTTTCTGAATAAGTTAAACATTGGGATGTTGAATTTCATATTATTATTGTTACGCGAAATATTGCGCACATGATTTACGTACATTATGTACACGTCGATTCCTAACGTTACATGACGATTTACGTCGATATACAACCGCTGATTTGTGTACACAGATTAACTTAATAGATGATATTGATTATATTCGATCATATTTACATATGTAGTATTATTATGATATTTATTTTTATTTTTGTTTATATTATTTATATTATTTATTTTCTGTATTTGTATTATCTATATGTATACAATTTTTATTAAGGAAAATTAGCTCAATAGTAATTATTAAACTATTTAAATTTGTCATTTGTGTTCTATTAAAAAGTGGCTTACAATAAAAACTATCACTATTGTAATTACATTGATATATTACGATGAAACATTAATAATCAGATATCAATAGGATATCGATAGATTAGATTTCGCCCTTTGATGTCAGAAAAAGAGATGGAGAAATAGATATTAATATACCTTCCGCCAACTTATCGATAGAAGTAAATATGTTGAGTCATATTAAGATACGACTCTTATTTACCGATATATTCGGTAACATTATCCACTTACATAGCCTCTTAGAGGAGGGATGTATGGATAATTTCGGGCATAAATGCATATAATATACAGTGACCTATTGAAGATCTTAAGCTCTTTATATCATTATATCAACATATTTGAAATAAACAAAAGTTTTTTCTAAAAAAATATCAAAATGTAAATATTTAAGCAGTGCGTTTTCTTTTAAAAAAATAAGTAAATAAATAATATATGAAATAAAATAATCTTTTTTAATACTTATTTTCATGAAAAGCGAAAATGTCAAATTCACTTTTAGCCGCAGCATTAAGTGCCATAACGAATCGTTCGGTTATTACTTATGATGATTATTCAAAAGGAGGACATGATGGATGTTCTCAATTGGATCAAAAAGCTCTTCATCAATCTCATTTAGTTGGTGGCAGAGTGCCAACATCTAATGAAGAAGAACGAATTCGCATATTCATTATGGGAATTAACGGTAGAAATATAGGAGTAGAAGTTTGGCCAAGTGATGAAATTCGCCAATTAAAAGAAAACATTAAAGGAGAATTAGGTATAGAACCAAATCAACAAAGATTAATATTTGCAGGTAAACAACTTGAAGATAATCTTACTTTAGCAAGTTACAAAATAGGATCTCATTCTACAATACAATTAGTAGTTAGATTAGGTGGTGGTGGAGATAGTAGTGGTGGCGATGGTACTCATGGTAGTTATCCTTCCCCTTCTACTGTTTTATTCATTCATCCGGATTCACTTGCCCCAAGTTACGATTATGATTTTACACAAATAGATGATAAAGGTAAAACTTTTATGCGAGGAAATGTTGAATACAAGCGACCTTGTGGTTGGAAAAGAATTGCTATCAATGTTCTTAATAAATATGGTGATAACATTTGGCTTGGAGTTGATAGAAAATCTTCAACAAGCTCTGCAACAAATGAATGGCCAGGTATTTATCATCTTTTTTTGATATACAAATGTTTTACTTATTTATATTTGTTTATTATTTATTAATATAATACCATCTATTTTAATAGTTTCTTATCATGGAACTGCTAGAGATAACTGCAAATTAATTTCTCAAGTAGGGTATGACTTGGCGAAGTGTAAACGATTCTTATTTGGAAATGGAATTTATTCTACTCCAGATATTGATATTGCGTACCAATTTGCTACTAGATTCACTCATGATGGGGATAACTATAAAGTCGTGTTTCAGAATAGAGTAAATCCGAACAGCTTAGTTGAAGTTTCAAAAGAAGAAACTGGGAGCGGTGAATTTTGGATTTCACCAAAAAACGATGATTTGCGTCCTTATGGTATCTGTATTAAAAAAGAAAATTAAATATTTTTTTTTTCTTTTCATCATTTTTTTTACATATTTATTGCTGTGATAACTATTGAATATTTTAAAAGATATCATTGTTTTTTTAAATAAATTATTTGAATTATAAGTTAAATTAAAATGTGATTAAGTATAAATTTAATAAGCAACAAAATACTATATGTTCTGAATAATTTCAGTGTATTTGTATAGCCTAGTATATTAGTATAATAAATGCGAAACACATGAAAAATTTAATGGTTAAAGTACGAAGCTAATTTAGTTTTATAGTTAATTGAAAATAATAAATATGAATTGAAAGATCGAGCAAATTTTACATTGTGGCCAAGCAATCATTGGTCGATCACGCTAAAAATTTTGACCAATTATAGCAAAATCCGTACACTCAGAGAAGAGTTACCAAGTAAAGTTTAAATATATTTGACTCTTGTAGAACTACTTAATAAAATTATATGAATACAATTTGAATGTGAACATTGGAATTTTTATAATAAAAAGAGTACAATATAAATAGTAATAAATCTTTATTTATTACGTAAAAAAAGAAAAATAAACTATCAAATGATATCAAAATTATAAAATTTCCCACTTTCCTAAAGTTTTCAAAAATAGAAATACAAAAAAAAAAAGATACTATCCATCAAATATTCTTAATAAAAATCGCGCGCAATTTTAAAAGCTATTCATATTGAAATTGTTAACTACATATTTACTTATCTAATGTTTTCTTTACTTCCTTGATTGGTTGTACCGGTGCTTCTTTCCATACTTCACCCACATCCTTTATATCTTGATTACCAGTTAATTTACCAATGCCCTCTGTTACCACTCCAGTAGCTCCCAAACCAGCTGAAGCTGCAATACCAACCGCTGGATTTGTTGCAGTTATACCAGTAGTTACTGTTCCAAGAACTTGCTTTGCTCCTTCTTTTTCTTCAGAGGGATCAGGACAGGGTCCATATCCCCCCTGCTTTCCAATATCTCTATGATTTAAATCAGGATATAAAATTTGATCCACTTCCATTTCTATTTCTGGAATTTTTTGCTCGAGATTGAATTGTGTCTGTTTTAAATCTTCACCCATAATGGTTTAAAGCAGTTAAAAATTATTTTCAGGATTACAATAATATTATTTGCAGGTAAAACGAAAATATTTTTAATCGCTGTGAAAGTGGGCGCTAGGGGTACTTATATGTAAATTTGGGGTCTAGGTCATGAAGACCAACAAAAAACCGAAGCCTAAATGTCACGTCCTTCACGTCTTATTATTGACACGTGCACTTGCATAACTCATATAACGTATATTTATTATGCGACAGTGGCTTTGTCTTTTAACCGGCTCACAAAAATAAAATACAAATAATTTACATCATAGCAAATATTACATCATAGCAAATATTTTCGTTGCCTATTATTATAAGATTTTGAATAATATATACATCATATACAATAGGTTAATACATCATAATCTAATTGAAAATTATTTTTTTTTCATTTTAATAAAACAAATATTAACATCATATTTAACGCACGTATGAAACAAATTCATGATCATTCTTATTTAATTTTAAAAACAAATAAATTTTCAGCCATACACTGTTTGGACTGTTTAAACCCAAAATAATGCAATTACCATATTAAAATTAAGATTAAATATGTCAAAATCACGTCATCATGTGTCGAATACCAAATGATAAATGAACAAATGATACTGTAAATCGCATATGAGATACAATAAATGATATAAAATTTTTAATAAGGTGAAGAAATGGCCTTGGTGATGAGTGTACTACCATGGACTGTAAATCAATTGTCCGGAGGATATTTAATATAATTAATAATTAATACACTGCAATTTCAGTCATCTTTTTCTCTTTTTGTGTTTTGTGACCATAGAATAATTTTTTTGGATTTTGTGGCATTGATCGGCAGTACATCTCTTATAAATAATGACGTCACTAAACGAAAATTCAATAGTCGAAACGAATATTTTTTCTAAAATGAATGTAAAATTGTAAGAATTTAGTAATATTCAAGATGATAATTCCAGAGAAATTGGAAAATTTATTGTGCAAATAAAAAAGATGGTAAACTTCTGCGAGATGATAATAATGAGTAATAAACGCATGTGATTATCATTTTTATAATAAGATGAAGGTTATACAAACTGGATTTACTATGAAATCCCGACAAATCATAATCTCGAAACTTCAGAATCCCATAACCACATTATCCCGACATTCATTATCCCGACATTCATTATCCCGACATTCATTATCCCGACACTTACTATCCTGATGCGCTATTTTTTTTATTACTTGTTTTATAGACGTAATATTATTGTAATATTTTGTAATAAATATGTAATAATTTTTAAAATGTCGCAAAATTAATTTCTGTTGTGAAAATTAATATCATACATCGCAAAATTAAGTAACCTGTAATGATTTTTTAAACCACTTCGCAAATATGATTTGCAAAATCACTGCGCAAATATTAATGTTTTATTGTTTTTTTTTATTAATATTTTAATGAATTTAATAATACATCGCAAAAATTAAGAATCACTTCGCAAATATTAATGATTTATTGTAAAAATGCAAATTATAAATTTTTTGTAAATTTTATTTATTTTGATTAATTTTTTTTAAAAAAAAAGATCTTGCTTTTAAATTCAATAAAAATTAAATTATTGCGTCATATTTTTTTTAATATACTGATTAAAGATTTTAATAAATCATTTTTTTAGAATTTCTATATTATGTCATTATATTTCAATTGCTAGGAGGATAGTTTCGGGATAATGAATGTCGGGATAATGAAATGTCGGGAATAATGTGGTTACGGAATTCTGAAGTTTTGGGATTATGATTTGTCTCTGGATTGTGAGCGTCGGGTTTGTGTTGTAGCGGGATTCTGATTGTCGAGATTTTGAACGGCTCCCGTACAAACTCTCAGATTAATTAGATTATGTGATTATTAATTAGCGACGAGTATCGGAAATATTTATAAAGGACGTTGATCACAAATTGCATACTATTCAGGGATTTTCCTTTCATTTTAATATTACATAAAATAAACATATCACAATCTTTTTTTTAAAAATTTAGAATATCAACGGATAAATATTACGGTATTTAAACATTTATAATATACTATCATAAAATTTTCTATCCCTATATGTCAACAAAACCTTTCGCAATAATTTCTGCTTCATCTTCTCTTTATAAATAATTTTACCGGTTTTAATCTATTCAATAATATCTTTTTCAACTCTTTTTTAATATCTGTTCCAAGATATTCATTCCATCACAATAAATCCTTGCAAATAATGACAATATTGTCTAGGGTTTAATATTTGACAAATCATGAAGAAGGATATGAAATAAAATTTTAAAAGAAAAAGTAATTTATCGCCTTATCACGTAAAATTAACCGATTTTACACAGATTTATTTCGGTTTACTTACGTGAAATTTTCTTTATGAGTTTTTTTTTGTATAGAACGTTATAAACGTTTCTAATGTTCTTGTCTTTTGTACCTTCGGAAATAAAGGTCCATTTCGGTAAGGTGAGGGAGGGTTTTTGTAAAGAATGATAGAAAAGTTCTATTATTTCTGTTTTTTTTTTAAGGGAAAAACAACCAAAATCATTGGAAATAAAAGCCCACTTCAGTAAGTATGGTGAAGAGGAAGGATAATTTTTTTTGTAAAGAACGTTAAAATGTTGATGTTTTTTACTGTATATAGGAATGATACTCCCTTGAACCTGCATTTAATTTATTGTTAATGTGTTTTGCTAATTGACATGTGTGAACGCTTCTTACTTTTAATATTCATTTATCTTTGGCTATTTTCGTCCCTGTATTTGATCTTGGATATATTTCTTTCTTGATCTTTGGATGTAAAATGATCTTGATCTTTAGTGCATTGTGTTTTTGATCTTTGGAGTATATCTGATATACATATTTTCTTGATTTTTGGTGTGTATTGTTTTCCTAATCTATATTTGTCATATTATATTCTCGATTTTTACTCTTGATCTTTAGTATATCTTGATTCTTAAGCAATTATAATACAATGTCATTGAAAATTTTGTAAATATATTCTTGTTATTTGTTAATCGATAAAAGATATATCGTTATGCAATAGCAAATGATTTCTTCGAAGTCGCGTAATAAATTATCACGTGATACAAGTAATAATATCAATAACTAGGGGTGTGGGGGGTCCAACTGGTGGTTACACAATATGATTTCGTATTTACAAAACTGTCACCTGAATTTTTGCCGATCACATATTAATTTAATATATCTGAGAAACATCTCAAGCCCAAAACTTTTGACACATAACGTTTTTAAAAGCCGATGTTCGACAGTCAATTACCCTAGGTGGGGGTTACGCATTGTCAAAATTTCACGGCTGTTGGTGCATTATTGGCTTTCTGGCATAGCTTAAAAAATTACTATTTCGACAAAGAAGGTTTATATTTTACATTTTATTAATTTTATTGCAATTTTAAGTTTAGTTATTACGAATTTATTCAAATGATCTCAATAATAGAATACTTTTTTAATCAGTTTAATACTTTTATTCCATAAAAATAGTATTTTTTCTAAGCGCTTCCTCAATAAAAGGTGTCCTATTTTTTAAACTAGTGACAATTATAGGTACCAATTTTTGTTTTCTTTTATATTGTGTTGATATTCCAAACGCCCAAACTAACCATAATAACTCTTGCACCAAAAAGACTTTCGCAAATGACTCTTCTGCTTCTTCAAGTTGTGCCCATGCACGAAGTTGTTCCAAAGCATTAGCAGGATCAGACGGCAAATATGCCTTTTTTATAATGGTAGATTTTTTGTTTTCGGAAGTTACTGTAGAGTTACTAGAGCGCATCACCTTTAGATTTTCTCGTAAGCTTGCTGTACCTTTTTCTGGAATATAATTATTAACATCTCTCCATGTTTTTTGACGACTCTTCATATAGATTGAGACACATCTTTCATAAATGAATTTCATTTCCTCATTTTCCAATTCAACATTTGTTTTCTCATTTGAAGATTTTAAAACCTCAATAAACATCTGGTTTAAATGTAAATTGATAAGAAGGCTGTTTTTCACATAACATAAAATATTTGGCCCTAGCACACTATGTTTTTCAAACAATTCAATTACCAGAGATTCTAGGTGATACATGAACTTAAGAAATTCAGATCCGGGTATAACATTGGTAGTTTGTAATTTTGTTTCTATCGTATATTCAACCTTTTCAATGCAAAGAGCTCCAAGTAAAATTCGCATAACTGAAAATTTGGGATGTGAATTCATCAAATGGTCTCTTTTAAGTAACTTGAAGAGTATCCAACCAACAATATAAGAAAATTTGGAAGCTTCAGCACGATTTAAGGTAATAATGACTTTGGGAATTAAAGTGGGATCTGCTTGCTCTTGTATGTTTTTATTTTCATTAAACTCACTCTTATATGTTTCTTCTAACAATTTTTGAATAAGAAAATAAGCAACTAATCGTTGTGTAGAAAGTGAACTTTGAGAAACTATAACCTCTTGGAATTGCTGAAACCAAACTCCTGAACAAATATAGTTATTCAAATTAGCTTCCAGGTGAGAAATCCATGTGGTCATCCAAAGATTTCCTTTTCTTTTAGGTATTGATTTTAGGGCAATATTTTTAATATCTTTTTTCCATTTTTCTAGTAATAAAATAATTTCATTATTATAAAGTAATGAATTAAAGAGCTGCTGACGTTCAATTTGAAGAAGAAGAATTTGTTGAATTTGTTGATCAGCTTCAGTACGAAAAGATAATGTTGGAATGTTGATTCTTCCCATAAACAGGTCGTCTAAGAGAAGACTTTTAAACACTCGTTGCATAAAAGAAGACATCTTAGATAATTCAGTATGGGTTAATAAGATAGGATATACATTTTTATCTTTTGATGATTTTCTTCTATAATCACTAAATTTTTTTTTAAAAAAATAAACAAATTATTTTCAGACACGAAAAAAATTAACCAATATAATAATTACTTACCATCGAGAAAGATAATCAAATTCCATTCCAGTATGACTTGATGTTCCATAATTTAGACTTTTTACTTCAGCAGTTACTTTAGCAGTAATCTGAAATTTATTTAATGCATGGCCATATCCTTTTAGTGTCTGGGTAGAAGAATCACCTCCAAGTTGTCGAATTGTACCAAATAAGCCTTCTAACATATCTTGAGATACTCTACAAGGTTCAATAGTTACATTTGGGTATAAAGTAAAAATATCATTTACCATTCCAAGAAAACCTTGAATGGATAAAAGCAAATCAAACTGGCATTGCGGTGAAATCCAGTTTAATGGACTGATTTTTTGGCTATCTTTAATTACAAACCAATCATAAATTTCTTTTAAAGTTCGTAAACGTGAATCAGCAAGATTTTCTAAAGGTTTTTTGCTATGAAAGATTTGCCGGTAAAGGTATGAGTTTCTTATAAATTCCTTAATAAAAAAATTTAATTGTTAATATTTATAATTTTTTACATAATAATATATATTTATTAATTATTTACTCATGTTCCAGAAGATATTTCCTTTAATTCATCAATCATTTCCATTGCACTTTCAACATCTCTTGACAAAGTTTGTTCAGCAAGATCAACTCTCATTTTACTCCATGATGTCAGCCAAACATGACGCTTAGTAAGTCTTGTAATCTTTGCTGTTACATTTTTACAAGTATATTCATAAACACCTTGAATATGACGCCAACTAACTTCTTTTCCATCTAGCATAATTTCTCTAATATTTCGTCCTCTGCCTTCTCCAACATGACTTTTTGAAAGATTGTTTCGAAGTTTTTTAAAAACATGCGTGGGATCACTAATAAAATACCATGGTGAATTGGTAATTGGATTAATTGTTTTATAATTTGTCCAGTGTATTTGAGCATTATAAAGAGGTCTAACATATGTATCTTGGGATGCATTTTCTATTCTCCATTCTTCATTATTAGACAAAATTGTAATAACCAAAGTTTGTGTTTTAGAATCAAGATTTGTAACAACAGCTGTATGCCATTTATTATCCTTTGGGTTTTTGAATTCACAGGAATCATTAATATTCCAATTTTGTTTAGTAGGCATGGGTGGTCTTATTAAATTACGATCTGCTTGAATATTATTAGAAAAAGATGGATCTAATAAACGTACTGTAAATTTGCTACGATCAAGGTTTGTTGCTATGATTTTTGCTTTCTCATAATTGTTGTTTTGTGCAATATAAACTTCAACAATATCATTTAAAGACCAGGTAGAAGCCCACCAGTCAAAACTTTTAATGTGATTCCTATTTTCACCAGCACCATCACAAATGGATCCAATTGTATGAATGCCAATACATTCAAGATTAGCTGCAAGTTGAAATAGTATTTTATTGATTTCATGTGCAGTAAGAATATTAATACCATAATATGCTATAGGATATGCAAATTTACAAGTAGCTGAATGCCAAACAATTTGATGCACCTGGGTTGATATTCCTCGATCATAATTTGAATTAGGTGAGTTATTTTCCACCTGCAATTCTGTTTGCAATTCTTTTTCACATTGCATTATAAAAGATTGTAATTCTTCTTTTTCATCTTCAAAATCTAAATAGCCAACATAACAATTATCTCGCTGATTCCAAAGTAAACCTATTAAATAGCAAATACAGGTAATTAATTTAATTCTTTTTTTATTTAACAAACATCTTACTAATAAAGCATACCTTTCTGTATTTTAAAAGAATCATGAGAAAAAAAACCGATTCGTCCATGATCACTAATATTTTCCATTGCCATCTTTTGTAAAATATGGTAAGTAGTTTTGTTTTGCCATCCCGAATGTTGTTGACTTTCATTTATATAGCCTTTTAAGGTAGATATTGAAGGTAATCGCATTATACTTTTCATTGCTTCATAAGCAGCACGACCTCCTCGACTGTAAACTGATATAGCCCATCGCAAAAACCTAAATATAATAAAGGTTTATGTATGGTATGTTTTTTTTTTCATTTTAATAATTGTAATGTGCACTTACATAGGGTGATATTTTATTCCATTTGATTTACCACTTTGAATTCTAATCAATTCTTGAAAAATTGGGCTATAAGTAGAAATGTCAACTACGTTTTTGGCAACTCTTTTAGATATCTCTTGTGCAATTTGACCTAGGTCTTCTGATACTTCCTCTTCTTCATTTTCTATCTTTTGTTGAATTTGATCTTGCAAGGTATGTATAATTTGATTCTGTTTTATTATTTTCTTGAAAATAATAAATTAATTAATACTTCCTTTTAAATTTAATAATTTTAACTATAAATAATTATAACTTACCTTTCTTTGCAGTTGAACTTTTTCTATTAAAACTTCTTGAGACGCATGACTGACTTTAATAGATGAAACACCAGTAAGATTTCGATTTCGAATTTTTATTAACGTGTTTCTTAATTTTTGACAATTCTGACATATATCCATATCTTTTATTAATAAATCACAGTCTATTCTTCTGTAGGCTTCATTGGATTGACCTTGGTTTTCCAAAATTGCAAAGGGTTCATGAACATTATTTGAATTTTTTCGATTATTTACAAGATGAGCACCCCGAAGTTTGACTACTTGTTCAAAATCTAATATCAAATTAGTATTTGCAAGTTAATTAAAAATATGCATAAGAATTAAAATACCTTTTGTTATTTGTCCAGGACATATTTTTGATTTAGATACAAATTGGATTGTCTTATTTATTTCTGAGAGGTTTCTTTCAATCGCAATTCCTGTTACAATACCATTTATATTTTGGCTTTTTTTTTCAAGAACATGTATGTCATAAGAAATTAAGTTCTCTTGCCATCTAATTGTTAAATCCTTTTCTACTTTGTCTTCTTTTCCAAAAAATATTACGCCTACTCCATTAATAATTTCTCTTATTGCTGCACCAAAAAACTCTTGCTTAGATGCAATATTTGTCTTAATTAATGATGTAACCTCCGTTATACTTGCTGAGTTGCAAATTTTCCAATAAGGAATTTGTTCTGTTGTTCTTAATATTGAAGCTAAGTTGGAACTGGAAGAAGAATTGGGCTCAAAAAAAATTGTAGCAAGTGCTGATCGTTGTAACCCTAGATATCGAAATAATCACGTGAACAGAGGAATAATTATCCGAAGGCTGAATGAAATACCGAATGGAATATGGATAAACATTTAACTGATGAAAGAATATTTAACTGAAATAATTAGAAATACATTATTATAGTTGTACAATAGTTAGTTATTTATAATAATATTTATTTATAATTCAGTTATTTATAATTATTTATATTATTAGATTAGTTATTAGTAGTCTAGCATAAATAGATTATTATTTCGTTGGGAGGACTTTGATAGTTTAATTGATGGAATGAGAAAATTATGGATCATATAAATTATGATGGAATGGGAAAATTATAAATGATAAATTAAAAGGGAATCAGACAAATCAATTGTTGGGGAAATAATTCATGGATACAGATTTATAATGAAAATGTTAAGTTGGGGAATGTATAATGGAATAACAAGTAAATTGTTGGGGAATGTTAAGTTTTAGATAGATGATCAAGAGATAAGAAAAGATATTCAAGATAAGAAAAGTTATTTAAGATCGAGATTTTGGACTTAAGTGAAGGGAGGGAGTTTCAACTTGAAATTTAAAATAATATTGGGAACTTAGGAAAATATAATGATAATTAATAATGGTATTAGTTGTTAATATAGAGTTACTAATATGGCTTCATATTAGAAAACGTTTAATAATTAATAAATTGACCTTTTAAAATTAAAATTATTAAAAACAAAATAATGAAGTTATGATAACACTAAGGGAAATTATTGAAGTTTGAAATTTTGAATAAATTAAAATGATAAAATCTAAACCAAGCACGGATACATATATATTTATAAATGTTAAGATTTCGTCTATCAGTACGTGGCAGGTGCCGGTGACATCGTGCTCCTCTAAATACTTTTATAGTGTTAAGAAAAAAAAACCAAGAAGAAAAAGTATTATATTTTTCGCCAGTTTTTTTATCAAATACATAGAAGGTCTTATCTTTATTATTATAAATCAATGTCCCTTCTCTATATTTTGTTTTTTTATAAAAAAAATAAACTTGTTTTCCATTAAATTCAGGGTTAAATCGGTATAATTCCTGAAGGGCTTCAGGGTGCTTTTGTTTCTTTGGTTCTTGTGAGTTAGTTTGATCACTTAAAACGCGTTTCTAAGTACAAAAGAACTTTAAAATTAATAAAAAATTTAAAAGTAAAGCGTTAAATTTGACTTTTTTCACCTTCGTAACCATATTTGTTGAAATGAAAATAGCCGATTAAAATTTTTTCTTTTTAGAGAGGTCCAACCGCGTTTTGAAGTACCTAGAAGCAAAAAACCAGTTCTGTTATGTTTCAATTTTACTTGAGTGTAACATTTTTTATATGGTTAATCTTTTTTTATTGTGTGCGATATTCATCCAATTTTTATCATTTAATTAGTAACATATATAAATTTAATATGAAGGACAGTTTTGCCAATACGAAATCATATTGTGTAACCACCAGTTGGACCCCCCACACCCCTAGTCAATAATACATATTTGGGACATTTCAAATTAATGAACTGCGTTAATAAAAATTTTCAAATTCTTTTCGGTCATGTGACGATTTTGACGTCACCAAAATTTTACGTCTATTGCTTTAAAATTTTAAAATAGGATATCTCTGTCAATATTAATCCAATTTTTACAATTTTTATGATTTAATAACCATTAAATTCATCTCAGTGAGATATCTAATGAACCATAAATTGTTCATTTCTAATCATTAGTTTGTAAGATAATATTAGCAATATTTTAATTAATATATTTTAATAAGGATTTTATAAAAAATCGCCATAGCGATGTGTCGCAAGTGTCACGTGACTTGACATATGTAATAATTTGTCACCCCGCGTCACATCCTCTAGTTTTCCATTTTTATTATTTATTCTGGGGACAATTTTTTCAGTGCAAAAAATACTATTTGTCACTCCCTATACATCACGTGCTTAATTTCGGCCAAATTTTATAACGCTGGCCAAAATATCCTTTTTTAGAGCTTTAGGTAACGTTACACAATCCAAAAAAGGCAATTTTATTTTCAGCAAAATTCAAGTTTTTGTTACACAAACTTACAAAAAAAGGAAATTTCTTTGACGATCTTTTAATTCCGGCCGGAATTATAAAATCACGTGACACTAGCGATGCATCGCCATGGCGATAAAAAACAAAACCCTAATAATAAATATAATAATAATAAATACAAAATTCTACCATTTTGATTTGACTTGATAAGGCAAGTCTAACAAGTCAAAGAAAATTAAAATCCAATTACTGATAGTGAGAAAATTTCTTTATATATAAAAAAAGGTAAATATTAAAATTCATATATAATATAATATTACACTCAAATGAATATAATTTTTTAATATTTTAATATCATAATATTCAAATATCTTATTGTTTAATAAATTAATTTATTAATATTGTTATAAAAATAGTTTTAAGTATCTTTGATTAGAAGCATTAAAAGTAAATATTTTATAATAATGTAAAGAATTTTTCTAACTATCACCGGGGTGATGATCACCGATGACTGAAATTATGACGATCGACCAGCATTAAAAAAATAGAGTGCCGGTAAAATTTGATAATTCTGGCCAACGGTGATGATCACCCCGGTGATTTGAAGTAAAAAACTAATGTAAAATTATAGTTTCTCTATATAAACCTAAAATTTTACATTTTAAATCTACTTATTCTGACTAAGTAAAGTTGTAGCTTGGATAATTTTACATATAATTTCCAAATTTCTATGTTCATAAGATAAATATATGAAGCTCACATACAACTCAGAGATTTAATTTTAGTATTTTTAACAGTTTCTATATATAAAACTAAAATCTGCATTTTAAATCTACTTTTTATTTTTAAGTACATCTGTAGCTTGGATAAAATTACATATAATTACAAATTTCTGTATTTATAGAATAAATGTACGAAGCTCACGCCTAAATTTTGTACTCAATTTTAATATTTTTAATAGTTTCTATATATAAAACTCAAATTTAGCATTTTTAATTAGGTTTTTGATACTAAGTAAAGTTGTAGAGCCTATAAAATTACATTAACTATAAGAGGATTTATATTATATGTAGGTAAAAATATTAAAAAAGTTCGTAAAAATTAAAAAAGTCGTGTGTTACGTAAAATGAATTGCTTTTACTTATAGATCAACATGATGCATTTTCATCAATTTTGTATGAAAAAAAGCGTTAACATCACTTTTGCCCCTATGCTAATACTATTTTGCAACAACTAAACTTCTTATTATTTTAATATATAAATTATATTATGTATTCTTTTTTTAAAAAATTTTACTATTTTTGTGATAATAGTAATAGTGTTAAAGTATCTTCTATTAAAAGCAATTCATTTTTTTTGTGACACCAAAAATGGCTGTCATTTGATTGGATATAATTATTATTATATGGTCAACATTAATATTAAAGTCACTAATGCTAACGCTAAATTAAAACAAAAATAAGAATAAAAATAAAGACAAAAAAAAAAGCATTAAGATGGGGTTTGGGCCTTTTGGGGTCTCGGGCCCAGAAAAATTTTTTTCCAATAAAATATCGTTTTGGGCTGCTGCTAGTTTTACAGGACAACTCTTCGGTCAAATAGCTAAGATGAGAGTTGTTGGATCTACCGGATCTGATGAGATGATTCTGTTTTTAATTATGACACCTTTATTGAAAAAAAAAATGTAAATAAAAAATAATGGATTTATTTTTGCATACTAAAAGATAAATTGTTTCTCCTTCTTTCGGTTTTCCAATGGCTATATGGGATGCATAAGAAATTAATCCAGAAAACAAGCGTGATAACTTAATGGAGTGTCCTCCAACAATTCTTTATTTACGAGTGAAAAATTAGAAGTGGAGACATGAGATATTCTTCCTAAGCTATGATAGAACAAATGAAAATAATAATTTAAACTCGATCTTTGCAATAAAAATACTTGTTAAGTAGATTTTATATTAAATCCACAAATGAAATCTCCAACTTTATAATAAGGTTTATTTTTTACAACTTCAGAAACTCCAAGACCATTTTATAACTTGATCAACTATCTTAATGACTAACGTGATCCTTCTTGTAAAGTTTTATGAACATAAGGATCTATAGATAAATATAAATTTCTTTAAAATAAATTCATTTTCTTCCAAATAAATTTTTAATTCAAAATGTTCATCGACTTTAGGTATTCCTCCCTTTAGATAATGCCTTAAGAATTTCTCCTTTGCTAAATTGGCTGATATTTTTTTTAAAAAAAAACAAAATACAAAATATAAATTAAAAGTTATTACCAAGGAAAATCCGGTTAACCTTGGAAGATTTTCTTATTTTTTTAAAAAAAAAATTTGGTTTATCGACCAGTGGTTATAGGATTATCGGTATCTATGAACCCTAATAAGGAAGTAAGTATAATGATAAAACTGAGTATATCGAGTATACCCAAAGATAAACTTTACGCTATACTCTATTTAATGTTTGTTAATCTTTGTTGCAAATTTACCCAAGTTGCTGAGTCCGACACAAAATCTAATTTCTATGATGGAATTTTTATTAACTTTATTTATTAAACAAATATTTAGGTAATAAAAATTAATACATCATTTCGTAGTAGTGAATTACCAAAAGTAATGGTAATTTACCGATGAATCTTATAAATTACAATAATCTTTAGTTGTCGTGACTGAGACTTTAATTGAAAAAATAAAGAAATACAGAATTATAATAATATTACAATGCTGACAAACATTACTATCTCAAAATTCCTTCACTACAATTTCATTTTATTTAAGTAGATAAATTGTAGGCACGTTATTGACGTTAATAAATTTGCCTATTGCCTATTGTACCGAATTAATTTATTTATTTAATAATAATCGTATTAACTAATTACAAAAATAAACGAAATAAAAATTTAAAAACTTCTTAAATGAGAAATCTTAATACAATAATATTTAATATATATAGTTGTTTTACACACGATTTATGATTAGCGTAAAACAAACAAATAATAAACGAACAAAACTTATCTTAATCTTACTTAAATTTTTATATATCTTCGAAAAAATAAAAAAAGAGACGGGAGAGTAAAATAAAAATTAAAAAAATTATAATAATATTGCTTAAATATATCTTAAATAATTAATTTAAATCATAAATATAAGAATAATCATAAATATAGAATTTTAAACGTATTTTTTTTTTAAAATGATATGAACTCAAACTCTTCGACTGCTTTTTCGAATACATGTCTCATGTATTCTTCACGTTCAACAAATAAATATTTAATTTGCTGATTACACGGTTTCCATTTTCGTTTAGGGTTCATCTCAAATAACTTGAATCTCGGTGAAATTCTATTTTCGGCAGAGTTGATCTCGTTCGCGTAGTTAGCGAAAAACGAGCGAAATTCTTTATCTGCAATTTTCCAAGTCGTGCTCGCTATTTGAGATACTTTTTCGATACTTAAGCCACGAAACTCTTTATGCAATAACGAACGGTAAACGGTAAAACCGTTATAATGATTAACGTTAAACGAATTTGTGTCGGGAAGCTCGTAATTATATACGCAAAATTGCGCAACGGATAAGACAATTTTTCCATTTCTATTAATAGAAAGCGAAGGTGGAAGCATCGTAAACGTAGACTTTGAACGCGAGATTTTTTTCGATGGAAAATTTTACTCTTTTTTATAATGTTTTGATGATATATCAAATGATTTCTTTCTTTTTACTTAATTGAAATATCAAAGTCATTGGTCTAGAGATGATGTGATTATGCATGATCAAATTCGCGCTTAAATAAGTCATTTGACGTTCGCTAATGAAGTAACATTGTGAATGATTTATAAAAAAATGAATTAAGTAACTTATTTACCCAAATTTGGTGAAATTATTGCGGAGAAAATAAATTAACTAAATTGAAATTCCCTATTGACTCATATAAACTATTTATCGTAATCAAGAAATATAATTTCTTTGAATTTATTGGATCAAAAGGTTATATAAAACACGTCTTAAAATTAGAATCTGATTTGTTAATTTAATGAATTATGTTTTATGTCATATTACATTTAAATAATTGAAAATATTGTTCTAACCACCTTTCTCATATATAATCAAAATTAAGTTTTAAATAAGTCGATTAGGCGTATGTATTTACAAACTATTATTGGACAGAAAACGATTATAATAAAGGAGATCAGGCTCTGTATGGACGATAGATGCATACTTTAACCATTTATGATTACAAAATAATCTCTTAATCTCGGAACAATGATCCGTATGAATTAATTTTATTGGATGATAAATTTTGATGATCTACGCGACACATCGAAGCAATTATAAAAAACTTTGTAATAGTCTATTAAATCAACGATCCATTCATACAAATATATCGTTTATCAGATATTTATTATTGAAGACTATTTAATACATATTTTTATCAACATAATCACTTTTTAGAATAAACAAAAAAAAAAAAAAAAATTGAAAAAGGCTAAAGTTGATTACAAATAAGTGGTCATATCGCTTTCATTGTGTAACACACTTAGTTAAGCCACGATCATTAATGCATAATTTTTGGAGTAATTTATTATTTGAAATGTCCGTTATGCCAGATAAGGTTCAGATTAATAGTCTATTCTAGAATTTCTTGCCTGAGCATTTTCTTTTTAGTGGTCGAATGACGAAATAATTCTATTTTTGTCCAAACAGAAAATAATCATGTGCAGAAATTTCGAACAATAGCGTTTTTTTTAAAAGGAATAATCTTTTTTTTTTCGATTACTTCATTACTAACCCTATTCGTATTATAATAAGATGAATTACGTCATTATGTATTTCTATAAAAGTCAGATAACAAGGCCGATCATAAAGAAATTTGGTTATATAATAACAATCCTGTCTATCTTTCATGCATGGTTTGGTTAAATTACGTTTTATGCTCTCGATTTCTAGATACGGTTTATTTAAAGCTCTTTTTCATTTTCCCTATATATCAAAAACTACAATCGAAAAAATAACAATTGAATGTTTTCATTTAGAGAGTTATTTATTTTTTAAAAGCTCCTGGCTATCAATCAAATTTACAACATTGTAACTATTATATAACCCCCAAATAATCAAGATAAAATAGTCTTTTTCGGAAATATACAGAAAATATCCAAATGAGTACAGAAAATACGTTGAAATTTGGTCGGCTCATATTTCGGGTTATTCAAATTTTTAACTCATTTTCGGTATCTACTTGAACATTTTCTGTACTCCATCACTTGGAAAGAAAACTTCATAGGTAAGTCGTAGATTGGAGATTGTTTTGCACTTTGTACTTTTGTATTATATAGTCTAAGAGACTTACCAAATCAAAAAATTCATCCACGGTGATCGATCGACGATTTTTCTTATGCGCAATCTTCATCTTGAGCGTCAGAAATTGATATATTCTGTAAAATTCTTTATTATTAGGCGGTAAAAAAGATTCATTAAAATTTTTCATTTACGTCTAAAAGTCGGTTAAATATGCTTATGATATCTAATTCATTTAAAAAGATATTAAATATCTAATCTAGTAAAATTTCAACAGATTATAAAACATAGAGGAGCAGCAAAGGAATATTGTATCCGATAATAATCAATCTTCGAGTAAAACTACACACTTTAAAAAGAACGGGTGTTTAAAAAAAGGTAGAATTAAAATATTATTATAATTTATATATGCATTTACAGTGTTTTATTATTTTTTATTAAAAAATTTTTATTTATAGAAATTATATACGTGGCGTCAAAGATATATTTTTTTTTTTACCAGGTCAATGATTATCTATCATTAAAATCAACACCGTGAACGTCTGAGAAAATTAATGTATTTGGATTAGCGATTGGTTTTATGAACAAGAAATATAGTAGATGAAGTTAATGCTAAAGACGGTGAATTTGTATGCGATTCATTAAAAGGAAAACAAGAAAAGTCAAACATGTAATAATATTATTGGTGGTAATTGGACAAAACAACAATTCTATACTAAATACAGCCAAGAAAGTAAATTGCACTAAAACTAACTTATGCAAAAAAAGTCACCACGAAGATAACTGTTCACCATACCCCTGGCGATAAATTCCAATGCAAATCCCCAAGGCACGTAACTTGAAGGCCGAAGTGCGTGCACCAACCACACCAGATTATCAAAAGATTTGATCAAGTACAACCGGTGATTTGGTAAATCCACTAAGAGTAAAAAAAAACTACAAGTCTAGAGTAATAGAATAGGATCCACCGGAAACACAAACCTCATTAACTCCTACTCTTCCCTATACTCCTAACTTTGTCTTAAACCCTCTGCCACGACTTTTCCCCTTGATTTACCATTCGACTTCGGATTATGGAAGGAATTCTGCATTTCCTCGCATGTCTCCTTTTTCAACGTCTCTATTAAAGAGCCTGATTCTTCTTTTTATATGGCTTAGGGAACGGCGCAAGATCATTGGTATTCTGTTCTTTCGACTATGAAGGATGCTTCTAATGTCGTCTTCAGAGTCATATGGTTCCCGAAATATTCTATCAAAAAACGCAGTTTTAATTCTTTTGAGCTTTTGGCGTTACGGTTGGCCAAAATTTCGTGACACTTTCCGGTTCCATCGATTTGCTTCAGATAAACTTGAGAAAATAGCTTATCTTAATCTTTTTTTTTTTAACTTTCGGGATTGCTTTGTCTGATACAATTCCTGGCGTGTAAGACGAAAGGCTAGTGAGAGTCGAGGATGATAGTGCAATTTTTACGTGCACCGTTTGGTACTTGCGTTGTTGTGGTCCCCAAGCTGTGAGTTAAGAATCTTTTCGGGGCCATTTATTAGAAATATTTTTTTCGAAAACACCTGACTGGTAACTATTTTCTCGGCGGACTGGATTGGATTCGTTTTCTTTTTTGATGATTGGTAATATTTGTCACGTGTTCACCTCTTCCTTTGTTTCGTACGGCTGATGATTTTTTTCCGATTTATCTCGCACGTACACAACTTCAAAAGAATTTTTAAAGAAACTATACGACCTAATTTTACAAACATTCGAAACATGCTGACCTCCTCTTTGATAAGTGAAAGCACAGATACAATGCACTCGATTGGTGTTTGCTACTTCCACGTTAGAAATGAAATTAGATAACTGATTTTTCTCTTCTCCACTAAGCAATTAATGAATGAAATACTTCATATAGATATTAAATAAAAAAAAATAATAATATTTAACATTAGAGTTAACGCTCTTTCAATAATGGGTACAGTTTTTTTTATATTTCGTTACATTGATTTAGGATCTACAACAAAGATGGTCTTTCAGTCTTTCTTCACCAAATAACATCGATTTAACCTAATATATTTTTTTTGTTATTTAGTGTTGGCTTAAGTAATTTACTTAAATGTTGCAAGGATGTGATAGTATGAAGATAGTTTCATTTTTTAATCCTTTAAAGAAAATGTGTTTGTCAAATGCCAATTAAATAATCTTCACTTTATATTGAAAACGTAGCGCATAAACATATTGTACCTAACATATGAAATATTTATATGATATATTCAGTTTATGATATTAGAGTTTTTGTAACTTGTAAATTAAGATATTAGTATAAATAAATTTTTAATATTTTCAATATTTTGTTATACATTATTAATGTTATTTATTTTAAATCTGTTCATATCAGAAAGACATAATTATATAATTTATCTTATATCATAGTCTTGATAACTTTATTTTAATTTTGAAAATCACTAGACTTTTTTTTGTGTGATATACCGTATTTTTCGGAATATAAGCACCCCCTTTTGCACTTAATGCCGGCCAAAATCCCAATAATTCTGGTCAAAAGCTCCATAATTTTGGCCAGGGGTCTTATTTTCGGACCAAAGTATAAAAATCCAATCAAAAGAAAGAAAAATACAAAGAAAAAAAAATTCGGGTGCTTAATAACCGAAAAATACGGTATATCTTAAATCGTGATTTTGACGTCTAAATTATATAAATAGTTAGTCCAGTATATCAGACATCAGATTATGAGAATGTTTTAAATAAAATCTTCATTGTTTATAAAATAGATTATACCCCGTATTTGTTCAACAGAACATCTCAAAAAAGCTATAAATGTTTCTTTTTCAGATTAACCAATAACATCAATAAATGAAATTCAATACATGAGATGAATATTTTTTCTGAATAAACGTAGGATTATAAAAATTTTCGTAATTAATAATGAAGCTTATTATGCTTTTATTATGAATTTCGTAATATCCAAACAGGAAAAATTATTTAAGCTCTGATTTTAGATTTTGAAATCTTATAAACAATAGAATATTTAATTTATTTAGAATTTACAATTTAATAAAATAAGCTTTTAATAAAGCAGTGGTACTATGTACACAAGTCAATCTCTTGGTTCCAAAAAATTTTTATTTATTATATTTCATTATATCTATTCTACTAGAATCCATTTGATAATTAATAGACCATTTAATACTGTTTTTTGATAGGGCCATTTGAAACTTTTTTTGAATAGTGTATGTGATTGACGATCATTTTTTAATGTCATGATATGCGCCTTTACGTTACATTATATAACAAAAAATGGTTGTTAATCAATAAACGACAAACATTCAGTTGAACGTTATAAGTATCCTAACCATTTTTTACTTTTAAAAGTTGAAAAATATGCACAAATTAAAAATTTCGTACTTAGAAATAATGAGAATATTTTTTTTTTTTGTATTAAATTTAAATACATATTTTTATTCTCTCTCGCAAATATTTTTTTTTTTTTTTGTATTATTTCATATACATTTTATTTTTATTCTCTTTCCCAAATATTTTCTTTTTACTCAAATTATACGAGCTTTCACACTTTGTTGGATAAGTATGAGTAAAACATATAAGGAACAATGTAAAAAATGTACTAATAAAGTATGGTGTAATCAAACATGTCTTAAAAGTTATTTAAGAAATAATTTTTCAAACTGGACCAGTGGAAATAAAGAAATTGATAAATTTATACAAAAAATGCAATTAAAACTTCATGTTAAGGATAATTCAGTAATTGAATGGGTACCTTATGACCAATTTGGAAGATTTAAAGAAATAGGAAAAGGTGGTTTTGCTACGGTATATTCGGCGAAATGGAAGGATGGTCCGTTATATCGTGTCAATAAATGGGATGATCCAAGATATTTTGATGGTAAATGGAAAAGATTAGCCAGCGCAAATGTTGCTTTAAAATGTTTAGATAATTGTAAAAATATATCTGAAAAATTCTTAAATGGGGTATGAAATATTGGATTTATTTTTCAATCTTTCTTAATTAGCATAACCTTTTTTTTTAATTTATTAAATAGGTTAAAACATATTCAAAGGCTAGACGTGGCACTAAGGTTCTAAGCATATATGGAATAACTCAAAAACCAGATACGAAAGAATATGTTATGGTTCTCGAGTATGCAGATCATGGAAATATTTTTAATTGGATAAGCAAGCACAATAAAGGTTTTGATTGGTCACTTAAATTATTTAAACTTACTTATATTATAAGTGGTCTTCAAGAAATTCATAAAAAAAAGAAGGTTCATCGAGATTTTCATACAGGAAATATATTATATAAAAATAATAGAAGTATTACTTTGGATATACGCATTTCGGATATGGGATTATGTGGAGAAGTTGGTAATATAGATGAAAATAACGTTTATGGAGTTTTGCCTTATGTAGCTCCTGAAGTGTTAAGAGGAAAACCTTATACGCAAGCAGCAGATATATATAGCTTCGGTATGATTATGTATTTTATAGCAACTATAAGACAACCTTTTCAAGATTGTGCACATGATCAATATTTAGCATTAGATATATGTAAAGAAAATAAAAGGCCTGAGATAAATGAGTTAGAAGCACCAAAATGTTATATTGATTTAATGAAAAGTTGTTGGGATCCAGATCCGAAAAACAGGCCAAGTGCTAATAGAGTACGTAAATTGATTAAGTTATTTCATGATTCATATATGGCTGATAAGTCTGCTGAAATCAAACAACAATTCGAAGAAGCAGAAAAGCATAGAAAAGCAAAATTACCAACTAAATCTGAGATCAAAACAATCAGAAAATTCAGAAGGCAAAAAAAAGGACAAAAACGACGTAAAGAAGAAAGTTCTTCATTTGATGAAAGAGATGAAAGTAATAAAATTGATGAATATGATGAAAATGATCAATCATATACTCATCCACAAGCTATTTATACGTCTAGATTACTTAAATATTCAGTTATGTCTGAAGGTTTAGATTTGGCAATCTAATGATTCAAATATAATAAGTTTAGATATTACAGTATACTCGTTCTTTATTTATTTAACATTTGCAGGTCATTATAATGAACTAGTGCATTTTTTTCGCGATGGATTTTGTTAATTTTTATTATTGGAGCTTGAGAATATAAATAGATATTGTTTTTCACTCTTGTCTTGTTTTTTTCCTTATCTTTTTGCTTTTTATTTCTTTTTTTATCTTTGGCTTTTTTACAATTTTTTGTTTATCAATTTTTTCATTTTATTTATAATAAATTTAAGTAACGAGTTGTCTAAATTTATTTATTAAAAATAAAAGCTGAGTGATTTAACTATATTTTTGGGATCGGCATACGAGTTTGCGTACCGACCAAAAAAATCATGAACTTTTTTTCCTTTTATAGATAATGCCTGGTGGAAAGCCATTGCCTTTTTTGGATGCTGACCGAAATTATCATAATTCTGTGATTTCCGTCCAATGGTAATTATTTTCAACAACTCATTAATATGATCGATTCACTTCAAAATCCCAAAATTCCCAAAATTCCGCATCATCATCATCCCATCACCTCACCTCAAATGACTTTTACTCATGCCAAATAATTTAAACATGCAAAACCAGCAAAGTCAGTAAAATGGTTATTTAAATAATTATTTGAATAACCATAGATAATTCTTGAATTATCACTAATTTTTTTTTTATTTTTTCATTTATTTTTTTTTTCTATTTTTTATTTTCTCTATGACAATAATGACAGTAGTTCAATTATAATAAGATATATATGATTAAATTTTTTTTAAAAAAATTTCTCCATAAAAATTGGACCATTTTTAAATAATTTTTTAATATATAAAACCGCCGTAACAATCCGATGGAGGTACAGAAAAAAAATTTGTCTTTTTAGAGGTATATTATGATCAATGTGTAGTATGTTCAACTTAGAATATATACTTTTTTAATGAAAATTGGGTCATTATATTCATTATTTTATATATATTTATTTATTCATATATTTTAAAATTGACAAATATTTATAATAAAGATATTTAAAAATCATATTCTTTAATTCCTTAAATGTTTTTGATAACTTTAATTTTGAAAAACTGTGACGATACCTATTTATAACGGGGAAAAAACTTTTTTTTAAAAAAAAATTAAAAGTATATAATTATAAAAAACTTTTCAAATATGGAAAAAAAATTATTCGAAGGATGGAAAGAGAAGGATATTATAATTAATTTTAATCATTTATAGTACAGATTGAGATTAGATAGTAACTAATACATCTTGTCATCCCAACTCTAATGACAAAAAATTTTTGTTAACCAAGAAAAGAATCGTAAAATTATAAAAAAATATGATGACCTGTTAAAAAAAAGAAAAATAGTTTCATTAAGTAAAGAATTTTGATAATTGTACTTGGACTTATTGTATTGTACAGAGATTATGGTACGTTGATAGAGAAATTCATATCGTGGGTTCGAATGCTTAGTCACCAGTACTGAATCTTAATCAAATCAGAAAAGCAGTATTTCATTTATTTCTCATTCATGGTTATTGGTTTGAATCAATTCCATCAGAAACATCAAATATTACAATTGTTAAAGGAAAAACAAGTAACACAGCTACACCTTTACATTATATTAATCAAATTAGACTTAACAATGTTTATAGCAAGAGAACGTGTTAATAAAAAAAGTTCAATATGGGAATACGATGTCTTTGGCTAAACATGCAATTTATTATGAAGTATCATAACAATACAGGTTTAGGCATTGAAGAAGTTCATCAGTTTAGTTCATTACAAAACAACGTATTACAAGAGTCACTGAAATTTGCAATAATACAACAGCCTTTGGATAATCTTCAGATATCTAATCCAGAATACCACAAGGCAAAAGGGCGCCCTACTAAGCGTTATAAATCATCAGTAGAAGATAATCAAAATATTTCATCTTCTGCTGTGGCAAAATCAAATGAAGGTTTTCTTAAAACTTGTAGTTATTGTTTAGGTAGAGGACATAATATTCGTGGGTGTGCTAGTAAACATAAAGCTGATAAGAAAATGTTAATCAGCATATATTAATGGTTAAGAGCATTATAGCAAAACTAGAATTTTAATTACAGTATTTGCATTTATGTCTTAGGGTAGAACAGTATATAAATTATTAGCATTAGAATTGTATTTATTGTACTGTATTATTGCATAACGATAAATTGTAAATTTACATCAACGAATAAACATTTAATTTATGATCACATGATAACATTATCACATGATACAGGCAGTGAACGCCTGATAGCAAACTTATTAAATTTTTTTTTATGATCAAAAACATTTGAAATTTTATAATTATTATTTTATTAATTAATAATAATTAATTTATCCAAGAGTTTCTCATTGGTAGTTATTATTATCTATAAAAATTTTTTTTAACTCTAAAAATGATCATCAGGCGAATCTAATTAGTCCAATAATACGACAATTATAAAAGAAAATTTATTTATTTTTTTTTTTATACAATTGAGAATTTATTATTTTCAAATGACTGAAATTATTTTTTTTTTTTTTTGTTAATAATAATATCTGAGAATTTCTCATTGGAGTTTTTTATTCCATGAAAAGTAAAATTGATCATCAAATGGGACGTAATTAATCTAGTAACCAAAGGATTTTTTTTTTTATCTTGATAAAATTAATAAAATTGAGACTTATTTATTATTTATATTTTAAATGACTGAAATTTTTTTAATGTTTGTGCGAATTTTTCATTTGGAGTTATTATAATCTATAAAAATGATAGACTGTGCCAAAATGATCAAGAGATTTACTTCATATATGTTTACTGACTAAATTAAGTAATAAATTATTTTTATTATTTCTACTGTATTACCGTAATCCAATCAATTAAAACAAAAGAGGGTATGAATTCTTTTTTTTAAAAAAAATTAGTAATCCAAATTTGATAGAAAAGCGTTATATTATGGTTAAATTTACGCATTTTAAATTTTGGCTGAAATTATGTTAATTCCGGCCAAATCAAAATCGCTCTGATTTGAATTGTTGACTATTGCACATCCTATTATCTAACTTTTTATAGTACAGAATTCAAATATTTTAATATTATCAACATATTCTTGGTAAAAAATTTGTCTCAATAATATTACGAACATAGTTTCTTGAACCCGCCGGCGACACTGTGTCAATCAAACCCAAATTCACATGACTGCTAAAAATTGACATGACCGGACTCAGAAAGATCATCGGACTGGACACCGTAAAACATAACCTTTAAGCGTATAAAATGTGTTTCCGCTTTTCAATCATTTTCTTTACTTATTTCATACCATATTAGTAAGATTAGTATTAGTAATAATGTATTATATAATTTTCAATATTATCAATCTTTTTTTTTAAAATGAAGAAAGTTATGTGATTAGAGAGAAAACATAAAATATATTTATTCAATTTATTATTAATTCTTATAATTGATTACAAACTGTTTCATCTAATACACTATCCAGTGATCAAATTATAAAACTAATGTAATATTAAAAATTATTTTGCATGCATTTCTTCCAATAATTTCTTAATTATACTCAAGAACTCCACTCATAAATTCTTTATATTTGATAGGAAAATTCTGTTGATAGAAATCACCATATTTTTTTAGCAAACAAAATATTTATTTTTAAAGATTCATTAAAATACTATGCAACAATAATATCCCATTAAAGTTTCAAATCTATTTTTGAAATTAATTATATGAAATTGAATTCAATTTTTCAACTTTTGTTAAATGTAGCGTCAAGTATTTTTTTGTATTAATTTTAGCATTAATCGTATAAGTATAAATTATTGTATCAAAAAAACCATATTAATAAAAATATTTGATTTAAAAATTAAGAAATGAATTTTTTTTTAAAAAAAAAAGAAAAATTTTTAAAAAATAATTAAAATAATTCTTAAAAAATAATTTACAATATAAATAAATAATTCATGCATTCTCAATTCCAACTATTATTTGGAAAATGCTTATTTTGATTAACTCACTCATAAATGTAAATTTCACAGCTTCTCCATGATTGATGCTTTTTTGTTATATATTTTACTTAAAATACTTAAAATTCTAAAAAATAATACATATACAAATAAAAAAGTGGCATACAAAAATTACTAATTACAGACTACATACATATGTACACCAATAATTTCATATTGTTATTAAGAACATTTCAAGATTTTTTCCTAATCATTTTAAGTACATGACTAAATATTTACTAAAAGAGAAGTTATTATTAAATAAAGTAATGACCAAACTCGTGTAATTTTTTTGTATCTTACGTTATTGTAGTCTATATGAGAGTTGATTCATTCCATTCTGAGGTCATTATTTTCATATTATTTTCTTTCCAACGTTTTGATTTTTCATTTTTAATTATTATTATTAACTATTTCCCTTTTCCTAGTATTTTTTGACTTTTTAATCTCAAGTTCTATTGTTTTCATTAACTTTTTTAATTCATCACTTGCTTCTTTAATTCTACCTTTACATGAATAGAGGAGCAATTTTATTAATTTAATTTTAAAATATGATAAATGTGTACCGTGTATCAATAAATCTGAAATTATTTCTGAAAGGCTGTTTAAGAAGGTCGTTTAAACAACTGACTTTTTAGTTTTTACTTTGATAGTTCGATTAATGAAAATATATGAAAATTAAAAGTGGCAAGTCATATTTCAAATTAATGCATAAAAGACATTTCATAATAAATTATTCCGAACAACATGAAATGATAGTAAATTTTTAATTCTTAAAATAAAGAGACGCTAAAAGTCTTTTTTTTTTTTAAAAAAAAAAAAAAAAGAAAATTTGAAATGATACAAATAAATTAATTACGGTAATAGCATTTTTCAAATTTTTTGAGCTTTGTTTCGTTTTCCATTTTGTTTTAGGCTTTGGTTTCTTCGATCTCATTTTTCCATTCTTTTTTGGATTTGATTTTATTTTTGGTTTCGTTTTATTTTCAATTATCTTTGGGCTTTTTTAATCTTATTTTTAATTTGTAAAATATTTTATTTATAAATTATCAAACGTTTTATATTATCTTTATACATGTATAACGTCATACTTTAAAGAAGACGAAGTCAGCTCTTTAAGTAAATACAAAAATTTTTTTTTTGAATCTTATGTTTTGAAAGATTATTATCCATTTTTATTTATATAAGGATAAAGACAAGTAGTTCCATATGCTTTATAACTTTACTGTTATAATGTTAAATGGTTTTAACCTTGAATGTACTAATAAAATAAACAACGATTTAGAAATAAGGTCATCATCTTGATCGAATTTACTACATTTTTTTCTTCTACAAGGTCGTGATCTAGATGTCAAGATCGAGGTCGATCAATATCAAGATCAATGTCGATAATGTCGATGACTCATTTCACTTTAATATTGTACATTAATTGATTCAAAATAATTATTAAAATAAATAAATGACATTATAACCATAAATTATTGAATATTATAAATATCAAATAATTTCAGTTTATTTAAGATATGGATTAAAATACAAACTGATAAATTCAAATAAAAAAATAAATCATTTAGTATACTTGGAAATTTTAATATCATCTCGAATTTTATCAGATATGTCCTTATACGCTTGTTTTACTTCATCAGGTTCATTATTCCATTTTAAAGCTGCGAGGGCAGATATATTAATTAAATTGATATTGCTTATATTTTGCGACTTTAATTCCTTAGCAAGTGCCATACGGTAGATAATGAAATTGTTTGGAGCTTTTCTTCTTTCTTTGTCTTTGCTGCGATCTAAAACTTCTTCAGCAGTTATTTGGGGCGGAAATGGTATTTTTATAGTTTCTATATTGGCTGAACTGACACCATCGGTATTAATAGTTTCCATGTTGATTGAACCGACACCATCGGCATTAGTAGTTTCTATGTTTGTTGAACCGACACCATCGGCATTAGTAGTTTCTATGTTTGTTGAACCGACACCATCGGCATTAGTAGTTTCTATGTTTGTTGAACCGACACCATCGGTATTAGTAGTTTCTATGTTAGTTGAATCATTACTACCATCGGATTCAAATTTCATTTGATCAAATTTATTCATTAGTGAAGATAAATCTCCATGTATGGGACTAGTACACATTGGAGTAATTATTGGCATCGTATCTGTTGTTGATCTTATTGTTTTTAATTTAGCAACCACTTGTTGCATTGTAGGGCGCTTTTCTGGTACGCCATTCCAACATTCTATAAAAAAAATATATATATATAATTTTACTAAATTTAATACTAAATTTTAACATTTTAAGATATTCTATAATTAATCTTAGACATTACTTACCAGTATAAATATTTACATATTCTCTGGGTGTATGAGGAATAGGTGTTTCTCTCAAACCTTTTGAAATTTCCATAATTAAATCAAGATTATAATTATTAACACCACCGAAGGGTTGCTGACCGCTTGATATTACCCATAACAAGACACCAATCCCATATACATCGCTCTTCTCATTTAATTTATATATTTGTTTTTTCTTTTCGTTATTATTGATATTCCCGAATCTTTTCGGATCAATATACGGAATTACGCCAAATAACCCTGTACCTTTTGATGCTTCATCTATTCTTCTTGAAAGTCCAAAATCTGCCAATTTGACACTATGATTACGAACTAATACATTGCAAGAATGCTATTATAAAATATAAATAATTAATTTCTAATCATTTATCAAATATATACAATATGAATGTAAAAGAACTTACTAAATCGCGATGAATAATTCCTTCGTCATGTAAACATAAGACTGCACTGGCAAGTTCACTTGCCATGTTATATTTATGCTTCCAATTAAGATAAAAGAAATTTTTCTCCAAATAATTTTGAAGTGTACCACCATCGGCATATTCCATAACTAACAAATAATTTTTCGATTTATCATTTGGATTTTCTAGGAAACGATTTAAATTTTATTAGACTTTTACAATTTTCAAGTAAATGCTAAAAATAATAACTATAATATAATTGTATTATAGTGAATAATTTATACCTTGCGTTATCCCATGAAAACTGATAATATTATCGTGAAAGTCAACATCACGATGAAGTTTAAGCTATATGATAAATATATATTTAGCGAAAAATATATTAGTTCAATATTAAAAATATATATATATATATATAATTACCTCGTGAGCAAGTTCCTTAACAGCGATAGGATTCATATCTAAAAGTGATTTTAATACTAAATGTCGTTCCATATTTTTCCAATTTGCGCGGTATATTTTACCAAATCCACCTTTACCGATTTCTTCAATATTTCGAAAATGTTTATAATCGAAATATTTAATATGCATTTCAGAAATAGCATTATCAATCCAGTTGTTCGAATCACTAGACATGGTGAATAAGTGTAATTATTAATGTGAAAGTAGAAATTTTTTTTTTTTTAGAGTATCGAGTAATGTAAGTTTTAATTTGAAAAAAAAAACTAATAATATATATATAGTTTTTTGATTTTTTTCTTTCATTCTCATTTCTGATAAATTTTATATTTTTTGGTTCGCAATGGCACCTTTATCTACCATAAGTCAACGATTTTGGTATGAATGGTAACAAAAAAAAAAAATTATAAATTATGTAAAATGGAAAATGGTAAACAATTACTCAATTTCCATGTGAATAAGAACATTTTAATACTACTAACTAAAATGATTGAAATATTGGCGCCCATTCAGATAAATTCAAGAATTAGGCGTTGTCGAAATCTGTATTATAAAGAATTTAGGGTAAAAATTCGCCGATCTTTTATGATAGGGATGAGGATCAATTATCTGATCTTGATAATCATTTTTACCATTTTTACCCAAAATAAAATTTGTTAACCCAATTAAACTAAAATTATCAATATTCGGTAAAAGTATATTCAAATTAACACAAAAAGCACCGAAAAATCTCTTTGAAAAAAATCACGACTTGATTATTACCTTTATTTCACTTTGTAGTAGCTACAGATTTGCAATTATTCAATAACCAGGATTGCTTTAAAACAAAAAAAAAGCATTAAATTAATTGATATAGCCATACTTTAATACAGTACAGTGAATCCTGACACTGCAAAATTTTCACAATTTAACGGATTTTCAGTGCCGTCCCGATTTTTAAATAAAAATCATCTTATACTGAATTTTTCTAATTAAATGCCGTAATGCCGTATGCCGTTTAACATTATAAATCGTATACATTATATAAATGATTCATTTATGACAAAGATTTCTTTATAACGAACTTTTTTTAATATAACGAAGATTTTTGCGAATAAATTTTATTACAAGGGAGAATTTAATACCATTTTCATGATCCTATAATCTTGTTTGTTACCAATTATTACCATATTCAACCATTTTAACGACATCTATTCCATCAACAGCAAATTAGCTTACCTCAACATTTTTCCGATTCTATTTCAGCGAATCACCGTTGGCCGATATAATCGACGTGATCATGAAAAATATTTTAATCAATTCACATGCGGATGAAAATCGAAATTTTTAAAAATTTTACTTCATGGTTTTTGTCCCTCAATAAAACTAATGTTTAATAAAGCTATATATATATATATATATATATTTTTATCATATCATCACAATTCACAATTAATTAACGCCAACATTGCCATATTAACATTCCTCGGTTATGCGACCTAGATTATATAAATATTGCTTGTATAAACTCGGAATGATTTCTGGTTCTTAAACCTTTCAAGAAGGCTGATTAATCTGATCAAGTTATAAGAATCATAAAAAATATTGGAATAGCTTAGTTTTATGCAACTGGCGGTGACTGACGTGGCCATCTTAAATTTATTTGAAAAAGAATTTTATTAGGATTCAGGAAACTAAGTTATCAAAGCGTTCATTAGATGTGATAATAACATCAGAAGTTGATAATTTGAGTACATTAGTAATTAGAAGAATGAATTATGCCACGATTGCAAATAATGTAAGCCTATGCTTTACCTAGGCTAAATAAATGTGGCTTATTTACGAGTTTTCAAATAAAAAGCGTTATAATTACTTGGCGTTGTATTTTTATAGGACGCAGTAGTTAAATTAAAGCTTTATTATTTTATTACGTTTAATTTTTTCTTTTCTTTTTTTTTTATAATTCTTTAAGCTCAAATATGTAAACCTGAATGTCCAATAGTGTATTTGTAGTAATTAAGGTACGTTTTTCTTTCATTTCTTTTTTTTTTGCTTTATTTGTTTGGCATTTCATTTCTGATACTTCCTTTGTTAGTCCTATGTTCAAGGCATGATTACTCTTTAATAGTTCTTTTTTGTTATTCTTGTATTAATTTTATTTCTTCATGTTTTATCATTTCTATTCTTTTGATCATTATTATCTTTTCTATTGTATTATCAAGTTTCTCTTTTCTCAAATAAAATAAATGTAAAAACTAAATATTTGTTTATTTTTTAAAAATTTAATTCACGTAATTTAACAAGTTCATGTGACTATAATATGTGATGCGCTCCTATATTTTATAGAGACTAGAACGTTAGAGGAGACTTTTTTTTTATCAAAAAAAGTAGAGAACAGTTTTTTTCTAAAAAAAAAAAAAATTTTTTTTTCCGCAGTATAGAAAGACAGTATAGACTATAGAAAGAAATAAAAATTTTTTTCTTTTTTTATTAGAAAAGAAATTAAAATTTTTTTTTATTCGCTTTTTTCGCTTTTTTATTACAATTATCAGTATATCCGATCAATCCACAGATTCATCCGGTAATAAATTTATTTTACGTTACGTTATATATAAAATATAAACCAACAATAACAAGTACAATATAGTATAATCCAATATTTATTAACTTGATCATATAAAAAATTATCTCATTAAAATATTTTTTTTTTTAATTTACGTATTAACAGTATTACTATCAATAGAATTTCGAATAATTTCTAATTGACGAACTCTATTAGATATATCCTTATATGCTTGTTTAACTTCATCAGGTTCACTGCTCCATCTTGAAGCTGCGAGAACAGATATATTAAATGAATTAATATTGCTTATATTTTGTGTCTTTAATTCCTTAGCATACGCCATACGGTAGATCATGAATTTGTTTGGAACTTTTTTTCTTTCTTTTTTTTTATTTCGATCTAAAATCTCTTCGGCAGTTATTTGAGGTGGAAACGGTACAGTTATATTTATTACACCATCAGCGTCATTAACCGTTGACAATATCTTAACAACTTTTTCAATGGTTGATATGTTTGATGAAACGCTAGAATTATTATTGGATTCTAATTCCATGTTACCAAAATTTTCTATTATTCCAGATAATTCTCCATGTAAGGAATTATTAATACTTGAAGTAGCAGCGGAAGTAACAGAATTTGCAATAACATTGCTGCTTGAATCTTCCACTTGAGAATATTCTGTTATCCCATTTGTCCCATTTGTCCCATTTGTTTTTGTGATGATTGCTTTTAATTTAGCAACTACTTGTTGCATTGTTGGACGTTCTGTTGGCTTACCATCCCAACACTCTAAGAAAAAAAAACATGAATTTAAATTAAATTTTTATTACTTTAAATGTTATGACTAAGCTTAATTTTTTTTACTTACTGGTATAAATTTTTAAAAATTCATCAGGTGTTTGTGTAATGGGGGTTTCCCTTAACCCTTTTGAAATTTCTATAGCCAAATTAATATCATATTTTCTATTATTAAATGGATATTGGCCACTCGATATCACCCATAACAATACACCAGCACTATAGACATCACTTTTCTCATTTAGTTTATAATTTTGACTACAACCTCCGAATTTTTCTGGATCAATAAAAGGAATTATGCCAAATAACTTTTCTGAAGAATTTGACGCATCATCAATTCTTTTTGAGAGTCCAAAATCTGCCAATTTAAGCGTATCTTGACGGATTAATACATTACCACAATGCTATTATAAAAAAATATATTAATTTATCAATTTTTTAATTTTTTAATAAATACAACGAGTATGAATGTAAAAGAACTTACTAAATCGCAATGTACGATGCCTTCATCATGTAAACATAAGATAGCGCTAGCCAATTGAAAAGATAAATTATATTTAACTTTCCAAGAAAGATTATAAAAATTTTCTGTCAAATAATCTTTGAGAGTGCCACCATCGGCGTATTCCATCACTAACATATATTTGTTCGTGTCATCATCTTAGGAAGTTATTTTAATAAAATTAGATTTTTTGAGTAAACTTTAGTATATAATTAAAAATAAATATTATTGTTAAAATAATCTATTACCTATCGTAACACCACAAAAACGGATTACATTGTCATGAAAATCAACATCACGATGAAGTTTTAACTATATTATAAATATAAAGTACATTTAGAGAAAAAATTTATTGGGTACAATATTAAACATTTATAATTACCTCATGAACAAGTTCCCTAGCAACAACAGCATCTAGATTTGAAAGCAATTTTAATGCTAAATGTTGTTCCGAATTTTTCCAATTCGCACGATATATCTTGCCAAATCCACCTTTACCGATTTCTTCAATATTTCGAAAATGTTTATAATCGAAGTGTTTAATATGTGTGTTAGAAATGGCTCCCTCGATCCAAATCTCAAATTCATCAGCAGGCATGGTGAATATTGAAATATTATTTGCGAAAAGTAAAAAGAAAAATAGAAAAAAAAAAATTAATATTAACTGTTAATTTATTCCTATTTCATGATAAACAGTCATGTGGATGTCGAATGATTTGTTCTTGTAGATCAGTTGTATAACGTTGAAAAAAAATAAAACTTGTCATATTTCAAGTTTTTAAAGTTTTTCACCTCTTTAAATATCATATATATTCACCCCTGTTTATTTTATTTCTTTTATGGGAAGGTAATAAAGAAATTTCGATTTCTTTATAATTTCTAATGAACTTTCTTTGTCATATGAAATAAATAAAAACGTTATTTATTTAATGACGAAAATACAGGTTATTTTAATAATAAATCAAGTTTTTTTTTCTTTGATAAGAAAGATAACGAACGGGTATGGCTAAATTTTGTTATGTATGGTCCATGGGGACATAAATTTTCGGAAATGTGATTTTTTTGTATTAGCGATTATCGTAAATTATTCTATACCCGTCAAATGTTTTATCATGCTACTTTTGTGTTCAGAACCGGAATTTTATCTAAATCAATTAAAGACAAAATGTCGTGGGGCAATTGGGGCATGTACCCCAACTTATTAATGTATCTGGTATTTAAGGTTTAAGGATAAGCAAAATGATTGGCATAATAGTGCTAATTAAGTTCATTGTATCGAAGATAGTGTATTATTATTTGAGTTTTACTGAAAATTATTACATTAAAAACAAATTTAATAATTACTTGAATTTTTATTGGAGTTTCTTGTCGGAAAAATTAGGTCATAACAATTTTATAAGATATTACTATAACGATCTGCGTTAAAACAAATTCCAAGTACTGTATATTAATTAATGACGATCTTGATTTGGGTAAAGTGAAAGCAATAATTTAAAAACATACAATCGGTCAAACGTATATATTTGAAAAGATAAATTCTCAAAAAAAAATATAGTTAAAGCAAAGAAATATACGTTCATTTCTAGTTTTAATTAGATAAAAATTTTTATTAATAAACTTATTTGTTCATAATTGTTTTTTATGACCCTCAAAAAAAGAAAAAAAAAGGAATGAAAAAAAATGAAAAATTAGTTCTTGGAAAATGATCAACGGTAATCCTGCAGCGCATTTTTAGTTCATTCTAAACTGGCATTATGTAATGCTATTTGGAATTAATTCAAAAAAGAATGACCTACAATTTTAACCACGTGTTTAATTGTTCGAAGGACATATGCATTAGTCGCGTCTTATTAAATATGTTTCATTCTTGCATTTTTAGTGTTACTTTTTATGAATTTTATTTAAATTTTTTGACCGAAGCCTGGAGCGAAGAACTATAATATTTTTACGAGTAACAGGTAAAGTCAGGTCACGAGAGAATTCCGTCGCTAGGCGCTAGCACGCGTTACGTTAAAATTACGACATGAGATCGAATTTCACTTAATTTCTCTATAAATATGATAAATTATGTGAAACAAAAATTATTATTGTTTAATTAAACCATTAATCGTCTTTTTTAGACTTGTAATGGTTCACGGTACTATGTACGCGGAAGTTATACAGTATTTGTGTTGATATTTACATTGGCTTCACAAAAATTATAAACAAAATATTGAATTCATTGTAAGCATAAGTAATGTGTGTTAGGCGCCAGATCTCTGGGTAATTTTTTAGCCTATTAACTTTTAATTCCAGAATTACAAATATAAAAATTCATTGTACTGTTATGAGTAAAAGTATTTTTGGTAATAAGAGATGTGTATTAAGCGGAAACTAAACAATTCTATCTTATCTGCAGAGTTCTAAGAATTTTAACATTAAAAATTCGACCAATCAAATGGTAAATTAGCAAATTTAATCAAATATATTAGAATTTCTTTGATAGAGAATTTCAATAGAGAATTTATTCACTAGGAGAGATTTTTTTTTTTTTTTTGTGATAAAGAATTTTGGTGGAGAATTTTGATAGAGAATTTATTTGAGGAATTTAAGATGTTAGATACGAATCTCATTCAAAAACTAATTAAAAATTATCGTTAATTCTGGTAAAAAAATATTTACGGCTAATAAACCAAAAAAAAAAATTATCATTAATTCTGGTAGAAAAAATTCACTGAAAATTATGGTTAATTTTGGCCAACAAAACTAAAAATAATGTAATTCATTAATTCTGGTAAAAAAAAATTCAATGAAAATTATGGTTAATTTTGGCCAACAAAACTAAAAATGTAATTCTGTATTACCACCTTTAAATTAGATTTTTAACTCAAAAAAGTAATCAAAAATTATCATTAATTCTGGTAAAAAAAATTCACTGAAAATTATGATTAATTTTGGCCAACAAAACTAAAAATATTTACTGATGTATTGGGAGCCAGAGAAGCATTAGTGTATATTTAGTTTTTATTGGATATCCATGAAATAACAGGCTTATCTTATTGTGTATAACATATATACTGATGGATTTTGTAATTTCAATAATTTATCATACTGTATTTAATAATGTTTACAGTTTTTACAATAAAGTAAAAGAATTAAAGGCACATAATCATATAAATATTCCTATATAATAACTGATAAAATATAATAACTGATAAATATAATAACTAATATATATAATAGTAACTGATAAATATAATAACTGATAAATAATTCAACAAATAAAGAATAAATAACAGAATTATTAATCTTTAACTTAACATTCCCAACATTCAGACTTATCTTGTAATAAAATTTCAGTAAGTTTTCGACTTGTATAATATGCCTGTGAATGAGATTGTATAATGGAAGTATTCGCTTGTTCTTGTACTGAAGTTTCCAACATATCATTTTCTAATTGATTATCAATTTTATTATTAGAAGTATTTGCTTGTTCTTGTACTAAAGCTTTGTTTGCTTCTACAAATTCTAACATATCATTTTCTAATTGATTAGTAATATTAAATCTATATATATTGATAATTTCCATCACTGTTAATTTCATAATATTTATCAACACATCTAATCCATTCAGATATAATATGTTCAAGCATTATCATAGTTGGTCTATTGGAAGGATTTGAATCCCAACATTTTTTCATTAAGTCTATATAACATTTTGGAGTATTTTTTACAATTACAGGACGTTTTCCTTCACAAATATTCAAGATCAGATCTCGATCATGTGCTTCACGATTAAATGGAGGAATGCCTGATGTAAATTCCCACATTACCATTGAAAAACTATAAATATCACTTGCTGGAGTATAAGGTTTATTTCTTAATATTTCAGGATCCATATAAGGTAAAACGCCATATATTTCATTATTATCAGAATCTTGAAAATCACTTATAGGTTTACATAATCCTAAATCAATAATAAAAATTTCATTGTGATTATCCGAAATTAAAATGTTACCATCATGAAAATCACCATGAGTTAAATTTGATTCATGGATTACTTTAAGTCCCAAGATAATTTCTTTCAATAATTGTAACTTGTCTTGCCATTTAAATTTAATTATATCAGATAAACATTTTCTCAAACTTCCTTTTTTTGCATAACTCATTACTATTATATAATTTAAATTATTTGGATCTTGAGTAAATCCAAAAAATTGAATAAATTTTGAAAATGATTTTTTCTGACAATTATAATGATATTTCCACTGCATAAATAATAAAACAATTATTAAATTTTTGTAAATAAAAGAAAGTAAAATTTTCTATTAAATGTAAAAATACTATACCTCGTCCAAAAATTTACTATCTAAACTTGATGAATTATTAAGTATTTTAAGAATAACATTATAATTTGTTTGTCTATTCCATTGTTGTTTGTCAGAATTCCAACCAAAAATAGGTCCATCTGACCAGATAGCCTTATGAATTTCACTAAATCCCCCTTTATCATAATAATTAACACTCGATAATTTATTGTAAGGTATCCATTCTAAAATTTCATAAATATTTTTAGCACTGAGTTGTGCTTCTTGAATAAATTTCTTAATAAATTCATTTTTACTAGTCCACTGTGAAAAATCTTGTTGAAATCGTTTAGTATTGCATTGTTAACACCACTTGTATTCAATATATGGTTGTTTGCATTCATTACACAGTACAACTTCATTTTCAAAACTAATTTCATTACTTACTGCTATTTTTTGATGCCAATAAAAAGCTTTTTCTAAATTCTTTTCTGTTCCATTTTCATTTTCATACTTATTTGCTAAACTAAGCATTGCTTCTTTATTACCATTTTCTGCTGCTTTTTGATACCAATAAAAGGCCTTTTCTAAATTCTTTTCTGTACCTTCTCCATTTTCATAACATACTGCTAAATAGAACATTGCTTTAATATGATCTTTTTCTGCTGCTTTCTGGTAACAATGAAATGCTTTTTCTAAATTCTTTTCTGTTCCTTCTCCATTTTCATAACATATAGCTAAATTAAACAATGCTATTTCATCATCATTTTCTGCTGCTTTTTGATACAATAAAAAGCTTTTTCTAAATTCTTTTCCGTTCCTTTTCCATATACATAACATATGGCTAAGTAAGTCATTGCTTTAATATGATCTTTTTCTACTGCTTTCTGATACCAATGAAATGCTTTTTCAAAATTCTTTTCTGTTTCTTTTCCACTTTCATAAAATATCATAGCTAAATTAAACATTGCACTAATATCACCTTTTTCTGCTGCTTTTTGATACCAATAAAAGGCTTTTTCTAAATTCTTTTCTGTTCCTTCTCCATCTCTATATTTATTTGCTTAATTAAATATTGCTTCTTTTATATCATTTTCTGCTGTTATGAAACCAATAAAAGGCTTTTTCTAAATTCCTTTCTGTTCCTTTTCCATCTTCATAACATATAGCTAATTCAATTATTGCATCAATATCATCTTTTTCTGCTGTTTTCTGATACCAATAAAATGCTTTTTCTAAATTCTTTTCTGTTCCCTCTCCATTTTCATAGCATACAGCTAAATTAAACATTGCTTCTTTTATATCATTTTCTGCTACTTTATGAAACCAATGAAATGCTTTTTCTAAATTCTTTTCTGTTCCTTCTCCATTTTTATAAAATATAGCTAAATTATATATTGCTATAATATCACCTTGTTCTGCTGCTTTTTGATACCAATAAAAGGCTTTTTCAAAATTCTTTTCTGTCCCTTTTCCATTTTCATAAAATGCAGCTAAATTAAACATTGCTTCTTTAACACCATTCTCTGCTGTTTTTTGGTACCAATAAAAGGCTTTTTCTAAATTCTTTTCTGTTCCTTTTCCGATTTCATAATGTTTAGCTGAATTAAACATTGCTATAATTAGTGCTTCGACCCGGATGAAAACCGTCATCCGGATTACACAAAAAAAAAATCCGGATTATATCTGGATTGACCCAGATTTTGAATCTGAATCAGATAATCCGGATAGAAACCAGAAACTGGATTGGATTTACAAATGATCAGTAATAATTCTGGCCAGAATTCATAACGCGGGCCAGAATTACAAATTGTGTAACATTAAATTTTCATGCCAGCCGATAAAAAATTTTTTGCCCGGTGGCTAAACTATTTTCCGGTGTCACGTGATGTTAATTTCGGCCAGAATTACAAATTTGGCCAAAATTATCCAAGACCACGAAATTTACATAATTCCAATTTCATTAAATACTTTTCTTTAAAACAATTTCATATTATTTCAGCATTGTCTCAGAATATTGTTTAATTATNCTAATAATAATAAAGAATTCAATAAACAAACAATAAATTTTAAACTTTAAATTTACTTTATTTTTATTTTACATTTAATCACAATAAATAAGTTTCAGAAATTTCGGATATAAGTAATTTAAAAATTAATGTTTCAGAAATTACGGAAGTTTGGGCATGTTACGGAAGTTTGGGAACAGTTTCGGAAGTTTACCCTAAAAGACGAAACGTTTCGCCAATCATAAAATGGTTTAGCCCGGAACATTAGCTAGCTACTAGAAAAGTATTCTTTTCTAGAATAACAAAAACTAGTCGGTAATATAAAGCAGTAAAAAAATCTTTTAATTCCATTATTAAATTAATTTAAGATCTGGTCGAAGTAACAGCGGAAGATGTGTATAAGAGACAGGATATAGGATCAGCAAAATCATTATTAATTAAAAAAAAAATAATAAAAATTTCATCCGGATTCCGGGTCAAACCGGATATTTTTCATCCGGTTTATAATCCGGATGAAAACCGTGAAAATCCGGATATCCAAAAAAAAAAAAAAATCCGGATCAATCCGGATTGATCCAGATACGGGTTGAGGCACTAGCTATAATATCACCTTTTTTTGCTGCTTTTTGATACAAATGAAGGGCTTTTTCTAAATTCTTTTCTGTTCCTTTTCCATCTTCATAACATACAGCTAAATTAATTATCGCTTTAATATGATCTTTTTCTGCTGCTTTTTGATACCAATGAAATGCTTTTTCTAAATTTTTTTCTGTTCCTTCTCCATTTTCATAACATATGGCTAAACCAAATATTGCTTCTTTAATATTATTTTCTGCTGCTTTATGAAACCAATAAAAGGATTTTTCTAAATTATTTCCTGTTCTTTTACCATTTCTATAACATATTGCTAAGTGAAACATTAAATTGGCATTTCCACTTTTTGCTAAATTTTCTAAAGTATTAATACATTCTTTACACCATAATTCTTCATCAGTAAAAGGTTTATTGCAATATTTACAATTCTTAGTATTTACTTTATCAGTATCTTTATCTGAGATATTTATTTTAGTTTCCATTTGGTTATTTTTGAAATTTATTAATATTGTGAAAAAGTTTAATTTTATTTCAAATTAAAGTTTTTTTTTTATTTTAATATATCGATCAATGAGATACTAAAAAAAGAATATTTTAACCAGCCAAATGATCATTCATAGTTTTAGTGAGTTTAGTTGATCATCCACTGACATCTTAAAATATACACAAATGATTATCATATGAACACTAGCCCTGATTCGATACAATTTCACAAGTAATTCTTTCTAATCACAAATACCAAATTAATAAAATATCCGTTCTAAATTATTGGAACGTATCCAATTGATCTTCCCAGTATTACCATCAAAAAAAGCTCAGGCATGTGATTTTTGAGCATGTGAACGGGGCAGTTGTAGTAACTACTGATCTACTAAATATACAGTAATTTTGCGTATTATTTAAGCTATTATTCAAAGCTTTCTTTTCATATCCGCATTATTATGAATACAAAATTGTTTTTTTAAATGAAAAGTTGGCTTGTTTTCTCTATAATAGAATTCTATTTTGAAAGACACCTACTACAATAACTAAACCATTATTTGAATTTACGTATTATTATAGGGCTAAAGCCTAAAGATGTTTAACTCAAAACTTGCAGAAAATAGGGAAACCTGCAGAAATAAAAATTGCAAAAGAAATCACTAAGCAATAATATCACTGCAATAAACGAAATTTTAACTATGTTGTTTTCACAATCTAGTTAATGCTCACAGTAATGTTTCGGGCGAAACCGAAACCTATTTGCAGGCAAAACTTCCGAAACTTGACGAAACTAGTTTCGCCATTGGTTAAAAATCTGAAACTGCCAAAACCTCCAAAATTTGATGAAACTTCCGTAACTTCCATAACCTCCGAAACCTAAAAAAGGAAAATGATCATCCTATCTAAATACAGTCGTCCCCCTCTATAGTCACCCCCTATATAAGAACACCCCCTATTTAGTCATATCATTGTCAAGTCCCGTTTTTTTAAATATTAAAATGCCCCTTTTGTAGTCACAAATCGATTATAGTCACTATCACACTAATAGTTAGTCCCGATATAATAATTAACATATGAAAATTTCCCCTTACATAGTCATATCACGTGATTAACAATGTATTCGGAAAATATATCGCGCGTTTTGTGCATAAAATGAATTTTCCTTTTAAGTTGATAATCACCACATGTTTCGAACTTTTTCTTTACAATTTTTATTTGAAAATGTTTTATTTTTCGATTTCAAACTTTTTTCATTACATAAATTCATCCTTTTACAAAAACTATCTTTTTCACTTTTTTTTATATCTAATATAATGCCACCTATACGTTTACAAAAAGCAAGGAGAATTCGTTCTGCCATTAGTAATGAAATAAAAAAAGAAATATGTGAATATATAATGGCAAATAGTAATGTGAAACAGGAAGAAGTTGCACTTTACTTTAATACAAAATATAATGAATTAAACATTGATAGATCAACTGTATCAAAAATATGGCAAAATCGTGAAAAGTGGATGGCAGTTCTTTCAACTTCACAGACTGCATGTACATTTCGTCATCGCTCAGTTCAGTATCCAGAACTTGATAAGGCCTTGCAAATTTGGACAGCACAAGCAGTGACCGCTGGACTTCCTTTAACTGATATGATTTTACAACAAAAAGGAATAGAACTTGCACAAATGTTAAATATTGGAGAAAATCAAATAAAATTTACTAATGGTTGGGTGTACAGATTCAAAAAACGGAATGGACTTCAAAGAGTTAAGTTTTCAGGTGAGGCCAATAGTGCCCCTATAGAAACTCTTCCAGAAGAACGTGTACGTCTTCGTGCACTTTTAGCTAAGTATGACAAGGAAGATATTTATAATGCAGATGAAACTGGGCTTTTTTTCCGAATGGAGCCAAACCAAACATTGAGTACTGGTGCAGTTGCGGGGCGTAAAATGGTAATTTTTATTGTAATAATTTTTCGTTAAAATAACTCTTTAAATGTTTTTTATTTTTCTGTAATCACTTTTTGACAAAATAATTATTTTCTGTAGGACAAAAGCCGAGTTTCTGTTTTATTTTGTGCTAATGCTACAGGATCTCATAAAATTCGTCCTTTGGTAATTGGAAAATCATTAAATCCCCGATGTTTTAAAAATCTCAACAAGTCAACTCTTCCAGTCATTTATCGAGCCAATTCAAAAGCATGGATGAGATCTGATATTTTCATTGAATGGCTTAAACACCTTGACTATTACTTTCGCACAATGGATAGAAGAGTTTTACTTCTTATTGATAATGCAGGATCCCACTTTAATCCAAAAAGATTTAAAAAAAATGATGATATGGATGATGAAGAAATTTCAGAATCTGATGACGAACAAGAATCTAAAAAACAAAAGAAAAAAGAAAAACCTGCTGTTGATCTTACTAATATTGAGCTTGTTTATCTTCCACCAAATATAACCGCTCATCTCCAACCTATGGATGCAGGTATTATCCATAGTTTTAAAGCTAAATATAAACAAGAATTTTGTAGACATTTAATTCGGCAGTTTGATTCTGGAGTTGATCATGTTAAGTAAGTTTAAAAAATTAACATTATTTTTCTATTAATGTTATTAATTTATTATTTTATTTAGAAATAAGTTAAACATTAAGGAGGCAATTGATTATATTGCTGAATCATGGAATAATGTCACTCCAACAACAATTCAAAATTGTTGGATCAAAACAGGTATACTTCCATCTTGTGATGATGATAATACGGATGAAGAAGATTTAGATGATGATGAACTTGAAAATCTTCTTATTAATTTGCCGGAAGAAACTGCTGATGTATTGGAATATTTTCAGTTGCTTGATCGTGAAATTCCAACTGAAGAGCACCTTACTGAAGAGCAAATTATTGATATGGTGCGAAATGAAGAAAATCAAGTAGAAGAAAGTGAAGATGATGACGAAAATGAAGAAATTCCTCTGATATCAGTGAAAAAAGCAATTAATGGGTTGGAAACTTTTGTTAATTATTTTGAACAACAAGAAGATTCCGAGTTTAATATTGGTGATTTGCGTATTTTTAGAAAATACTTATGAGTAATTAGAGTTAGAGAGATCAATGCAAAAAAGCAAAGTACACTTGATGGTTTTTTTGATAGGTAAATAACATTAATATAATTTTTAATAATTGCGAGATGTAATACTTTTATTAGTTATAATAGTTATAATAGTTATAATAGCGTAAAATAATAAAATCGGATTTGATATACATATTAGAAGGCAACGTGCTTTATTTTTATCATGTTATATAATTATATTTAATTTTAAAATAAAGATTATTATATAAAAATAACAAATAAAAAAAAAATTTATAGTCACGCTAATACAAAAATTTTATATATATGTGACTATATTGTAAAAGTCTCATATAAGCACACCTCTCTATAGTCACAGCATTGTGTGGTCCCAAGAGGTGTGACTATAGAGGGGGACGACTGTATATAAACTGCGGAAACTGCAGCTTTAAATTTTGACGCGTAGTTAAATTTTTGACGCGGTAGACGTGCAAAATGTTAGGTGAACTAGAATATCAAGAGTTTTTACCAGAAGATGATTTACTACAATGTGAAGAAAATAAAAAATCAAAAAATTTGGGTGGTAGGCCCAAGTCACTTGTATGGGGAACTTACGCTAAACAGGGTAAACAAGTATCAGATGGTCACTATGAGGCTACTTGTTTATATTGTAACACTTTTTGGCATAAAGGTTCACCCCAAAATTTAGAGGCACACTTTGCTAATGACTGTTTAAAGGTTCCAATAGAAGTGAAACAGTTATTTCTAAACAGACTTGCTGCAAAAGCTGAAAATCCATCAAATAAAAGACGAAAATTCAATAATAATGGGAGAACTGAACAAAGCCAAACAAGAATAACAGATTTTCATGAAAGTTCAAAGCTCTCTCCAGAAAAAAGTCATGAAATTGATCGGGCGTGTGTAAAAGCTTTTGTCATATGTAGTATACCCTGGCATATTATCAAAAATCCATTTTTTGTAGAATTTGTAAGAACATTACGTCCAGGATATGTACCACCTTCTTGTGAAATACTTTCTAACCAACTTTTTACGCAAGAAGTGGCTGTTGCAAATAAAAAGAATTAAACAATTCTACAAATTTAACATTGTGTAAGTAACAGATAACAATTTTATATAAATATGAAAATTATATTAATGATAACATTTTTTTCATTTTTCAAAATTTTAAAATTTAAAGCATGCGATGGATGGACCAATGCAGCAAATGAATCAATTTGGAATTTTCTCATCCATACACCAGCTTGTAAAGAATATTTGTGGTGTTTAAAAAACTTATCAGATGAAAGCCATACTGGTATGTTTTTAGCGAAAGAATTGGAAGAAGTGATTGAGCAAATTGGCTCTGAAAAATTTTGTGCAATAGTGTCAGATGCAGGGGCAAATATTCAAAATGCTCATAAGATAATTACTGAAAAATATCCAAATATCCTTAATGTTCATTGTATTGCTCATTCAATTAATCTAATTTCCAAGGATATATGCAATACTTCTTTTGCAAATAAAATTCTAACTCGATGCAATACAATTGTAACTTACTTCAAAAAAAGTCATCAAGGAGGTAATATTTTATATAAATTTTTTGCTTTTTTTTGTTTTTATTTAGCAAATAATCATTAACAAAAGTGGTATTCATTAGGTGCAGCTTTAAAAAAAGAGGCCAAAATTTGTAATATAAGCGGAGGTGGGTTAAAAAGATGGGTTAATACCCAATGGCACACCATGTTTGATTGTGTTGATTCTATTAGGCGTCATAAAGAAGTTTTGGAGAAGGTAATTATATTATTATACATCTTTTAATTTACATTAATTTTTATATAATAACAGTTAACTAATTGAAATGTATTTTTTTAAAGTTACAAACAGATTATGAAAACCTTCTTCCACAAGCAATTTTAACAATATTACGATCTCGTGCTTTTTTTGATGATGTACGTGCATTAGCATTTGCTTTACATCCTATCAAAAAAGCAATTTTAACATTAGAATCACAATCATGTACACTTGCTGACTGTTTGCTTGGACTGGCTCAGCTTGGAGCTGCAATCAAAACCTTACCTGAAAATGATTATTGTGTTTTCGTCGTCAATCCATTGCAATATTCAATAAACGTTATGCTGAATTTGCAGATCCATTATATTTACTAAGTTTTTTTTTACATCCAGGTTATAAAGGTTAGAAACAGGTTTTTATTTATACTATTCAAAGATACACTTATTGAGATCTTTATTATTAATTATAGAAATTTGTTGGACACGTGGAACTTTTCGAAATCTCCTGATGACTGCAGATGAAATTTTTAAAAAAATGGGAAGATCAAATTATGCATGAAAAGAATTAATGCATCAGATGAAATTATTTTGTAAACGTGAACAGCCATTTGATGTTGAATTAGGAGATACAGAATTTCTAACTACTTGGTGGATTTCTATAGAAGATAGTTTTCCAGAAGGAGAGGATTACTTAGTGCAATTAGCACTTAAACTATTGTCAATTACACCCCATGCGGCTGGATGTGAAAGAGTTTGGTCTAATCTTGGATGGCTATATGGTAAAAGAAGAAATCGATTAGGTTTAAACAAAATTGAAAGTATGCATAAATTATCTGCTTATTATCATGCACATGCAAAACAAGAATTGCCATATTATGGTATAGAAAAAACAAATGAGGAAATTCGTAATATTTTGGTTGATGCGCATTTGAATCCAGATGATGATCTTATTGAAGTTATTGATGATGATTATGAATTTGATGATATAGAAGCAAGGATATTTGACAAGGAGGATGATTTGATAATTAGCAAAGAGTTAAATTTGGACGCAAATGCATTTATAAAAGATTTAGACGAAATCATTGAAGATAGTGACAATATAGGTATGGAGGAGGAAAATATTCAAGATATAGTTATATCAGAAAATGAAAGTAGTATAGAATGGGACCCTGATACAGAAGCTGATAAAATAATTGATGATATGTAAAGTTTGTTTGCTAATAATAATAAAGAATTCAATAAACAAACAATAAATTTTAAACTTTAAATTTACTTTATTTTTATTTTACATTTAATCACAATAAATAAGTTTCAGAAATTTCGGATATAAGTAATTTAAAAATTAATGTTTCAGAAATTACGGAAGTTTGGGCATGTTACGGAAGTTTGGGAACAGTTTCGGAAGTTTACCCTAAAAGACGAAACGTTTCGCCAATCATAAAATGGTTTAGCCCGGAACATTAGCTAGCTACTAGAAAAGTATTCTTTTCTAGAATAACAAAAACTAGTCGGTAATATAAAGCAGTAAAAAAATCTTTTAATTCCATTATTAAATTAATTTAAGATCTGGTCGAAGTAACAGCGGACATCCTCGTATTATCATATTTTTGCAGATCATTTTGCCGATCATTTGTTAATTATCTATTCGATATTATCACATAACAAAATCACCATTATGGGTTTTTTTGCAAATTCTGTTATACTGTACATAAAACTAAAATAATTTGAATTGATCATCTTGAGGGTCAAAATGGTCGAAATTAGCCAAAATTACATCATATAATTAGAAAAATTAAAAGTAATTTGATGATACTGCAGCAGCCAGTGATCAGAATTTAATGTTTTATGGCTTGTTGAATTCTTCAAATCAAGACGAACATTTTGATTTTAAGTTCATAAATATTTACACAAAATTGATTGAGAAATGATATTTTAAAAACTTCTATTTATTATATAAATTATAACAATATGATTGCCAGTATAATTTCGGCCATAACTTTTGTGTTACCTAAAATTTTACTGTGTTACTTTGGCCATTAATTCTAAATCTGTTAATCTATAACCCATAAAAGTTTCAAGTTTCGCCCGAACTTCTGTGGCTTCGCCCGAAGCCTTAAAGTCTGATATCACCAAATTACTATATGATCGGCAAATGATTGGCAAGTTGATATAAGGATGTCCACCCTGTTCTTGCCTTCTCTGTCTTGTTAGCTAGTGAATTGTCTGATCTGTTGAAAAAACTTTTGATCTCTTGTTTTATTTTCTTTTTAGCTTCCAACTGAGGATAATTGTCATTAACAAGTTCGTCATAACATTCATTTAGATTTTTTTCCAACAAGAAGTAACATATTAAGCCTTCTCAGATTGTATCTCTCATTTCGTTGTCACAATTGTCCGTCTCCTCCCATAGTTGAGCTAAATGGTGCATCCTATAAGAGGCAGTTAGGACATTAACCGATCTAACAGTTTTTAGAGGTTCATCATTCAGGTTCAGCAGTTCATGATTGAGAACTAGTATGATGTCTTTCTTGACTTTTTTATTTTTCTTTTTTTTCCAAGGAACATTGGGTGTCTTATCAACTGTAGTGCTAGGACTTTGGTCGTATGTTACTACTAGATTTTCTCCATTTTTGTACTAATATTCGCTCACGTAAGAAATATCGCTTGTCCTATTTATACTTTCATTAGCTGAGATGGACATAGTGTTATTTCCAAATTCGTTATCAACAATTAAATGGGTCCCTTTGACTTCAGTATGTCCATATGCGTCAGAAAATATGAGAACTCCTTCATTCTGCTGGTAGTCATTCCTGGGACAAAGCGGGCAAGACAAAGGCAAAGGCTATTTATTTATACAAGACAAATGATACTGGTGTGTACATGTAAACGTAATGAAGTCTTCTTGACATTTAATAATCAGAAGAGAATTATTTGTATCATCTAATGGACAGTGTGTGACAGCTACTTGGATTTCGTTAGAGCAAATTAGACAAAAATAAGGAGAGCTGGATTTTTCTGCTAACATGGCCATCACCATTTTTTGAAGACTAATTTAGAGTTAACGAAAAAACTGACCTTTATATAATACATACCAACAAACTATATATCCCATAATGTCCATGATACCCTTCAACATATAAAACGGCTTTTTTATAGAATTCATTAGTTACTGTTAAGGAGTTTGTTAAAGATATAAAATATATTTTTTTCCGGACAGGAAAAACATTCAGGAAGGTTCTGGAAATAATAACCACATTGGCTCAAAAAAGACACATGATATCATGAACAATGTTCATGTACAACTCAAAAATAAACCGCTGAAATAGAATTTCTTTTAAGAAGTATTGTGCTACCTACACTATGCTTATAGAGACTGGTCTAAAAGTATGTTGATCTATCTCATATTTGTTTACTGCGGTTTTATGTATTATAAGATGATCGAAACTTAAATTCAGGTAGATAGACCAAAAATTAACCTAAACTAAAAACAAGAATTATGCGATAAATTTATTAGAAATTGGTAATTATGATACAATGAACAGGGTTACAATAATTTATTTACTTTAAATAATGATAACCACATTAATAACAGTAACGATCATATTGGCAAATGTAATTTATTAATTTGATAAATATATGATGAAAGTATATTCCACTGACTAGATATATAAATGTTGGTAAAAAAGGCGTGTATGACTAAATTTGTAACTGGTAGTTTTAATAATTTTACCGAATACTACTTCCTTCAGAAGGTTTAAAGACTAATTCACCTTATTATTTCTTTTCTTTCATGTTCCGTTTTTTTACAGAAAGAGTTCATGTCTCCAACGAAGCTAAAAGCAGGTTTCGCTCACCCTAAAGAAACCTTCAAACATATTTCCACATTCGGAAAACAAATGACCATTTTATAGTGGTATATGAACAAAAAATAAATTTATTAATTTCATTGCACAAATACTGTGTGCCCTAGAAAGTAACAAATGTTTTTGTACTTGGATGCGCATTATCCAAAAAAAGTTAATCAAAACTACTGAAATTGTAATTTCATGTATGACAAAATTAATGTTAATGTCTCGGGAAACCTCTATTCCATAATCTTCATCGTGTTTGTATACTTAATTCTAACTAATGACACAGATAATGAGTTCTCTGTGTAACTGTCTTTTGGTAGACAAAAAACTATACCTGATACGCAAATATACTAGCTGCAATAGTATTCGAGTATGTATTATAGTATTACAAATGTTGTACTAATATGACGGTTATTAATGTATTATCTCACATTAATCTTTCCTTATTAGTAAAATTTTCTTATTTTTTTATGTTAAAGTACAGTGTTACCCGTATCGAGAAAATAAGTAATAATTAACATTTACATAAATTATATCCCTGATTTTCATATAAAGAACCAATCAGTTAGAGACTGCATGAAAATGACAAAATGATATGCATATGAGTTGATCCACAATTAATAGAACTAAAATCGTTCAAAAGTGTTACAAAAAGGAACTTATTATTAGATTGGTTTTGCGCACATGACACCTTGAACAAATGTTCAGAGAATCATATGATAATTAATTTTACTACAATTGGACAAGTTCCAGATTAGTATTGGATGACAAGAACATTCTTAATAAATGATACATGAACGCCAAACCAGAAAAATTAAACGAGAAAATGTTTTAGATTGCAGCAATGAAACAACAGAATATAAAAGTTAAAGTTACGTGAAGTGTTGGAAGGCAAGACTCACGTGTTACTGCGCACATTTCGCAACTACTATTTTTCAAATCTTGCTTTATTGAAACAATGTACAACAATATGTATTACAAAATACAGAACTATAACATGTGTTACATGTTAAAGACTTTTTTTAGACCGTCCATGACCGTGGGCTATGCTCAGTCCTGACTAGTGATCCCAGGCGAAACCAAAATATTTAGTCATGTGACGAAACCGAAATTGTTTTGTCAATGCATTTCAAATTACGAAATTCCGAAATATTTCGTCACATGACTAAACCGAAATTATGACTAAACTGAAAAATATCATATTTTTAGTTTTTTTTTTATTTTACAAATAAATCGACATGTTTTCAAACACAATTTAGTAAAATTTATTAAATATTATACATACAATATGATAAAATATTAACAAATAAACACAGCTTTATAACAATATTATTATATTATACACCATAAAATAATCACCCGTTCAGTACAAGACATTTCTCACGATACCATAATCTTTCATCCCATATGAATAAAATTGTACCAATCCTTTTATAGATTTCTATATACCGACACGATGCATTCCATATCTAACTTACCAAATTTACCATCCCTCATAAATCAACTAATCCATCAAATCTAACTATAATCTTTACAAGTCACTTGGCGTACTTTAATATCCTCGTAACTAAATCTATAATTACTCTAACTACAAAACCTTCCTGAGTCACAATTTCTGCCCTCAGCGTACTTTGAACGTCCTAAAGTTAAACTGTTGTTTAGTAACCAACTACTACTGTGAAATTGTCAGATTATTCTAACTTCCAAGTTAGATAGGTTTAAAAATAGACAAAGAGTTGAAAAAAATTGATCATCTGATCAATATTATATTGGATTATTATGTAGCACAGTTTTGATACGGACTGTGAAACTTTAATTATGATCAAATCAATGATAATCAATAACTGTTAAAATAGAAAAAAACCCACGAGGCACAACCGCACGAGATACCAAATGACTTTATATATTGCCAAAAGTCACGTCAATGTATTACTTTCGCTGTTTTGCTATATTCATGAATGTTCAATATTCTATAGAAAATAGACACTCCAACTGAACAACAAAAGAAGAAAGGTGGTCGTCCTCAAAGTGAAGTATGGAGACATTATGAGAAGAAACCACTCAAGTCTGCTGGTCATTTTTTGGCCAAATGTCATTATTGTAGGATATATTGGCCTCGTGGTCATCCAAATGAGCTAGAAGATCACTTAGCAAACAACTGTAGAGAAGTTCCAGAACTTGTTCATTCGTTCTACTTAGGTGTAGTTTCTGCGCGGGATTTTGGAAGGGAAGATACCTTTTCTTCGCCAGAAAATAGTAAAAAAAGAAAAACTCAGGTGGACCAGCGGGAGTTGACTGATTGGTTTGAGTCAACTAACATAAATTCTCAAAAAAAGGCTTCTATTACTCGTGCTCTTGTGCGCGCATTTATATGTTGCGGTATTCCATTCTCAATTATTGAGAATCCATTTTTTATTGAATTTCTCCACGAAATGAGACTAGGATATGAGCCTCCAACAAGCGAATTGCTGAGTGGTAGACTTTTAAATCAAGAAACAGCAAGAATTAATGACAAGATTAAGGAGATCATTAAAAATTCTGAGAATTTAACACTTGGTAAGTTTTGTTATCAAATGAATTTTTAAAAATTTAAAAATTTTAAATTCTAATTGTTTAACTCTTTAAGCACTTGATGGCTGGACAAATCCTAATGGTGTTTCTGTTTATAACTATGTAATCCTAACTCCTGATCGAGAACAATACCTTTATGCTCTTTATGACTACTCAGGCGATCATCATACAGGAGATTTTCTTGCAAGCCAAATTACGGATATTATCAAAAAAATTGGCCCTGAAAAAGTTTCTGCATTAGTTACTGATAATGCTGCAAATTGCGTTAAAGCAAGAGAAATTGTTACGAACCAATTTCCAAACATTATTGATCATTGGTGCATTGCTCATTTCGTCAATTTAGTAACCAAACAGATTATGGGTATGTTTCAAATTCTATAAAATAATTATGAATTATTGTTAAAAATTCATCTTTTTAACCTTTTTTTTTTAATTTTAGAACATGATTTGGCTAAAATAACGATTAGTGGCTGTAATCAGATTACATCATTCTTTAAACGTTCTCATATAGTAGGAAAATTATTGACCGATGCTACTACTGCATTACAAATTGTAGGAGGAGGGCTTAAAACATACTGTGAAACAAGATGGACTTCCATGTATGAAGCTATAAGTTCCGTGTCTCATTTACGAATGGCACTAGAACATGTGAGTTTATTTCAATATCTATAAATTCTTATTTTGTTATTGTAATATTACTGATTATTAATAATATTTCGTAAAATATTTATAGGTTTTGAAGAATAATCCTAATGAAATCACAAATAAAAGTGTTAGACGAAATATTCGAAGCTCAGAATTTTTCTCAAACGTTGATAAATTAACCAAAGTTCTAAAGCCGATTAAAACTGCAATTACCTTACTTGAAAGTGCTAATGCAAACCTTGCTGATTGCTTTCTTCAATTGATTTTAATAGCAAATACTATTAAAAAATTACCTTCTCGAGGAATGGTAGAATTTCATCAACATTGTATCGAATCATTTAACAAATATTGGGACAAGTTTGATCCAAAAATCTATATTTTGGCATATTTTTTACATCCTGCCTATCGCGGTTAGTAAAATCCTAATTTTTTAATGAAATTATTTATTAAAAAAAAATAAATTGATTTTTTTATAAATATTTAATAGCACGTGAATTAAAAGCAGTATATTGGAAAACTATCACTACTACCGCGGCTCAGATTTGGCAAAACAATGGTGGTGACAGGAGGTTATGTAATCGTCTTTTGGCACAAATGCGTAATTATGAATTGCGAAAGAGTCCATATAATCAAAAGTTTGATAGCCATCTTGAAACACCAATGAGTTGGTGGCTTACAATCAAAGACAAGTATGATTATCTTCCTGCATTGGCTATAATGGTGTTTTCTATCACTTCACATAGTGCAGGATGTGAAAGAATTTTTTCCACTCTTGGCTGGTTATATGGTACACAACGGCAACAATTAGAACTTTTAAAGGTTGAGGCTATGGCAAAAATTCGGTCATTTTATGTATCTAATATTAAAAATGAGCTTGCTTATGTTGGTCAACAATATACAGAGGACGAAGTGCATGAAATGATTAATAATTCAACATGTTTACAATTTGAAGAGGAGGAAGATGAAATCGATAATAGAAGAAATATTCCTATTTCAGAAATTCCTAATCATGAAGTACGGGTTTTGATTATTGAAGAAATGTTTAATTTAAAAAATGCAGTAAAATGTTTGAATAATGATGGTGAAAATTCGGATGACAGTGATATTAATGATGATGTTAATGAAACTGATGGTGAAGATGAACTAGACGATAGTGATGAAAATGTAGAAATGGAAAGTAATTATGATGTTGAAGAATTAATTCAACAATATTCACTTGATAATGAATTAGAAGGAGACACTTTATAATCAATTTTATATTAGAAATCGTATTTTTTTCACATGCTTATAACTTTTTTGATAATAATATGTTGAAAATTGTGTTACATTTTCTTTGAAATTTATTAAAATTATACATTTACTAAATGTAAAATAAAATAATTATACTATAATTGGCTAGTTTACTAAACCTTAAATACTATGTTGTACTATAAATACATATTTCATCATTTCGGATATACATTTAAGTTTCGGAATAAGTTTAGGTTTCGGAATAAATTTATCCTTCAAAAAAAAAGACGAAATATTTCGGATTGAAAAAAATAGTTTCGCCCGGTATCACTAGTCCTGACTCTTGACGCCTATTTCATTAACCCAATCATACAAGGTCTCTTGGACTATTATCATCTACTGTGATCGAATAATACAAAAATGTAAGTGGAATAGACCTTCAAAGAGTGGAGGGGTAAAAAAGAAACTATTTGACTTCTTAATGTATGAATCTCAACTATTAGGAACTATTCTGAATAGACTACCACTGGCTGTGTCCCTAAGACTTTATTTTTTGTATTCATTTTGTGTTTGTTATAACACATAGATTATTATATTTAACAATATGTGCGAATAAGAAGCTTGGACTGAAGTCACTATTTCTAAGAACCCGTGAAAGTACAAGGTACAATGTGAGAAGTTTTATTGACGAGAAAAATTACTTCAAATGAGATCAAACAGCAGAAACCTTTCTTTCCCAAATACAGATTAATGCAATACGACTATGATGTTTACTAAAGTGTCCCACTTCTACATTGCGAAATAATGCCCTTCAAATATTTTGACATAACTCTAACTCATCTCTTATAGAGTATATGTCCCATGATTTAGAGATCCATATTCCTGGGAAACATTTCATCAAATGAGGAGCAAGTTCGGATACTAACTTGTCTATATCTGAATTTAGTGCAACGTTTTTCGGTAAAGCCAAATGACCTCGAACCGTACAATGTTCCTATCAAGTCTACACTTAATTCCTGGTCACATTCCACGTCAAGTAAATGCAAAACAGGACAATTTTGTGCAATGGTATTTATGACAAAAGTAGTCATATTGCGATAATGAAGTACTAAGTCTTCTACCTTTCTGCATGACTCGATAAAAGCGATAACAGGCTCATTGGTTAGAATTTTACTACAAACATCTAGAGCTCTCAATTGTGGACAACATTCAGTGATAACAGACATAGTCTTGTCACTAACATTGCATTCCGGTATCAGGAGGGTCTCAATTTGTGTACAACACCGAAGTAGACCAACAATCACATTTTCGGTGATGGTGTTGCAGCAAATCAATCCTAACTTTTTTAGGTTTGGACAAGAGTTTGCTATGTATTCTATGGACTTGTCTGTTATATACTCGCAGTTATCGAGATCAATGGCTTGTAACTCAGTACACGATTGTGTTAATGATTTGATGCCCGCATCTGAAATATGACAGCTATCACCACCCAAGTCTAATGACAGAAGATGAGAATATGTTTTTGCAAGCAATTTTAGTGAATCATCAGTTACACCATCACACGAGGATAATCTTATGCAATGAAGGGAGGGACACGAGATTGTTATAATTTTGACCAGTTCATCATCCACTATATCGCTTATAGCCAATACCCTTAAGCTGTGGCACGCACTAATGAGTAACTTTAAGCTGGCAATACCATATGAAGTAAAAAAGCGGCCGTTTGAATGTTAAGAGAATAGAGATAAGAAGGAAAAACCGCCTTTTGCTGACAAAATTGTTTCATTAAAATACGGTAGAATAGTCATGCATGATTCTTATCTGTGAGTCGAAGATGAATCTTGGTGTAAGGTGCGTTAATGATAGGACAATCACTTGCATGAAAGTGTTTCATTCCACAAAGAATCGCTATTCTAGTGACATAAAACATATCATTTTCTTCCACCAGAACTTCTACATCATTATACCATGAGTTGATTACCATTTCATCGAAATCCCATGCCTTTAAAATTTTTCTCACACTCTCTGCGGATATAATCCGAACTGTAGCTGGATCGTGAAGGCTTTGACCGTCCATAATATATGTCGCTTGCACAACTAATATATATCATGCTAGTTCAATTTTAATAACAGATACATTTTCATGTGCCCTTTGGGCGGTCCACGACTGATGACACCTTATTAACTATAATCAGTGTATATTTTTACAGATAGGAATCCACTAGATCTCTCAATTATCGTGAAGATAAAAAACAAATATAGTAATTCGACTCCATTAATAATACGAGGAGTGATGATGCCTCAAGACCTTTTTGGATGCATAACATGGCCGCAAGGACAAGGAGTCATGAACCCTATATTTTTACCATTAAATATATTCGGTTATAAAACACAATACTTAAAATGGCTTATATAGAATGTAAAGTTTGGCATTTTCAGGGAGATGATGATATAGATCTAAAAAGTTGCCACGGAGCAATGAAAGCAGGATATAGATTCTATACAGTTAAGGCATTGATAGACACATCATCTAGAGAAAATTTTATTAGAAGAAGCTTGGTTGATAAGCTTGAGATGGAGTACACTGAATATAAAGAAAAAAACAGGTTGGAATGTCTGGATTTATCTTTCTGATATGAAGGGAAAGATAAACTAGTATCTACTAATGGTGACGATGTTTTTAATGATTTCATGATTATTGAAAAGCCGAAAGCGGACCTTGTATTAGGATTACCATGGTTATGGCTTCGTGAAGCAAAAATAGATATGGAAAAACAAGGATTAACAATATATGGTGATTTTGTGCCATTCTGCTAGGAGACAGATTCATCTGAGTCCAAAGAAACCCATGATTCCAATCATGCGGGTCTGAATCAGTGATCGCGTAATTTTATTTTTTGTTTAAAGATACAGCATATATTATTTATGACGCATTTAACCATCTTTTATTTACCAGAACTATTAGAACAAATTTTATATTTCTTATTGATAGATAAATCTCTCTATCCCGCTCTATATGTTTCCCGATTGTGGTACAGATGCGGTGCCCCTATTCTATGGAGACGCATTGAGCTAAAAGGGAATGATCCCAAAGCAAAGAAATTCATAGAATTAGTATGTGGGAAGCAAAAGCCAATTTATAGCTCGAAACCAACCCATCTCGAAATTTCATACTATAATCCACTTTCAAGTAAGAAAATTGAAGGTATCGTAAGAACATGCCCAAACATAATTCATTTGAATTTTGAAAATTGTGTGGGTTTTAGTAATAGAGCATTAAATCAGCTTAAAGCATACCCCAATCTGAGATATCTTAATTTATGTAGTAGTGGTATTATGGGTGATAAAGCTTTATGTGGAATGGTGGGATCATGTCGTAAAATAGAATATCTAAATATTTCTTTCTGCCAAGGTATTACTGATAGATCTTTAATCAAAATTGCGGACAGTTGCCAAGCTTTACAAGAGTTTCATTTTGCTTGTACGCATTTGATTTCTGAAAGATTTATAAGTCACATCTTAAACTCATGTCCAAATTTATGAAGATTCAGTATTCCGGGTAGCTGTCGAAGAAAAAATAGATGTGATATATTAGTAAAAAAACTTCTTACTGTAGAGAAACACCTTAATGTAGAGAAACATCTTAGTGTGGAGTATCTTGATTTTGGTAGGTGTGTTTACGTCACCGAGACTTCAATTTGCAATGCCATTCATTCCTGTCCAAATCTCCAACATCTCAACCTTAGTTTTTGTGGAATTACTGATGTAACTATCAAAGAAATTTCTCATTTGTGTCTTTATTTAAAATATCTTAATCTGGAGGGATGTGCTAATATTACTAAAGAAGCCATAGATCAGCTCGTTTTACTTAATCCAAATATCCATGTTGAGGATTTCATGAATTCTATGGATATGCGAGCTGAATTAGATCAAGAGATAGGACGGATATATAAAATTCGGCATAGTGTTGGTAATAATCTGAATTCAGTTTTACCTCAGTTATACCAGCATCTTAGTTTCATGACGGTTGACTCTGGTGACGATTACCACATTATAGCTATGAACAGACATTCACCGACTCGAGGTATTATTTCCACCTTAATGTCGAGAGCTGGTGATAGAATACTAGCTAATCAATCAGAATGGTACTGTACTTTACCAATCTAGCTAGTCCGGAGCGGGCCGTGTCATGATCATCAGCTTGGAAGATTTTTGCTGGGCCACAGATTGTGCGACAAAAATAGGCCGATCACATATTAGGTCTTGTACAACATATTAATTTTTGCATATATATTCGAAAAAACATATTAACCTTTATTCTTTATTTTTTTTCCCAAATGAATGTGAGAAAATGTGAAAGGGGGTCTAGTTGCAACACAGGACCAGCTCTAAAAGTAAATATTGATGATAAAAGCATATGTTATGAAAGGCTGAGGGAGTCACAATTTCGAGATCGCCAGGCGTAAAACCAAGCTTGTGTCTTCCGGTAGATCTACATGTGAAAAGGTATGAAGGTTCCGTTTACATATGCTTTCATGGAACTCTTGGCATCAGACGACAATACTAATTACGCCTCATACCTTCCTAACTCTTTCCCAGCAAGATATAAAGCATGTAGAGGTATGTGGAAGTTCAGCCAACTTTCCGCAAAAGAGTTTCCCGTAAAATAACACAAAAATAAGGTATGTACAGTATATTGTATGTTCTTTAATGCGAGTGGGCCAAGGAATTTTCTCACTATGGATCTTATATTTATGAAAACAAAATGACCGAAATCACTCTCAATTGTCTTATCGTTCCTATAGGAAAACTTATGAATATTCCATGCATTAAAGTAATGCAATCGATTACATTTTACAAAGCTAGTACTTATAGAGAACTTGAGACTGTAATTCAAAGCAGATTGGGGGCACCATTTAACAAAATCCCTCTCAAATTTTGTATAATTTAAGCCGAAAGCGGTATTGAAAAGGAAATGGATGGGTATGATACGTTTGATGAAATTTTTACTTCTACTGAGGAGCCTAAAGCAGAGCACTTTCATATCACGGTCAGAATAATCTTCTGTATCATCCGGCAATATTTTTATTTCATAAATAAAGTATTATTTTATCGAACGATATGAGGAATGGGACACGTGTAATGATGCAATGCCTGTGCGACATAAAAACCTATATTAATGCCCAGTATTCTCTTTTCTGAACAAAATTTTATCTCACTCCAGAATGTAACACTATTTTTTTATCTAACTCAAATATCACTATAAAACCTAACACTATGTCTGAAATAGTAGATACACCCGCCTCTACTTCCACCTCTGTTACAATGACTGGAAATGAGACAGTTACATTGGTGGACGAAGTCAAGAAATATGATACGGCTGGACTTATCTCTTTTTTGCGGGGGCAGGGCTTAGGGCTTAGTGAGAAGGTTTATGAAATTTTAGAAAATGAAGAGGTTATTGGTCGTGATTTTCTCAAAATGACCGAACAAAGGCTCAGAGATTATGGAATGAAGGGTGGACCTGCGTTAAGGCTTGCGGACTTTGCCAAGGAGTGTAAGGAGAAAAAATTATGCTCGTTTTCCTCATACAAAACCAAAAAAGACTTGAGTGAGGTGTTGCGCAAGTACAGCATTGATAGCAATGATATAAAAAAGATTCTGCCATTCGTATCAGAACTTGTGGAAATTGATGGCGCTGATAAACATTTCCGATATTATATAACCAAGATTAAACAAAAAATGGGTATCATAGGTTTGGCAAAAAGCAGTAATGAAGCCGTACGCTGTTCATATATCGAGGCAATACTACTTTCAGCAATATATATAGTTAAAGATATCACCTGGTAGAGAATATCCTTAGAACCTCAGTTCGAAGTCATTGGTGAGGAAGCAACGGGACGAGTCAATTTTGCAATCAAAAAATAATAGATGTATTGAATGAGGAACTTGTTTGCATCACCGAAGGAAAACAGAATCAAGAGGTCTTGGACATTACGCAGAATGTGATGCAACTCGAGAACTCCTACCATACGAATAAGAGAAAATGAAAGGCGTCTGAAGCTTTCGATGATGATTTTGACTATCTTTACGGAATCGTCACAACAGGTGAAATTTTTTTGGCTATAGTTGCGTATCATATTATGAGCTAAATGTTGAATGATGTTATTAACTTTTGTCAATTTTAGCCACAGATTGGTACTTTATCATGTACACGCCAGAAAGAATTTATTGTACAAAGGCCGACTATCACATTGACCTTACTGAGGATATTTTAGATGATGACACAAAGCTTTGTCAAGGAGTGAAGGAGGTCATGGGGGTAATCATAGGTTTGTCGAAATATAGGGTAGAAGTTGACGATGCTCCAGATAATAAGAGAGCAAGGACGAAAAAATTTATTAAGGAATAATCATGTATAATAATAGCATAGACTTCATATATCACGGGCACAGTCCTGAACATTTGTATTTATTTTTCGTATATATTAATAAAAATTTCTTGGCAAAAACCGTTTCCTCAGAAAACGATCAAAGTCATGTGATTTTTTTTATTTGAATGCTTAAATACAGTGTATTACCCTATAAAAAAATTGGATACGTTTTTTATAAAGTTTTTATACGATTTTTTTCCTTAGAAATAACGTATCATAATAGGATACGGAAAAATGCACAATTCCGTATCACTAAAAATATGGTTTGGATACGGAATTTGCACGGAATTCATATGGAATTTACATGATTTGATCACTGATTTTATCACGAAATTTATACAATTTGTGGTCACTGAATTTAAAATTTGTATTAAAGTTTACTATAATTATATTTACATAAATCTAATTTTACTTTATTAAATTAAATAAAAAATAAAAAATAAACAAAATACAAATACATTATGAAAATTCCTCCTTATTAAAACCACCTATTGCAACCAAAATTATCTATAAGTTCAGGTTCATTTGGAGTCAAACAACCTAAAAAAAACAAAAAAAGAAACATAAGAACGTCTAACTTAATTGGAAACAAAAACTCCCTTCATATAGTATCTGCAATCGTCCAAGTCACCAAAGGTCAACATTCCTACAAAAAAAGAAAGAGAACTCCAGAATGTCTGACCTACATAAATGAAAAGAATTATGAAGCATCTGATGAAAAAAGAAACCAAAACAACAAAATAAATCCAAAACTGACCTACAAAAAAAGAAGACTCTGAAGCAACAAAACTGAAACAACCTACAAAAAAAAAGAGTGGGAATAAAGAATAAAATCAAAAAAAAATTTTTAAAGTGAGGTACGAAAAAAAAAATTTTTTTTAAAAGGGGGTGACGAAAAAAGAAGAAAAATTTAAAAAAAATAACAAAAATAAAACAAGAGAAAAGAGAAGGAAGGGAAAGACAGAAAGGAAGATCGGAAGATCAAACTCATCAAAGTAAGGGTTTATATAAAAACAAAAAACGTATCATAACAAAACAATAAACAATCACGTGTAGGGTTCTGATCGGTACGGTTCGGTTTCAGTTTGAGTCATACCGAAACTGAAACCGAATTTCGGTATCGGTAATCGGTAATTTACCGAATTTTCAATATCGGTAAACTGTATAACTGAAATCGGCCGGTAATTACCGATTACCGATACTGATTTACCGAAATTTACTACTCCTCGATGTATTTATTACAAAAACTATATTAAAAAATAAATAAGCAAATTTACGATTGAGATCCTTGGATTTAAACTGGAATTTATCGAAGATATAGCACAGACGTTGGAGAATACGNAGAAGGAAGGGAAAGACAGAAAGGAAGATCGGAAGATCAAACTCATCAAAGTAAGGGTTTATATAAAAACAAAAAACGTATCATAACAAAACAATAAACAATCACGTGATCTCGTGTTATGATACGAGATTTTTGTAAAATTATTTTCTAAAAATATTAAGTTTAAAAATTCCGTATACATTCCGTATGATTAATTTTTTCCGTATACATTCAGTTTTTTTAAAAAATGTTCAAAAATGAATTGCTTATTAAATATATGGAATTTGTATACGGAATCTATAGAAATGTACATAAAATGTATACAAAACGTATCCTTTCTGTATACATATTTCTTATAGGGTTAGTTTTATATATTTAGATCATGACATCCGAACTTGAATTATTGAAACAGCGTATCACTGAACTTGAGGCTGAGAATGCAGAGCTTAGGAAGGAGAATACTGAACTTTTAAAGCAGATTATGGAGGAGAACACTAGACGTGATGTTAGAGTTGAGAAACTGGAGCAAAAAAATAAGGAGCTTGAGACCAGACTTGCGATAGTGGAACAGGCTTCCTTACCAGTGGAAGAGCAGACGTATAATGATAATCCTTCTGACAATAGTACATCTAACTTTAATTCAGTTACAGAGTATCATGAGAAACTATTAGTGAATGTGGAAACAGATAATTCCTTAATGGCTAACGGCAAATCGTTGGAAGAGAAAGATATGGATAGTTTCTTGCTTGAGGCTCATAAGAAAATCGTTAGTAGTGAAATAAAGCAATGCAATAAGGAGAAGAAACTTTTGCGTGAGTCAGCCTTCCTTAAGGTATTACCTTCTGCAGGAAATAATCCAACTGTTTTCTCGGGAAACGATAAAATTGAAAGTAGTACAAAAACCATTTCCTCAGGAAATGATCAGATGGTTTCAGAGAAGTCGGAAAAAATTGAGAAAACTTCAAGAAATCAGCAAAAGGTTATTCAAGATTTTGACGACTCTGATGAAATCAAGCTCACTAAAAATCAGAATATAGAACTTGATTTAATACGAGATTTACAGAGTGGCAGTATTATTGCTTCACTTTCCGAAATTAGTGAGCAGTATTCATCCTCTTGCGAAGCATCTTACGGCCAAATTACAACACAAAGCCTAATCCATTTGTTTCGAAATGCAACACGAGCTGGACATGAAGAGATTTTGTCCTGGGTTCATTATTCAGATAATTTTGAAAATGAGGTTGTTGAAATTCGTCGTGAGACAGGAGTTACTGATAAAACTGCAAGAACTCAAATATATAAGGAAATGTTAGAACATCTGGCTGGTATTACGCCTGTTGCCTTGCGAATTAAAACTCTTAGAGCCAAAAAAGTTCGCAAAATTGTTTGGAGAGAATGGTGTAGGGATTGATAAAATTAAGTGTGTCAATTGCAGTGCAAATGAGATTTCAAAATTAACTAACAAACAAATTCAAAATGTTATAGATCAAGTAACCTCAAAAACTGTTTTCTTGGGAAACGATCAGAGTCATGTGCCTTCGAAAACCATCAATGGTGATGCATCTTCGAAACTTGCATCAACTGCACCTATTCCTTCAACCCACGTCTCTGCTGAAGGCGCTAAAGGCAATAATTCTTCAAATGATTCCTCTAGAAACAGTTCAAAGAATATACCCAAAGCTAATGATGATCTTATGCCTACGTCAATGGAAAAAAGAACTAATGAAGTTAAAAGGTCCCTCAGGGAGGCCTCAAAGAGGCGGGACCAGACAGATGATGATAGTGATGATAGTGATTGTAGTCACAACAGCGATTCTGAAGAAGAGAGGCTAGATGATTCAGATGATGGATACGATGGATACAGTGGATACGGTGGATACGATGAATACGGTGGATACGATGAATACGATGAATGGGGTAATCATGATAGAGGTTATTACTATCGTAATGGAAGACGTGAAAGGAAAACTTCCCCAATGATGAGTCCTATTATCTCTCCGGTAACTGCCTAGAAGAATTATTGGGTGGGTGTTTACCACAAATATTCGTATATTACTTCATTTTCTTTTTTTTCAAACCACGTGGGTGGCTTAGATATCATGTGCAGTAAATACGTCATCCCTTAACAAGCCACCAATCAGAGTCTCTTAATTACGTTATATATTTTATCTCTTATATATAACGCGTCTGAAATTTACGACACGCTATTTTTTTCAAGTTCACGTCGATATACATTATATTTTCTTTTATTGAAACGATTGAAACGGAAGTTCACGTCGCAATGGAAAAGGTAAGTTACAACAGTTCGTGTTTTACCCTTTGAGTTGTTGTTGTTACCCTGGGCGCATTCGACTTCTTCTCACCCTTTCTTGTGAAAGTGGGGTTTCTTTGATTAAAGGACTACTGGCTCTGGAAGAGGAGTCAGTTATGTACCTACCTTTATGACAAACAAAAAAACTTGTCCGTGAGTGGGAAGTCAACCCCTCCCTTCGTGGGAGTGCAACCACCCTTCCTTTGTGGGAGTGTAACCACCCTTCCTTTGTGGGAGTGTAACCATCCTTCCTTCGTGGGAGTGTAACCACCCTCCCTTCGTGGGAGTGCAACCACCCTTCCTTTGTGGGAGTGTTACTAAATTTTTATTACTTTTATTATTATTTTATTAGTAGGCAGAAAATGCTGTGGAAAGCCAGAACTTTCAGTGATGGTTGGATGTGATATCACAGGCCTTGATTATGATGAAATGTCAGAACGCATCAAAGCTACTACGAAATTTGATTTTGTCTATGTACATAAGAAGAAGGATAAAGGGTAAATTATTAATTGTTATAATTTATTCATTATTAAATTACTAATAAATGGTTTTTTCAGTTTTGGTCATATTCACTTTGAATCATGGGAAGAATCATCTCAGTTTTATTATAGTACGAAGGATAAGCATTTCTACTATGATGGTGATAAAGAAAGAGGTCTAATACACTTTTATGGTGCAACTTATTATAATTCTACTCGAAAGGTTGTTTATAAAATGGTAAATTTTTTTATTTTATTTATTATCATAAATTAATCTGGCAGTTCAGATAGTGTAAAAAAAATTTGTTGTACATTTAGGATACTGAGACGGCCAATACTGGAACCTTAACTTCTGTTATTAAGATTAGTGACCATAATGATATAAATGAGTATGAGAGGTCTTAAAAACGTAAAATAACTGAAAACATGAGAAAATCTCCCAAATTTTCTGAATCTCCTGTCAGTGTACTATATGGACTCTACGAGGATAAGTATGTATAGTACTTATTTTTTAACTAGTGCTTGACCTGTCCTGTTTAATTAAATAACTCAATAACAATTTCTATTTTTTGGTACTTTATTATAAAGCCATACATTCAATATAGTTTTGCATACACTTGGAATAAGAAACAAAGCAGATCTCTTAGTATCTTCTGTTAGCAACAAGTTGATTATTATTGAGGGGAATTTCAGTGAAAAGTCTGTCCCCGGGAAATCTATCAAAAATTTTTTACCTATAGGACCGTTCAAAGCAGAAGTGGAGCTTCCAAGTGGGTGAGTTATATAAAGATATAATTTTATTGTTTTATGGTCTTATAATTTGCTTTTAACTGATACTGTATATCTTTCTTAATAGAGTTAAAACCATTTCAGTTAAAATTGAGATTGAGCATGGTGTGTCAACTGTTACATTGGAAAAAAGTAAAAAAGTTTTTGAAATAATCTAAAAAGATTAATTGTAATTCTTAATTAAAATCGGATGTATAATAGTAACAGAAATTAGGTAGAGGTTCAATTGATTAATTGTATTAAAAATCGGATGTATAATAACACAAATTAGGTAGAGAGATTAGACATTCAATCAAGGCTTTAATCTATAATCTAATAAATTCATTTTAAAAATCCACAATGAAGAAGATCTTTATTAATTTTTTTTTTTGCAAAGTAATACACTGTAAAAATGAATTTAGTGAGTTTTGAGGGAGGAAAAAACATGATATGCTTTCCCGCCTCTAGATGCTTGCAGAGCAAGAATGGCAGTTCCTTCCTGCTACTCTGCATTGTTAAGTTTGCTATCTACCATACTCACATACCCATCCTTCTTAATATTTCTTTCATAAAAACCCCTTTCTCAAAAATAAATTTTTCGGAATCAGGTACTTTGCAGTAAATACGCCAATGAATTATATCCGCAGTTGAAATTGGACAACTCCAAGACCTTGATAAAAACTGAGCCCCCAATTTGTGATCACCTGCTTCAGATCAAAAACTGATCGGAAAAATTTGGAGCATTAGCTATTTCCAATCTATTTTTATTTTTAGATTTAAAGTGCTATTTTCGTAATAGTAGCTAGGATATGCTATTTTTGTAACAATGAAGCCAGTGTTACAGGGTTGGATCGATCAATGAATAATTAATCCATTGACTTTTTTTTTCAGAACGTTCTAGCATAATACACATATTACGAATTGTATTTGACATTTTTAATATATATTTTACAATAAAGTTAGACTGGTGGGAATTATGAACTTTTACTTTTTGTTATATTCTTATAAATAGACCTTCATCCAGCTTTTACATAGATTTATCAAAGTATTAAACATATACTATGAAATTTTTAATGGTAAGTTTAAGCTTGATTTTTCTCTAAATTAATAATTGTACTTATAAGTGTGAAGTTGTTTTAACTAATGAAATTAACAATGCAGTATATACATGTTGCCAAAACTCAGTAATTTCAGAATAATTTAAGGGTTCGGCCTTAGGCCAATCATTCCAAAAACGAAACTCCAGCCGAAAGTTGAAAGTTGGGCCAAAATTTTCTGGCCGGCATTATGCATTTTGGCCTGCATTATAAATTTGGTGCAACACTTTTTATCTGTGTCATGTGATATATGATTCTGGCCAGCACTAAAAAATTTGGCCAGAATTATAAAATAGTTTTGGACATTGATCTCAAGTTTTGGCCAGAGTTTCACATTTGGCCATATTTTCGGCAATAAGCATAATATTTGAAGTTTAAAGTTCTAATAATGTTTAATATTAGTAATAACCCTATGTTTTCAAGAGAAAAAAATTTAAGGAGGGCGATCTCTTAACCAATTTTTTTTTTTCGAAAGAAAAATTATATTGTTATTTTACTTGACTATTGCAGATACATACAACATGGATAAAATAGGTGAAAAAAATGACGAAGAGGTCCCGACATGGGTTGCTCAATCGAAAGTGAATAGTTTAAGACAGTTTTTTAAGAACTTTGATGATATTTATGACACTCACTTAGCAGACATAGTACAGTGCAAGAAAATAGAAGAATATATAGAGTTAGAAGATAAACTAATAGGACCTTCTAACATAACAAAACTGGAAAAGTTACCAATACGCATTAACAAGCCTGAAACGAGAGTGCCAGCAGTATTTTACTTTCTAACGGTATTCTTAATGAAATGGGCAGGGCTAGCTGCGAAGAAAATAATAGAAGAATATATAGAGTGTCACGTGAAAGCTGAAATCGAAATTGAGCGAATGGAATATGATAAAAAAATGGCTGCGACTGAATTTGATGAACTCAAGTGGAAATACGATGCACTTTCAACAGCTTTTGACAAGTTTAAGGAAAATTCAGCAGATAGTAGTCTGACAAATGGATTGATAATCACAGATTTAGAAGGTAGGATTAGGAATTTAGAAGCCGATGTAACAGCAAAAGAAAATATAATTAGAAATTTACAAGCCGATGTTACAGCAAAGAAACAAATCATATTGGAAAAAAGCGAACAGACTAATATGTTATGGGAAAAGATAAGGGATTGGAAGCTAAAGTGGAAAAGTCAACGTGTCAAAATACGGATATGGATTTAGATAAGAAACAAACAAAGAAAAAACGCCCCAACAAAAAGAGAAAAAGGGCGCGAGCATAACATACTCGAAATGGAATGATCGGTGAAATCAAAATAGGCCCGATCGATGATAGTAGAAAAGATTATCTGGAAGAATATTATGCCGAAAAATCACGTGATATTACTTTCTACGACATACCAGCATACTGGAGTGATGAAGAAATTTTTAATTCGATTAATACAACCGTAGGTCTGATTGAATGTATGAGAACCAAAATGTGTCACAAATACAAGACGGTCAAAGCAACACTGCGCCTCACCAAAAAATATGAAGAAATATACAAAAAGGGCGGTGTGAACGTCATTTTAAATAGGAAAAACCGTACATATTATGTTAGAATGTTTGACTCAAGATGGTCATATGCTGAAATCAAAAATACTTTTCATTGGCAGGTGTGTAAACGCTTAGAAGAGGATAATCAACAGGATGATTGTGCGGTAATTAGATATTTTGCAAAAACTTATGGAGCTACCTTTGGAAAAATTATTAGAGTTAGCGGTACACGTCACATTATTTTATACTTTAGTACAGAGGACAAATTGATGAAAGTGGTAACGGATTCGATAAAGATATACAAAGTAGGACTAGAATTATTGATCAAAAAAGAAAATGATTTTATAGACGATACAGGTGAGCTAAAAGAGTTCAATAAAACAGCGAAATGGAGAAACACAACAACCTCAAGATCACATGGTCTTCGGATGGAGCGAGAACAATATGAAGGAATGCCTGAATGTTTTGCTTCGTCAAGTAGAAGACATTAACAATGGAGGTAACTCGAATTAGATAAAATAGGAAAACTAGAAAAACACAATAAAATAGTTAAACGTATTTAGATTAGATAATTTAGTGTAGTTTAGAATAGATTACAAAGAGTAAAATTTTTTAGTAAATACTTAGTCGATTTTAGAATTTCGTGAATAGCATGCTGGTTACGTTAGTCTCTACTTTAGATTGAGTTCTAAAGTTTTTATATGGAGAGGTGTAGTTAGAAATAACTAGCTTCAATGTATTTTTTTTGTATTTACTAGTTAATATAATGCGTTATTATTTATTAATAAAATGAATAAAATACGTTTATAAAAAAAAAAAAAAAAAAAAAAAGAAAAAAATTTAAGGATATTATAAAAAGTACAGAAAAATCAATCCACGAAGTACACAATTTTATTGGAATTTGTCCAATTGTCTTCTGCTGACCTTTTGAATTCCTTATTTGACATCGTTACAATATAAACCCTCCTATATACTAATAATAGTCCTATACAAAAGAAATTATCCTTAATTTCTATCCTATTTAATGATTTTATCTGTTCATTCAAACAAATTAATTTAAAAAAAATGAATAAGATTCTAACATTCTCTAATTCTCAATTTGTTTCCTGCTGATTGTCTAGTTTATAATTAATTAATAAGACGACACAAAGTTATAAATTTGGTTTTTATATCACAATTTGCCTTTTTGACCCAGCCGCTTATTTTTAAAATTCAAAAATTATTTAACCAATAAAATTTAGTTATCTGATCAATAATTTCATATGTTAAAAGTTTTAGGTTTAAATGATATCATGATTATTAAATGGGAAATCAATTGTAAAATAGTTAATTGCCGGTCCGCCACTCAACGGTACAAAATGATCGGCAATCTATAATTAATTTCGACGGACTTTTATATATTAAATACTATTGCTCTGGAATGGTGTTTGCACTATCTTAAAAACACGTCACAACAACATAAATACTTCAAAATTTTGCTAGAAAAAGGTATTACATTACCTGGGTGTGTTTTCTAAAACCGGTAGGATCAAGGTGTGCCAAAAAAAAAACTAAAAAAGAACAATAAAAATATATATATATTTTTTTGTTATTTTGTTAATTTGGTAAAGAAAATAATATATATTTTTTAATAGTGTTAAAAAACCTCGTAAAATTTGCAAAATTCATGTATAAAAAGTCTTATCTTAACTAAAATATAAATCGAACGATGAAAAAATTTTTTTTTGTGGCTTATTCACGTTTAATGTTATTGATTGGTGAGTCATCGTTACATTTAAACGTGACCTTGTGGGACAAAATCGACATCAAAATATGCCAATTAACGTAATTCATATAAAATCTGCGCCGGATCTACAAATTAATTTTGTACCGTTAAGTGACGGACTGGCAATTAATAAAATAAATAAATAAAATTGCTAATCTTTTTTTTTCATATATCAGAATGAGAAATTTTCTTTAAAGCAATGTGTCCGTCTCGTCGTCTCGATATTGATTTCTATAATACATGCGTTTATCACATGATATTATAAAATATAAACTACTTTTATTGGCCAAAAAATAAAAATAAAAATAACTTTTGCGTCGCCTTGTGGTTACCATTTTGCCTAACCGAACTATTAATGTATTACAAACGATCTACATTTTCGGATATTACTAATTTAGTATGTTTTGATCATTGGTTATACAAACTATTTAAGCTGATTTTTTCCATTAACAAAAAAATTATTCACACACTCTCATTCGAATTAAAATAAAAAATTGAAAATTTAGCAAAAATGTATAGAGAGTTTTCTGTAAAAGTTTGTGATCAATGTGGTAGATATATGCACCTTGAATGGTGTAGATCATGCCAAATAGATAATTTAAGAAATAATTTTACAAACCCGAACGGAAATAAAATCGTTGATGATTTAATTCAAGAAATGCAATCAAAAATTGAAAGTCCATGGAATATTATATTTGAATGGATACCATATAATCAATTTAATGATATTAAAGAATTAAATAAAGATAATATAGTTACTGTACTTTCAGCAACATGGAAGGATGGACCAATAGAATATAATGATAATAAAAAAATATACGAAAGAAATCCGAATAAAAAAGTTACACTAAAATGTTTATTTAATAATTCACAAAATATCTCTAATGAATTTTTAAATGAGGTATGAGATTTAATAAATTTTATTATAATATTTTACGATCTAATACTAAAATTATGATATATTTTTTTTTCTTAGGTTAAATCATATACTATTAGCAGATATGCTGATGAGGTTCTTAAAATATATGGAATATCTCAAAATCCAATTACAAAAGATTATATCATGGTTCTTCAATATATGCATTGTGATAAATGTGGCAAGCAATATAGTTATAGAGATAAGAGATGGTGCAAATGGTGTAAATCGTGTCAAATAAATCTTTTGAAAGAAAATTTTACAAATTGGACTAGCGGAAACGAAAAAATTGATAATTTAATTCAAGAAATGCAATTAAACCTTGATTATAAAAATATAATATTTGAGTGGATACCATACATTCAATTTAATGAAATTAAAAAATTAGGTGAAGATGAGCTATCCATATTATATTCAGCAATATGGAAAGATGGTCTGTTACATTATGATGACGATGCTGAAGATGCTAGTGATGATCATACATATAAATATATAAGAAACCAACAAAATAAAAATGTCACTTTAAAGTATCTACATAGTAATATAAGTAGTAACTCAAAAATTATTACTAACGAATTTTTAAATGAGGTAAGAAATTTTAATTTTTTTATTGGATTTTATGATAATATTTTTTATAATACTTAATTTTTTTTTTATATATTTAATAGATTAAGGTATATTCAATTGATAATGATTATGATGATAACCGTGATAATAATAATATTCCTAAAATATATGGAATATCTCAAGATACAAAAACAAAAGATTACATTATGGTTCTATCAGATGGGTATTGTAAAAAATGTTGTAAAGTATACACAAATACAGAGCATAAATGGTGTAAGCCCTGTTATTCAAAAGATGTTTTTACATTTACTACTAGTGGAAATGAAATAATTGATACTTTAATCCAGGAAATGCAATTAAAAATGGATCATCCGTGGGATATAGCATTTGAATGGGTACAATACAATCAGTTTGATGAGATTATAAAAATATGTGAGGATGAATTTTCTACATTGTATTCCGCAATATGGAAAGATGGTCCATTAATTTATCGTAAAAATAAATATGGTTATACAAGAAATCAAAATAAAGAAGTTATTTTAAAATGTTTATACAACACGCAAAATATCACTAATGATTTTCTGAATATGGTAATAATATTTTTTTTATTGATTTATAATATTTTTTCTCGGATATTTATTAATACTTCTTAATGTCTTAATAGATTAAATCACATTCAATCAAAAGTGATAAAAATAATAGTGATGATTATGATGGTGATTATTATGAAGATGATGATGACGATAACGATGATATTATGATTGTAGAGAATAGTGATAATGGTGGTCGTGGTGATGATGATGATGACGATGATGACGATGATGACAGTGATGATTATGATGGTGGTAATAATAGCAATGATGATGATGATGACAATGACAAGTATGATTTCTATGATGATGACGATGATGAAGAAGATGATGATGACGACGATAACCATAATGCTGACAATGATAATGATAATATCATTCGTAAGTTATATGGAATATCACAACATCCAATTACAAAGGATTACGTTATAATTTATCCAGATGGATATTATTGTAAAAAATGTGGTGAATTATATACGAATATAAAACACAAATGGTGTAAATTATGTCACTTAAAAACTTATTTAACAAATATTACTAGCGGAAATGAAAAAATTAATAATATGCTTAAAGAATTTCGATCAGAAATTGATAAATCAAGTGATATAATATTTGAATGGATTCCATATAATCAGTTTAGAGATATTAAAAAAATAGGTAAAGGTGGATTTTCTATAGTGTATTCAGCGATATGGAAAAATGGTCCATTAAAATACAATCGTAAAAAAAAATTTGATTATAAAAGAATTAAGAATAAAAAAGTTGCTTTAAAATGTTTAAGTGATTCTCGAGATATCTCTAATGAATTTTTAAACGAGGTATGAAATAGTTTCTTATAATTTAAACATTTTGCAGCATAATAATAATGAATTTTTCTTTTTTTTAATAGATTAAAGCATATTCAATTAATAGTGTTTATGATCGTGATAATATTCTTAAAGTATATGGCATATCTCAGGATCCAGTTTCAAAACATTATATTATGGTTCTTGATTATGCAAAGGGAAATGATTTTGACCATTGGATGATAAAAAATTATGAATATTTTGATTGGCAAAATAAATTAGTTTTATTATATAATGTTATAAGAGGACTTAAAGTAATTCATCAAAGAGATATGGTTCATCATGATTTTCATACAGGAAATATATTATTGAGCGTAAGCTTTCTTTTAGAAAGTACAATATCTGATGATGATGTACTTATTTCAGATATGGGATTAAGTGGAAATATTGGTGATACTAATCAAGATAATGTTTGTGGAATTATGCCTTACGTTTCTCCTGAAGTGTTAAAAGGAAAACCTTATACTCAAGCAGCAGATATATATAGTTTTGGTATGATTATGTACTTTGTAATAACTGGAAAACAACCTTTCGAAGATCGTGCACATGATCATATTTTAGCAACAGATATATTAAAAGGAATTAGACCTGAAATAAACGAATTATTAGCACCAAAATGTTATATTGATTTAATGAAAAGATGTTGGGATTTAAATCAATATAATAGGCCAAATACAACTGAAATTTTTGAATTAATTTCATTATTTTTTCGATCGTATTTTCATAAGTCTGGAAGTAGAGATTATGAAATTGAAAAGCAATTTAATGAAGCAGAAGAATATAGAAGAAAAAATCTTTCATCTATTAAAGATAGCCAATCACTTACTACTCACCCACAAGCTATTTATAAATCCCGATTACTTAATCCTTTTGTAGAGGAACTCCCTAAAGATGGTAATAAATTTGTAACTTAAGCAAAATTTTATTATTATAAATATTTAATTAATATTTTTTCTAATTTTTAACAGATATCGATAAATATAAAATTTCTGACGATATGGACGTTGATTTTTGTTCATTGATTGAAGAGAATTAAGTGATAATAGTTTAAAGATAAATATTTTGTTTTAAATGAAATATTAGTTATACTTTAATAAATGAATTATTTAAGTACTAATTTATTTAACATTTTTCAATTTTCTTTTATAAAAAAAAGTTTCGCGATATTAAGTATTTAAAAATATGTGTATATATTTTACTTTTTTAATCGAATTATTTATGACATTAAAATGTAAGTTTTTAATTTATAATTTAAGTAACTTATATTAGCTTAAAATTTTTATATTATTATCCAATATATATATAATAAAATTTTATAATCTTAAAGGATTTTTTACGTTGTATTTACGTTAATTCCATGTTAGTAATAAATTTTAAATTATATGAATTTTTTTTTAATTACTTTTTAATAAAAGAAAATCGGTAAATGATTTTATTTCTAATTAACATCTATTAATTAGTTATTTTACATATGCGTTATATGCATTAAATTTATTAAATCAGTTAATTCAAAGTAATGACTGGTTTCAGTTTAACTGGAACTAAATGATGAAATAGTTTTAACATTTGGCATTTTAGTTTCAACTGGTTGCAATCGTTATGTACTGTACGTGTGCATAAAAGGTCAATTTTTCTTTATCAACATCCATTAATTTACTGTATATTTAAAAAAAAGACAAGGTTACGTAAACATGGATAACATATTTACCTTCTAAAAAATTATAATCCGTGATCACTGATCAGAGTGATCAGACTAAAGGAAATATGGGATTTATCGAAAATTTAAATCTTTTTTCCCAAAACGAAAACATATTTATTAAAGTCTTTAAACTTTATACCCAAAAAAACCCGAAATTAATATACAGTATTATTAAATATACTATGCTATTCAAATATATGGCACACTCAGAACACAAAGTATTTTATTTATTAAATATTCTTGATTTATACATAATCATTTTTTAATTCAACTCATAATTTTGATAACTTTTAAAAATAATAATGATTTATAATAATGATTTTTGAAAAAAAAAATATTCTACATAACTATGAGTTAATTAATTTTCTTTCCTAATACAGATACCATAAGGACGCAAATCACTTTCATTTGGTGAAATCCAATATTCACCAACTCCAGTTTCTTCCTTCGAAACCCTATTTAAGCAGTTTGGATTAACTCTATTTTGAAACACGATTTTATAATTACTTCCTTCATGAGTAAATTCAGTAGCGTATAAATATGCAACATCAATATCTGGAGTAGAATAAATTCCATGTCCAAATGCGAATCGTTTACTCTTACACAAGAGATACCCATCTTCAGCAATTGATTTGCAGTTATTCCTGGCAGTTCCATGATATGAAACTATTAAATTTATAAAATATTAAATTAGCACATAAGGATATTATAAAATATATGCATATCAAAGAAAGAAAATAAATACCTGGCCATTCATTTTGTACTGAATTTGTTATAGATTGTCTAGTACTCCCATCAACCCCGAGCCAAATATTATCTTCATATTTATTAAGAACATTTAGAGCAATTCTTTTCCAGCCACAAGGTCGCTTATACTCAAAATTTCCTCGCATAAAAGTTACACCTTTATCATCTACTTGCGTAAAATCATAATCGTACGTTGGTGCAAGCATATCCGGATGAATAAATAAAGCAGTAGAAGGGGGAAGATAGCCACCCCTTAATCTTAATACTAAATGTAGCGTGGACTCATCACATATATTGTAATCACTTAAAGTACGGCCATCTTCAAGTTGCTTACCAGCAAAAATTAATCTTTGTTGATCTGGTGGTATACCTTCTTTTTCAGTAATTTTTGTTTTTAATTGATCAATTGTATCACTAAACTCGACTTCAATTGTTATAGTTTTTCCAGTTAATGTTTTAACGTACACGCACTTTTGATCGTCGTGCTGATTACGATTACTATTAAAAGACATTGTTCTTATAGTGTCAAAATTCGATGGACCTGAATTAACAACCTCATTAAATGTTGGCACTTTACCGCCAATTAAATGAGATTGATGAAGAGCCTTTTGATCCAATTGAGAGCATCCATCATATCCTCCGTTTGAATAATCATCATAAGTAATAACCGAACGATGCGTTACAGCACTTAGTGCTGCGGCCAAAAGTGAATTTGCCATTTTCACTTAAAAAAAAATAGGTATTAAATGAGTTTTGGTTTATCTTATTAATTATTAATTTTTTTTTTTTTTTTTTTGAAAAAAAAAAAACGCTCCGTTTAAATACATGTATTTGTATTTGGTTATTTACTATCACGGTTGAATGATCACATGCTATACGTTCCACCACATCACATTTGGACAAAGAAACAGAAACTATAAGCGATTAATATTATTATTATTCAACCCGGTTGAGCAGATACCTTTTTTATTGGTACAATATAATTTTACTTTTCAAATTGTCTTAAAAATTTTCACAACCAGACGACCACGTACCGGAAAATTCTGTCCAGACGTTCAAATATTGATGATATTCTTTTATTCAAGAAAAATGTTCGTCTCATGTATTTGAATTTTCGTTATTGTTAAACTGCATATCAATAACCTTATTTTTACAATCAATCAGAATTTTTGTTGAAAAGATACTTGAATGAATGTATGATAGTCGTACAAAACTGCAGGTTACTGTTTATTTGTGTGCTTATTGAAAGCCTAAACTTTACGCCCATTCCATAAATGTAATTAAATGGACTTTGAACTTAACGACGGTTTCCGTTTCCTATTTAGTAAGTTTTTGAAATATAATTCTTCATATTATAATAATAAAATCCATTACTATGTAATACTTTTAAAATATATTATATTTTTAATTTGAAATATATAATTATTCCTACAAATCCCATATCAGGAAATTTTTCCCTCAATACTTTTATCCGAACGTTGTATTTTTGTATGGTTCACGTTACATAAACAACTATTATAACATTAATAAAAATGATAAACATCATAACTATAAATATTAATATAACCTAATATAAATATAATTAATTAAAATGAAATATTGAGTAATTTCTTTTTGTGAGATGAAATTTTTTTTTAGAGTTAAAAAAAAAAAAAAGGTTCAACAAAAATGGTTAAATGATTTCTTGAATTATTTTAAAAGTTCAACTCCTTTTTATTACGAAAAAGAGAAAAGAATAAATTAAAAATGGAAAGTAATTCCTTTTTTTTTAAAAAACAAAAAAAGAATTTAAACAAATATGAGAGTATTTTCGACCAAATTGAGAATTATGGTTAGATTAAATGTGAAATCCAATCCAAAAAAAAATACTTAAAATACGCCCAATTTTTCATTCCAATACAATTTCAGGATATAATCATCATCAATTAGGCGTAGAAAAATCTAGAAAAATTTCGGGTATCTTTATTTTTTAAACAATGGTAAGAATTGGTAAATGGATCATCCTTTCCATAAAAAGGTTTTTCCGATTCGGCCGATAGTGATAAGAATAGTTTAGCTTTGATTTATTATTTTTTTTATATATAGAGACTCAATCATCACTTAACGTTAATTTAAAATTATTATAATTTGGTAATACTTTTTATATCTCACAAAAATAACCGTTCGATTATCCTTTTCCTTTTCAGAATCGTAGTGATTACTGTTTGTACTATGGATCAATCAAACGAAGAATATGGAAGATGTATAAAATGTAAACAAATAAGTACTTCACTCATTTGTCAGGCTTGTAATTCGAATTTAAAAGAACGAGAACATGGAAAGTGTATATCATGCAAACAAATAAAGCCAATAAATAAAGAAGTAAATTATTGTCATACCTGTAGTTCAATTTATGGAGAAAAAAAATATGGAAAGTGTGCAGAATGTAAACAAATAAATTCGGGGAAGAATTGGTGTCATACTTGTAATTCAAATAAATTTCAACAAAATTTTAGTAATTGGACTAGTGGTAATGATGACATTGATAAGTTTATTCAAAATAATCAATTATCAGCAAGAAGTCATTTTCAATTACTTGAGTGGATACCTTATGATAGATTTTCTGAAATTGTATATATTGCAAAAGGCGGGTTTGGAAAAATATATAGAGCATATTGGAAAGATGGCTATATTTCACATTGGGATGCAACTAAACATCAATGGAGAAGAAATAATCCGAATACATATGTGGCCCTTAAAATTTTAGATAGATCACAAAATCTTACATTGAAATTTATCAATGAAGTATATATATATTTTTTTAGTTTTTTATTTTTAAATGTTTTAATTTTGCTAATTAATTTATTTAATAATATAGGTCACATCACACGTTAAGATATTTGAATATAAACCATTAAATGAATTTGTAAGATGTTATGGGATAAGTCAAGATCCATCTACTAAAGATTATATTATGGTCATGCCATATGCTAAAAGGGGAAGTTTACGAAATTTTTTAAATGACATAAAGTTAAATCAAAAAAAAATGCGTTATATTAATTTTAATTTAAATTTTAAAATCGGTATTTTAAGTGATATTGCAGCCGGACTTAGAAGAATTCATGAAAAAGGTTTAATTCATCGAGATTTACATATTGGAAATATATTAAGTTTTATGCGAACAACGTGTATAACCGATATGGGATTATGTAAACCAGCATATTATGATAAATTAGAAAATACGGATAATACCGTGTATGGTGTTTTACCTTATATGGCTCCTGAAGTTATAAGAGAAGGACATTATACCCAAGCATCTGATATTTACAGTTTTGGCATAATTATGTATGAAACAATTTCAAAAACTCCTCCATATCCAGATATTAATCACGATGAATATTTAGCAACGGAGATCTGTAAAGGGTTAAGACCCAATTTTAATATTAAGGTACCACAATTAATTGTGTATTTAATTAAAAGATGTCTAGATGCAAATCCTTCAAACCGACCAAATGCAAAGGATCTTTCGAGAACTATTAATGAATGGAACATAGAACTTAATCAATATAGAAATAAGCAACCAGAATTAGTTGAATCAGAATTAATTAAACAAATGTTAGATATTAATGATAATTCATCATCTACTAATATTTCTAATTTACCTTTTACACATCCTGGAGCTATATATGCAAGTAGACCTTTTAAATTTAATAATCTTCCCGAACCAAAAAATTCTAATAATTATTATGAAAATTGTGATAATATAACAGAAATTATATATTCAGGTATTTAATGAAATAATTCTTTTAACTTATTTGTTTTACTCATTTCAGACTACTTATATGAATTATTTTTTATATTATAGGAGAGCTTTCAAAAAGTAATAGTGAATGTTTAGAATGTGAAATCGTTAATTGAATTAAAATAACTTAGACAATAGTTATATATATTTGACAATTATAGCGGATCCTACCCAATAAATATTTATGTAATTTTTGTTCAACACTGTTTATTCTTCATAAAAATAAAATCAGTTTGTAATTGATCAAAACATTATACAATTTATTAAAAGGAACTGTCTAAAAAATATATATTGATATTATTAAATCTGTCATGTTTGGTTAAACGTTAAAAGACCAAGAAATAGCCGTTCCTCCCCCGGTCACAATGTCATTTTTTGTTTAATTATCCTGCTGCGTCTCAGAACTAGTTTTTTGTTGACTACAGTATGTGACAAGTAAATGATTAATGAACTACATTGCACAAAAAGTACCACAAATTCAACTTTCTATATGTATCCTTTGGAGTAATAATGCCCTAAGTTCGATTACTAAAAACTATTGCTAATCATTGATATATGTAGTCGAAATAATATGTATCCTTTGGTAACTATTAATTCATAAAACTAACTATAGCAAAACAATATGTCAGTATAATCTAGTTAACATTGTGCGAAAGATTAATGTCTTTAGGTGTATCCGTTCTCGAAAACCTATTCCACATGAATATGTGTGATATAATCACGACAAATGTTAGATCATAGATTGTATGTCAGGATATGTGTCTATATTATTTCCACATTGTTTTATAAACATGCTAAAATAGCCTTTTGGATATATTGACCCAAAATATTCTGCAATCTACCATATTGTGATATTTCCAATTATAGCAATGTAATTTTTGGTTGATAAAGAAGAATCTAACCATGGTTGGTTAAAATTAACTTCATATCCCATGAAATCAGTTACAATTTGGTAAGAATATTTAAGTTTAATGGACAAATTATCATTAAGAAGAATTTTGGGCCTTGGCTAATTTTTCTAGTAGAAGATTAGTCTTTATAATGAATATGGCTCCTTCAAAAATGGAGTTTCTAAATTTGAAGTTTCTAAAAGTAACAAGTAGTATAGATGAAGCTCATCCTTACATTTTAATATATTAACAATATGAATTCTAATTACTGATGCAATAAGCATCCTGAATGCGTCTACTGCATCTTTATCATCTTTTACCATTAATCAATTACTTGTGCAATTGGATTTCTCATCTACATATGACAGTAATAGCTACTTTATAAAACAAAAAAGGTTATTGATTAATTTTCATATGATTTAGACTTAATGTAAAAAATTTTTTGGGACTTTTAACTCTATCCCTAAATTAATTTTATTAAAATATCTCTTAAATATTTGTGAAGAAATAAGCACCTTTATAATATTATTTTATTTTATTTTATTTTATCTGTTATTAAAAATTTTTTTTCAAAAAGAATAAAAATTTTTTCAAAAAAAAATAAATTTTAATCTAATATAGTGAAATCACATGTCGCAGTACAAGCTTAGTAATAGTTATTTGTCAATCTGTTTAACATTTGTCACTGACTCATTGGTACACCTAGTGCTTCGACCCAGATGAAAACTGTCATCTGGGTTACACAAAAAAGGATCCGGCGGGTCAAATAATCCAGATAGAAACCGGAATCTGGATTGTACAACTGATCGGCAATAATTCTGGCCAGAATTCATAACGCCTGCCAGAATTACAAATTTAAAATTTTTCATGCCACTATGCTTAGCCAATAAAAAAATGTTTTACCCGGTGGCTAAACTATTTTTCCGGTGTCACGTGATGTTAATTTCAGCCAGAATTACAAATTTGGCCAAAATTATCTAAGACCGCAAAATTTTCATAATTCCAATTTTATTCGATACTTTTTTTAAACCAATTACATATTATTCAGCATTTCTCAGACTATTGTTTAACATTTATTTGTAAATTAACTAACTATGAAACTTTGGATAAACAAAATGTTTTGTATACAGCTGAAGATTACTATAGATAGATGTTTTGAGTTAGTAAGGCAATTTTTAAATGTTAAAATGAGATTTGTTTCTTCTTTCAAAAATTAAAGAATCATTTGAATCAAATTATATAACACTAAGGTTTTAATTTTTTAAAAAAAGTTGTCTCATAATTACTTAAATTTTATAATATCCCAATTTTTTGCAATAATTATTCATTTAAAATCAGCTGACCAAACATGTCAATCAAGTGTTTTCAGTGTTTTTCACTTTTCAATATTTAAAGTTTTGTCTATAATTGTACTTTAATGAAAAAAAAACATATACTTATTTCTTGTAAATCTTAATTATATAAAATTACAGTGCTATGAAAAAAAAAATATAAATAAAGATTCATTCAGATTCTGGTTCAAACCAGATATTTTTCATACGGATTACAATCTGGATGAAAACTGCAAAATCTGGATATCTGAAAAAAAAAATATCTGGATCAATCTGGATCAATCTGGATATGAATTGAAGTACTACTATCAAGAAATTTGTTTAGGCATATTAAAAAGATCATACAACCTATAATTATATTAAATTCCAATATTGTCTACAATCTTCGTATAAATAAATTTTTTGTACGAAAGAGATTAATTTTATTTTTACAAAAGAATAACCATTAACGCGTTAAAAAAATCATAAATTATTGCCATCAATATTCATATCTCTGATTAATAAGTTAACAATATTCTAAAAATTTTGTAACAAAAATTTCTTTATAAAATATAATACAATAAAAGCGAATTGTGAAAATCGGTTCAAGGTTTAATCTAGATCCTAAAAAAAAATTTTTATTAAAAAAAATTTTATCATAAACAATTTCTTTAGTGGTGGATTGTAAATTTAAGGTAGATTTTTGAAAGTTTCTCTATTTGTTTTAAAACGGTGATTTGTCGATCACCAATATTTTATGCAAAAAAATAATAAAATCAATATCTAAAATCATTAGATGGATTATATGATGAATTAAGTCGTTTAAATAAATCAATCTTATTAATTGTTTCGAGCGGAATGTTTGTTGCTACCCATGCTTTCAAAACAGCCTTATCAGTTCCATTTTGTTCATATATTGATAAGGGCTTAATTGATTCATTGTAATCAGACTTCTTTAAGCTAGAACTGTTTATTACCTGTTCTTTATAATTTCTAATCTTGTTATTAATAAATTATAATGAGACTATACATAGCTTTGATTTAATTAGTTGACAGAACACCTCAGCGTCACATGCATCGTACATCTGATTTTAATTTTAAAGGGTCCAAAATTTTATTTTCCTTTTTTATTAATCTTACCATATTAATAAGTAAAGAAGTTCGTTATCAGATTTGAATTGTACAATAATTTCCTACATATTTGTGTAATATCCATCATACGTTTTATTTCTTATGTGATTTCGATTTTAAGCGGAAATGGTTTTTAAAAACAAAAAAAATTTGAAACATTCTTATTTTATTTTTTTCTTTTTACTTAGAAAATTATTTATTTATTTTTTTATAGCGGTTTGCAGAATTCTATAATTGACTAAGAAAATACATTCGATTATTTTGATTATTTTGGTCAGCTTACTGAAATAAAAATAATCGCATTATTTTGTTATTCAAAATATTTATTTTTCCGATTACGTAAACAAATAACGATTACGCTAATAATTACAATAAAGGGAATAAATGATTTTTTGTTTCCTGAATTTTTTTTTTAAAAAAAACTTTATTCATAAAATGTCAAAACAAGTACTTTTCACTCCGGATCTTCATTCCGAAAAAAAATTAAACAAATTGGTAATTTTGTATCATAACGAATGGTTTTTTTTATTATAATTTAGTTGGAAAAACCAACTCAACTCAGATCCTAAGTACAATTATTTGTTTTTCAAGGTTCGAATTTACTATAACTCGAGAAAAATTTTTTCTAGTTTGTTGCGAATCTCTTTATAATGACGAAAAATCACAAAAAATTGGGTATCTAATTTAATATTTTATTTGAGAAACAAGCCCAATAAAATTGCGCTCCGAAAATATGATAAGAATCTTCTGTACCTATATATGAAAGTAGAAGGAGGGAAGAAGAAGAGGAAGAGAAGAAGTAGAAAAAGAGAAAGGAGGAGGAATAAGGAGGAGAGAGAGAAGAGACGTTCAAAACTGTTTTTCCACACGCCAATAATGTTTATTTTTTCATTACTTGATTCTCTGAATTTTTTCTTCCTATAATGATTTATAATTTTTTTTTTTTTATAATGAGTAAATTAACCGTTAAGTTTTGTAGAAAGTAAAGCCTCAAAAACTTTTTTTTGTAAATTTATTCCAATTAAGACAAGTTCAAAACGTATACTTCGTTCAAGGGGATATTTGATGAATGATTCGTCCAGCCGATATTTATGAAAGTAGATTTGCGGAGTCTCATGTCAACCGAATATAGTATAGATTAATTGGGGTTTCCTAAATTTATTATAGTCAAATGAAATACGTAAAAGCAAATAAATCAAGAGTTAGTTAAATAATTTCACGCTAGATAAAAGTCTAAGTTGCACTCTGAATATGAAAGGATTAATAGTTAAGTAGTTTAATCTTTATTGGAATAAGATATTGATTTCAGAGGGTTATAGGTTAGGGGAAATTAAAAATGAACGTAAAATACAAAAATGAAATTTTAATAAGGATTTAGTATTACAGTCAAAAAGTTATAATAAAATAAGACTTTTATTCTTTATAAGTAATAAGAACAAATATAATAACAGACAAATAAATGAATACGACACGATAGAACGAGCTTACAAAATTAAAAATTTACTAAAAACGCTTCCTACTTACGTTACCTGGTTTAAAAGAAAGGTGAATATGCATGATAGATTCCGATATATGTGCAAGATATGAAAAAGAAGATGAAAGTTGGTGGCATATTTTGGAGTGTGAATGTAACGAGGCTACGATCAGAGAAGTAATTTTAAATGCCATAGCGTCATTTGAAGAAAATTTTATTATGAAATACAAGCGTCAATTGTCCGTGATATAAATATAAAATTTACTCATTCTATTTGAAAATTCAACGATTTTTTTAGGAAGAACAAGGGAATGGGAATTACTTCGAGGAGTCTTTAATAACCCTATAAAAAAAAATGTCCGGAAATTGTAGCTGAAAACATCCGGAAAATGTCCGTGTCCGGAAAATGTCCGGAAAATTGCAATATTCCGGACATATTCCAGACAAATGAACATTTTCCGGACGTTTTTAGCTACAATTTCTGGACATTCTTTTTTTATAGGGATAACAGATTTAATATTACTAATACTAAAGTAGGGAAAAAAGTAATATTTGAATTATGAGTATATTGTTACGATCAGATTAGAAGTCAAATGTGGTTGAAAAGATGCGAGGAGGTTACAGAGATTGAACGAAAGAAGGGAATTACGAGAGAATGAGGATAGAAGGGAATGATATAGACAGTAACAATATAGATTTAGGAAGTATAGAAAATAATAAAAACAAAAAAATCAAAGAAAATAATATAAAAAATCAAAAAAAGAAAATATTAATTAAAATTAGCAACAGAACAAAAAATGATACATAGTTTATTAGATAATCGACCAATAGGATCGATTTGGCACGGGTTTACAAAAATAATTATTTAGATAGGTTAGTTATAGGGTTATTGTTAATTTAATTAATAATACCCTATAAGTATTTTGTATAATTATGTAATCTTGTGTGATTTTAAATAATTAATAAAATGCTAAAAAAACAAAAAAAAATATTATAGTCGAACTTTAGTTTATATCTCACTGTACCCTGGTATCAAATTATTATATCGAAAAAGGGCGTGTCAATTGTGACATTGTCGGTCTAAACTTTGACAAAAGATAAATTTTATATGGTAATTCTTTAAACTTATAAAGATTTTTCATACATAATGATTTTAGATAATTAAAATTTTTAATGAAGTTGCGAATAGGAATTTATTTTTGGTTATCCGCAAGATCAGATCTTTTAAATCATAAAATATACATTTTTTATAATAAAAATTCGCTAATTTAAGTATTTACTGTATTCACAAAATTACAGAAAGGAATGAAGATTTTATTTATAACCGAAACGGCAATTCTGGATCTTCCGGTTTATGAACGGGCTCAAGGGTATGTAAATGAATTTGTTGGGATGCCGAATCACCACAAACAGGTGGAAGAGAAATTTCATTGTTTTCATTAGGATTATTCAGGAACCATGGGAACGATGGAAGAGTTTGTAGACCATTCAAAATCGAAGGGATTCTTGCATAATAATTGGAGGAGTAACGCAAGAGGGTGAGGCTAGAGGATACCCTCCCACCGTATGTTTGAGGATTAAAGATTATAGTGGATGTTCTTCCATCATGTGTTTGAGGATTAGGAATGGTGTCGGATGCCCATTCATCATGATCGTGTGTCTGAGTATCATTCAAAATCGATGGAATTTTTGCGTAATAATTGAAGGAGTAACGTGAGAAGGTTGGGCTAGAAGATGGCCTTCCATCCTTACCACCCAAGTCCAAAAGCTCAGAATTTGGCAAGTCGAAACCTACAAAAAAATGTAAAAAAACCTCTTTAATAAAAAAATTAGGCTCGAAATAATTTCGAACTTACCACGCGCCTCCAAAATTCCTTGTACTTGAGCATTAGGGATGGAAGTAAATGACATTCCATCATTATTATTGTGTGTTTGAGATTCATGTGGTATATAATAGATGGTAGCCCCTTCAGTATAACTAGAAGGTGCCTTTTCTTTACTATTATCTTGCGACATAGCATCACGTGATTGGTTAGCAGGAGGAGGAGCCGTAGGTTTCGCAGGTCCAGCTTTATTTTCTTGCTCGTTTATTTTGCTAAAATATACGTAAAATAATAATTATTGTCATTATCAATGAATATATTTCTATTATTTAAGTTGTAAAACAGAATACTATATCGTACCGGGCTTGCTTACGGGTTCCACCCAAAAGTTTATCTGGCTCTTGAGTTGCTTTAAAAATTTTATGAGGGGACGACATTTTTAAAAAAAGAGATAAGGATTCTCGAAAGATTTTTTTGTTTATTATTTATAGTGGTATTTTTTTTTTTTCAAAAATCTCTTGAAATAAGGGAAAAAAAATGAAAACATGCCTTTTTATTTAGTTTTTTTTCTTTTAACAGTTCATAAAATACACAAATAGAACGAATCCAGTATTATTACTACTACATCATTCAATAAATTTTGTGTAATATATTTAATATTGTATCTATGATAACGAAATCTATAAGTTTAATTTTTTTTTTTTTTTGCTTGTGTTTTCTATTATTGCGAATAAAAATGAAGTAAAATGAAAATGATAAAAATTATTAGGTTTTAATTTCGTCATTTAAATGTAAGTACTTTACATAATATAAATATTTATAATTATAAAGCTAAAGAATGTAATCGGAATTTCTCCGACTAGCAACTTTTTCCGATCACATAAAAATGATACATTATGATTTGCCATTATCTATTAGAATCGAACACGTTGGGATTTTATTAAAAAATTTTAAATAAAAAAATTAAACATAGCCCACATAAATAAAGTAAAAAAGAATTAAAATCCGTGATTTTAACTTTAGCTATAATTGTTCATAATAATATTGGCGAAAATATACATCTATGAATAAATGAACCTGTCGGTGAAATGATTGTCGGTGAATGACGGCTGAAATAATTGTTTGGTGAAATGCTTTTTTTTAATAGGTGTTAATTTGATCGACACTATGTAAGTAATATTCCCCAGAGAAATATGCAAAATATTGTACTTCCAAACGCCCACTTTACCGCTTCTTTGTAAATTCGATGTTTTGTCCCTTAAAAGATAATCCATTTTAAGCTTTAATAATTAATTCCATGATCAAGTAAATATATAAATTCTGAATTAAAATTGTAAAATTAAGAAATTATAATACCAACTGTAAATTACTATAACATCGTTGCCGATCATTTCCGATCGTTTCGTCATTTTTGAGTTTTTGAAGGCGACTGTTGACTTTAGAACATTTTCTGTAAATGATCAAATTCCTATTTTTTCTTCGGTGTGATTTTTTGTGATTCAAAAAAAAAAGTTTCGACAGCTAAAGGGTATAATAACGGTTTTTACTATACAAGCTTTAATATTATTATAAAATATATTTAATAAAGCGTCTATTAAAAAAATTTCGGTAAAAATATTAAAAATTAAGTTTTTATTATAAAGAACAAGCCTCAACTATTAAACTTTTTTGCTGTCATTTTTTCATTATTTTTTGCGTTTTGTATTGGTTAGTTACGCTACAATATTATGGAATTAAACGAAAATAGTGACAATTACGAAAAAAGTCTTATGAAAACATTTTTGATATAAAATTTATCCATAGAATTATTATGTGATGTAACTTCTGGCTTTTTTTATTGTCATTGAGTAAAGGACCTTATTCGTTCGTTGTCATGATACTTGTAACATGGAATTCTATACAATTCTTAGACTTACAATTAACGAATAATAATATTGTTTAATATGGGGTGAAAATAAAAGGTAGGACGAATTTTAGATAGTTTTTTCTAGTGTTAGAAAATACCTTTACTCTTCTGTACTTGTCTCTATTATAAAAAATAAAAATAAAGATATTATCTATATTATCTATGGGCTACGCTATACTCTTAAATATGATTGGTTCAGAATGTGGCACAGCTAGACACCACCATTTGTTATTTGTTATATTCTTCACGAAAAATATATTATAAAAAACATGCACAGAAAAATACATTTAACAATGTACCTCAGATTGAATATTTTTAAACGAAAAGGTACTTTGAAAAAAATTATTATAAAGGTTTTTATTTCTTTTTTTCACTTATTTAATATTTCCAAAAACCTCTATCAACTACAAAAGATAATAAGCATTCTAAAATCAAGTTTCTTTAATATAAAAAAAAAACACTGTAAAAGATTAGTATCTGATAATAAATCAAAATGACTAACATTACATAGATTTTACATCTTTTAAGTAAAAAAATCAAAAAAAAAGCCTAAAACAAAATATTCCTAAAGAGAAGGAATGTTTATGCAAAAAAAAAAATTAGAAAAAATAAATTAATACAACACCATGAAAAACTTGTGTGTTTTTATAATAAACTAAAAATATATATAATGTATCCAATTGTAGGCCAGAAATAAAAAAAATGAAAAAAAGGGAGAGCGAAGCATAGCTTACCACGCTCCTAAACAAGAAAGTTCTAAATTAAAGCGGCAAAGTGTGTCCCTAAAAAGAAAGAGGTGTTTTAAAGTTTATTTCAAAATAGGATAGAAAATTTTCCGGATAAGTATCTAGTCATATAAAATTTACCAGTGTTCTTTAAAAATTTAAGTTTAATTTATATTGTCCTTTCTAATTACTTTCAAATTTTCATTGTATTTTTAACCCATAAAATCGACCTTTATTAGTAAGTCCAAAAATTTTCGTGATAATCAACACTCAAAATTTGCAAGTGTCATATATAATGATAAAATCTTAAAAAATCACTTTATATGTTTGACATACGTTTTTATGGATTCTGTATAACAATTCCGTATATTTAATACGTAATTCAGTTTTAAATGTTTTTTAAAAAAATTAATGTATAAGAATGTACACGGAATGATCGGAATGTATACGGAATTTTTAATTTTATAGTCATTCCGTATAACACGTGAACACGTGATTGTTGCATTGTTTGTTGTGATACTTTTTTGTTTTTTTTATACAGTAACCTTATTTTTGATCTTTCCTTTATTTTTCTTATTTTATCGCTCTCTTTTTAAAACTTTTTTTTTCTTTATTTATCACCCTCCTTTTTTTATTCCCATCCACTACTTTCTTTTTAAAATTTATTTTTTCTTTTTATTTTCTATCTTCGTCACCCCCTTTAAAAAATTGTTTTTTTTTTATTTTATTATTTTTTCATTCCCCACTCGCTACTCTTTCTTTTTTTAAATTTTTTTTTTTTTTTCATTTTTATAAAAAACTTTTTTTTATTTTTCTAACTTTATTTATCATCTAACTTTGTTACCCCTCATTTTTTTTAAAAAAATTTTTTATTCCCTTTTTTTTAGGCTTTTTAAAATTCTTTTATTTTATATTTTATTCTTTTTGCCTTATAGGTTGAATATATTTTTTTTTTGTCGGTTGATTCTTTATGGGTTAGTTCTTCATGGGTCAATTTTTTAACGTAAGTCAATTCTTTTTATGTAGATCAATTCTTTTTACGTGAGTTATTTTTTTTCGTGGTTCACATGGGCTAATTTTTTCATGGGTTGTTTCTTTTTGTAGATTGTTTCTTTTTTGTGGACTGCTTCAGGATTTTTGTCTTTTTTGTAGGTCTTTCTGTTACAAGACTCTTAGAAATGCCAACTCTTGGTAACTTGAATGATTACAGGGGAAGTTTGTTTAAAGAAACGTTCTTATGTTTCATTTTTTTTGTTTTTTAGGTTGTTAGATTCTAGAAGACTTGGATGAATCTAGGCTTATAGGTAGATAGGAGAAGTGGGTTTATCTATCAGGAAATTCAAAGTTTCTTTTTGTTTTAGTTTGCAATAATTAGAAAGAACTTTTCATAATATATTTGTATTTTATTTTATTCTTATATGATTTTGTTTATATTACGCGTGTTTAAATTATTTATTGTTTGAAGCTTAGGCAGAATGCTTAACTATATCTAAGAAATATATATAAAATAGATAAACATTATTTTTTTTCTTTCTTTTTTTCTTTTTTAGGTAATATTTTTTAAATATTTATGAAAAATGAATTCTCTTTTAGTGAAATTATCAATTTTCAATTTTTGCAGCGTAATTTCAACGGGTTTTTTTTTAATATGTTTATTAGTACATTGGCCAAAATATGGTGTGCTTTATAAAGGAACAGGGCAAACATCACATTGCCGATCATAAGTGGCGAAATAACATGTAATGCCAAAGTTAACTTTAGGCCGAATTTTTCAATAATTGATATAAATATGTCGATCATTTTCTAATTGGACTTTGCGAAATTTAGAACTTTTATGGTTATAGAATTAACAGCTTTAAAATTAATGGCTGAAGTAATTTTAGGTAATCCACGAGTTATGGCCAAAATAATATTTGCAATTATATTGTTATAATTTAAGAATTTTCAAAACATCATTTCTCAATCAAATAATTTATGAATTTACTACCAAATCAGTATAATTTTAAGTTATTCTTGAAATTTAGCACATATTATTATGTAAAATTTATAATAATTGGAAATTTTTTTTTTTTTTATGGGTAAATGTTAGAAATTTATTTATAATAGATGCAGAACTACTATAAAATAAAATCTATATAACCAACATTTATGTGAATCGAATAGATGTCACTCCTGTCTTACCAAAACCTTTGTTATTCTTCCAGTCCATTAATTGGTTAAAATCCGATACAGTATAATCCGTACATGAATTATGATTTTTAGTTAAAATTATAGTTCTATTGCAATTTTTTTTAATTTCGTGCCAACATTGTTTCAACTATTACATTAATCCGGATTCATTTATAGATAATAAAACTAAACAGATTCTTTTAAAAAAAACTAACAAAGGCATGTTAGTTATACGTATAATGCAACATTATTCAACAAAGGTTTTGAAAAATGGACTAGTAATGATACGATATTGATAATTTATTTATCAGTTCATAAAAAAGAAACATTAGAATGGGTACTTTATGATAAATTTTATAAATTAAACAAACATATTGCAAAAGACAGGTTTGGTAAATTTTATGGAAAGTAGATTTATGCTAGATATTTACTAAAAAAATATATATATATTCATCGTATTAAAATTTTATTGAATAAACATTTTATTAAAACTTGTAGATTAATAAAATGAAAAGTAAGGTATTTTGTAATTTATCATTATATATTTCTTTTTATTGAACTTTTACATTTTGGTAAAAAAAAGTTTCGAATGTATCATTTTAACGTCATGGAAAAATTGACAAATCATTCTCAATCA